TTTAAATTCGGAGAAATAATACTCGCGGGCTGACCCCTTGATGGGGGAACACAACTCGAAAAAAAAGCAGCAATTCGGATCTGTCATGCGACGATGATACACTAGCGCTATTACACTTCCTCTTGGGGTCCAAAAAAAAAAGAGGAAACAACCAGGACTAGACCAACCGCGGTGACTATACAAAATCAGCTGTGTACGAGAATCCACGAAACTCTTCTTGCATCGCTTGGGTGAGAACTATTCAAGATAGGTCAGTGTTCCGTTTGCGCTATATTTTTCCACAAGAGATAGGCTTACCCGATTGCACTGGAGTAAGGACTGGAGTAACACTAGTGAATTCTTGGTCGAAATTGGAGGTGTCGGTTGGAGAGCTAATCTGGGGTAAGAAGGGCGATGGCACCCGTTTATTATATATATCGTCCCAGTTTACGTTCCTAAAGAAGGCATGAGACATGATCTCCTGGGCATCAGTAGGGCCAGATCCCAGGCGCAGTTCCGGCTCTCGCGTGAGTAACTATATGAAGAGTTAGCAAAACCCAGGTAATACCAGCATTTTTTGGTCTCGAACTCGCCTTTTGCAAAATAGAAACAGAATCCCTCGGCATATGTATGGGGTAGAGGGGCTCATCTGACAGGATAGCGTCGTATATTTCGTCTTCATCCTCCCCCCTAAAAGGAGATTGCTGAAGCAGCATTTGATAGATTAATACACCAAATGCCCACCAGTCTACTGCTCGACCGTACCGTTTATCCAACAATATTTCGGGTGCCATAAACTCCGGCGTCCCACAGAAGGTACTGGTAGTAGAGCCGTACCACATTTCTTCCTTACAGAGACCGTAGTCACCAATTTTAATATGACCATCCAGTGTAAGCAGAATATTGTCAAGCTTTAAGTCACGATAAATAACGCCATTTTCGTGGAAATATTTCAAAGCCAAACAAACCTCCGCTGCATAAAATCTATTTTTTTTTTTTTTGATAATTAGCCACGGCGAATGCCTAGTATCCGGGATCACTTACTGCGCTCGTTTTGTCCCGAATTGACCTCGTTGTATATGTAACATCAAATCGCCCCCACTTATGTATTCCATAACAAAGTATACACGAGTTTCTGTTTGGAAGCAGGCATGTAAGTTTAGAAGGAAAGGATGACGTTCCTTGTTCGCAATTAGGAATACGCGCTTCTCAGATCGAATGCTCTCCACTTCGTCATTTTCAATGATAAATTCCTTTTTCAGCACTTTGATAGCGTAGAGCTGCTTCGTAGCCTTTGTTTCGGCGAGCATGACTTTTCCGAAATTGCCCTTTCCGAGAACCGCGAGAAAGTTAAAATGATCCAAACCTATCTTACGAGCTGACTCAGGTCTCATCGTTTTAGCCACCTGGGACTGAGGCGGTTGTACAGTTGGAGCTGCGGGATAGGCCGCCTGTTTATTCTGCGCCGCGATTCCAATTGGAGGATATTGTTGTATAGATGTTTGGATCGGGGTCGACGGGTTGGCTTGCGGGGGTGGGGGTGGGGGAGGGGGGGATATACCCAATAGACATCCGCTGTTGGTCAAGAGGATTCACCGTAGCCTGCGCCGGTTGATAAACGGGGGTCGAATTCGGCATGGTCGATGGGTTATACGGGACTTGGCTTACTGGGCGATAGCCTGGTTCCTGTCGTCCGGTGGTGTTGGGCCTTCCACCAAGGGCTGCAGCGGCTGCAGCTGCAGCTATTGAAGTAGACTGCGGCCTAGACTGAGGTGGGGGCGGAGGTGGGGGCGGAGGTATCGGACTATACGGCCCATAAGCCTTGGCGGCGGCGTTGTAAGCACCTTTGCCGTCGTGGCCAGAGGGGTCAAATACAGCTGGCTGGCTCGAAACTGACAATGTCGGAGATTGCCCAGCCTGTGTCTGTATTGGTGTAACTCGATTTTCCGGAGATATCGAATCAACGAGCGTCTCGCTGCCAACAGACGCAGGTCGAGGGGAGACAAGTGGAACTTGGCTAGTCCTTAGAGTTCTGTCTGCCATGTGTCCTGGCCCCGACACGCCATTGCGCTTCGTTTTCCCAATCTCGCTCAGAATGCGATTCGCGACCTCCATCGACATCCCACAAAAGTCGGGCACCAGATGGGCGCATTGTGCATGACAGGTGAGTTGGCATTCTACACCACATTGATTAGCTTCTAAAATACGATACCGGATGAGCAGTATTGGATTTCGATTTATCTTGAAATAGAACTCGGTTGTAGGTGGGGCTCTGGAGCAAGCATGGAGTAGAAATGAAAAGTTTTTTTTACCTGTACATTTCCTAGCATTCTTTTTGCCCACGGGGAGCATGTAGCCACAATGACAACACCAATTCGCACCGAAGTTGGTCGTGGGTTCAAACCTGTGGGGGATTCGGTGATTCAATTTTTCTTCCTCGGGATCCGTTTCGGCATTCGATTTAGAGATGCATTTCGTCACAACCTTCGGGTAACATTTTTTATGGCAGGTGTACTTGCAATCTTCGCATTGGTAACCGACACTATACTTGAGAAAGTCCCCACAAAGAGCGCATCTCATAATATTGTAGAATTGTTGCTGGACGAATTTGTGGCCGTATGTTTCGTGAACTTCTTCTTTTTGCTTCCTTACAGCCCCCTTCCGGTTCAGTCCGACATCAAAGGGTCGCTTATTTTTATTATATTTAACTATGAGGGTTAATGGTAGTTAGGAGTATGTTCACGATAAAATCTGCGCCTGGTGAAGCCTCACCGAAACTGAGCTGGAGCTGAATCTGTCCAACGGGCTCAAGAACGAACCATGCGTCGATAAAAACCGGCTTTGGTTCCTCGGGGTCGTGTGGTATGTTCCCAGGTGTAGCAGTATGTGGTGCCCCTGATGAGGCTGTGGATTGCGGTGTACTTAATGGGGTTGAATAGTTCCCGTGGCTTGAAGCTTCCATGTTTTCAGCGCTAACCCAGCCAGTAGCTGAAATATCCTGCTCAATACGTTTCCGCCTGAGCTCTTCAACGATGTCAGACAGGCGAATCCACATCATGCCAATTGGTAGATGGTGGTCTCCAGATCTGTCATAAACGGTTATTTCGATTTCGTTTGCCTTGTCAACGTCGATTTCATTTGATTCGTCGACCCAACGCTCGTTTCTCGACGGCTTCGTTTTGGCCCGGATCACGTCCTCGACTTTGACAGTAACGAAGGTTTCTGGGGCCCTTCCAAAACGCGACGTAGCCGCATGGTCAACGTCTTTGACTGCTAAAATCTTGATGTGTAGCCTCCCGGTCAAGGGTCGTCGAATATTTGGCGCATTTATGCTGTCGTCTGATTGAATTATTCAGTGAGCTTTTCACATTATCTAAAACATACTATACGCTAGCCCCCCTCTCATCCGCCCTTTGTTTTTTGAAAGTAGAGACAAGAGAAGAAACTACTTTGGAAGGTTGGAGTAAGCCTGAGGGGAAGCAGAAGAGCACTTACCGTCTCCTTGGGCATCACCTTCCACGTCAACATGGAGGTCCTCATAGCGCTTAAGAGCCTGTTTTAAAAGATGTATTTTTTGATTGCTTTCGACTCGTTTTGAATCCGCATCAGCTCGACTACGGCGGTCCCCTTCCATCTGGTAGAGCTTGGCCATTTTCTCAATCCCTTCCTTGTACTGTTTCTCTACGCTCAGTTTGAATTCCAACTGGGATAACATCAATGTAATGCGCGGGCCGAGATGAGGTGAATCATATTTGATAAGGTCTTACAAAGCAGTTCGTTTCATCAGCTTTCCGAACGCAGCAATTGGCCCTGGTTGCACTCACCGAGTTTCGAGTACGTCGGTCTGCTTTTATGGAGGCCTGGACCGGGTTGTGCAAAGGGGGGCCTCGGGCCGCCTCCGGGTGCTGCATTATACACCGGGTCAGGCTCGTGAGAGGAATCCCTTTGATTTTTAGGCGGTGGAGTAGGAGGGCTCTCGGAGTAGGCATTAGTTGAATTGAGGGATATGTTGTCTATTCCAGCGGATATATTTTGCATCCGCTTATTCTGCAAGTCCCGGATGACACCCTCGAGATAATTGATATTCGATTGTGACTCCCGAATGCTAGAGTCAAGACGTTGTTGTACGCTAGCATTGTCAGTAGACTGTCGCATAGAGCGTGCAGCGGTTATTAGCATTCTCTCTTTCTCTATTTTTTTCCGGACAGATGATATAACATCGTCGCCGGCGGTGCCGGGTCCCGGCGTCGGAGCTTGCATTATCTATGGAGGCGGTTTATCGAGGCTCGTCTGGGGTGGAGAGAGAGCCGTCCAAGGTGGAGGTAAATATAGAATCCAAAATTATTTTTTGTGTCAAGTTGATATTGGTTTTTGATACTTGTTGTATTGGAGGTTCGAGATAGTTCACGACAAATCTCTCTGGTCAGCCGCAAGGAGGCCACGCGAGAGATGACGGCACCGAGCCGGCCGGTACGAGGTTTGGTTGTCCTCCAAAAAATTTGATGAAGCTGGATGGATTCAGAATACTTGATGAAGAGAACGTCGGCGATTTAGCGGGAGAGTGACAGAAGGAGCAGAGCGGAGTGAAGTGGAATGAAGGGAGGGAGTTACAGTCGGGAGGAAGCTCAAGGCGGGGCAGCCACCCGGTCTTAATGTTTGCAGGGCATGTCCAGCGGCAGTCTGCCAAGGAACCAAACATCTCGTTCTCGTTCGCTTGAACCTCAACTGTCGAAAATTCTTTAGCAACCTTATCTTCAATTTAAATTCTTTTCACGACCTCTACACGCGATGCCAGGGCATACACATGGCCTAAGGAATTGGTTCATTCTCAGTTAGTTGGTCTCTTGATTCTAATACAACAGGTACGATCACGACAATAGTAGCATTGGACCACGTTCTTTCGATACCGATACCATCGAGCTCTATCCAGTGCCACACACACATACACACACAATGCCCACCCCGACAGGAGTCAGAAGCCTTACTAGCTCCTTAGTTTTCCATATGAATACGTATCTACCAAGATTGCGAAAACAGCACCTTTCAACCACTGCATTGTTGTTAAAACCGGAGACCAAACACATCACCAGAGAAACCCTGCAGCCTTTCTATCAGCAGGAACAAATTTCTGCTTTGCTCGATGTTGAAAACGGTATCTCCCGGACAGCCCCTCTTCGGTGGAAGCCACGAAGGCGAGATTCATTTAGCCTACCGTATTTCACTGATTTATCAAGAGTCGATCCATTCCTCGACAGCACACCCTCTGGAGTCCCAAAGTCGGGACGCTGGCCCAGCCAGCCCGTCCCGAAGATGGAAGATACTCAATTCCAACAAGGAGAAGAAGATGACGAAAACAAAATAAAGGATCTTTCCCGCTTAACCGGTCTCCCAATACTTTACCTCCAATCATTAAAAATCCGCGAACTTGTCACCCACCGTGTTACTAATCAGACAAGGCTCGGGAAGATCGCTAAGCAATATGTTTTGACAATAGCAGGCGACGGGAATGGTATGATAGGGATAGGAGAAGCTAGTTCTACCTCGGGAGAACTTGCTAGCCGTTTATCCCAATATCAAGCTATCAAAAATCTGCGGCCGATCGTAAGATATGAGGATCGTACTATACATGGAAACGTCAAAGTCAAGATGGGGGCTGTGGAGGTACTCTTGATGTCAAGGCCACCAGGTGAGAACAGCAAGACTCCCTGTGACGTCTTTGGGAAACGTATTGATGCCTAGCTACACAATAGGATTTGGTGTCCGATGTTCGCAATACATTTTTGAAATTTGCCGCTGTGCTGGTATTTCCGACCTTGCCGCACGAGTGGAAAGGTCGCGAAATCCGATGAATGTAATCAAAGCCACAGTACAAGCACTGACAGCCCAAAAGACGCCTGGTAAGCCAACCACGGACTTTACAGCTAATTCCCAAGTTAACCCAGCAGCTGGAAGAGCCATGCTAACCATTTGTGGTTTCAAAGATGCTATTGCTAAGGGCAGGGGCAAAAAGATCGTGGATGTCCGGAAGGCATATTACGGCCGCGGTGTCTATTAGTACCCGTGGTTACCTGAAGTTTATCCATCATGATTGAGTTGTGCTTGTACCCTTGCTCAGCTTTGTCTCGATGTTAGAGGCGGGGAGGCTGCGCGGTTTGCTGTATATAAACATTGAGCCTTCTTGTTAATATATTTCTTGGATACGGATAACCCCTTTTGGATGTTGTTTGAAACATTCTTTCGCTGTATGCTGTCTTTTGGTATTGGCAGCACGGATGTGGAAAATGAAGTCGCATGCTGGGGACGGGGGGAAGCAAGCGGTAAAATTAAACAGGGGACCTTACCTTCTCCAGAACTTTCACAATGAAGCTCCTGTTGTAGAATAATGCTATAGACCGAGGCCTTCATTAAAGTGCTAACAAGGCCAGTTTTTCGTTCGAGAAGCCGGAGAGAGTCGATTGTTTGAGATGTTGGCTGATTCGCTAGCGTACCGATTGTGGTGGAGAGCTATGTAAGTGGAGATCTTAGTTCATCTGCCATTTATTCAGATGCAGGGAGAGGCTTTAGTCAAGGACTGCCTAGATACCTGGTTTAAATTTTGTAGAAGGGTCCGGTATTCGTCAAGGACCTCTCTTTCGAGACTAGAAAGTTGACTTAGTCGCATAGCGATGTTAGATTCAATTCGATGTAAGTGTGATGTGACGTGGATATCCGATGTCAGATTTCGATTTATATCGGCATTGATGTTGTGGAGGAGGTTTAGTGTTGCTGCTTGGCCCTTGCGCTTTGCCTCTTATGGTTGCATACATGCCCCCAGACTGATATCAGACTAAGGTCCATACCTCTTACCTCCTAACAAGCACTTACCAAGCTACTGTCTACTGACCTAGACCCCGTTATTTTGGGTACTGGCATAGTACCCAGATACATGTACTTATATACTCAGTCAAGTCGCTGGCATCTCGCGGACCCTGCAATCGCCTGCATAATCCTTCCTTACGCCCTTCGCGGTGTGAGTTAATGATCCGCGCGACTTCCATCACAACGTCACAAGTCCGAGATATATTCTTTGACATACCGGTTTACTTTCGATCGGGGAGGCACAAGCTATCAGGTTCCAGAAAAAATCATACAATAAAAACATATTTGTGGTAGAAAAATCAGTAAAACGAGGGTTTCTCTGAATCGATTTTGAATGAAAGATTGTTAACGCCGTGACAGACACAATGGCTTCAAAGATCGTGAGTTGAAAGATAAATGTTATTCCTTGCGTTCTCAACTAATCAGGTATTTCTTAATTAGTGGAAAACATTCACATTTTTCGATGCTTCGACGACGAGGCTTCCGGTAGACGACTTCTTAGGACAGGTATCACGACACCCTTCCAGTGCCACCACGTTGTCAAGCTTATTAATGCTAAAGGCGGGAGATTCCTAGGACCAAATCACCTGTCTCTGCTCAGGGATGCGCTGTATATTTCTCGGGCTTTCAAATGGCAGTATAGTTACGCTGTCACCAAAGTATCGTAAAAGCCTAGTCTGGAAGGCACACGAATCCCGCCCTATCACACATGCAAAGTACCTCGAATCCCGCCAAATTCTTGTTTCTATTTCGGTATGTTGTGGTAGTTAAACATAGTGTGCGCTGTGAGCTTACTAGCAGAGAACAGGAAGACCTTCGAGAACCGCCTGAGATGAAAGTTTGGATCCTCAAGGATTCGAACAAGAAGGAGTTTTCTTTTCAACTTCTGTCGACTCTACGGATTAATGTGCAGTCTATTTTTCCAGTAAGCTTATATTCTCGTACAGTTGATGTCATGTAATCTGTAGAGTACCGCTGACAGATAAATGCCGATTTCAAGATGACTTGCTTCTCCACAACCGAAGATTTGTCAGATGTTGCTGCAGCTTTCGCCAACGGGGTGATAGTTCTAGTTCGTGGGGATCTTGTTCACGATAGGGGGACTAAGCAGAGGACGATATTTGAATCCGACGAGCCGATTACTGGTATCCAGTTCGCCAATGAAAACGGTACATGCGCCTTATATGTCACAACGATCGAGCGGGTGATGACAATTAAAACTTCAATAAGAGGCCACATCCCGCCGCCAAGGGTACTAGAAACAGCTGGGTGCGCTTTAGGCTGCTTAACTATGGACGAGGTTTCCGGGTCCGTCCTTGTCGCAAGAAACGATGCTCTTTACTACTACGGCCAGGACGGGCGTGGACCCTGTTATGCCTATGAAGGTTCTAAAAGCTTTGCTGGTTCCTTCGGGGAGTATGTTGTATTACTGCTACCACCGCAAGCTCCGTCAACCGGGCCTACTAACACAGCCGCGAACTCGCGCCACCATATTTCCGCAAAACGGGACACTTTTTTTGAGGTTAATACTTTAGTAGTTCTAGATACAGACCTTCAGTTTATCGCTCACATCGAGGCCTTCACGGGCGGTGTAAGGGGTATTGTTTATGAATGGGGGGCCATCCACATTCTTACTTCGGATTATAAGGTATCTTATGAAAGAAATTATCCAAATTTCGTACGATAAATAGCTAATATGTTCTTTTGTCGCGGTAGATGATTAGACTCAAAGAGAGAGCGCTTTCTGATCGGTTGAATCTCCTATATCAACGCGATCTATACCCGACAGCCCTCAAACTTGCACAGAAGTCAAAGATAACAAGTGCCGAAATAAATCAGATAAATTGCCGATATGCAGATTTCCTCTTTTCCAAAGGCGATTATGATAATGCTATGTACCAATATATACAAGCAATCGAAGGCACCCAACCCTCTCAGGTGATACGGAGAGTAAGATAACAGTCAGTGCAAAGTTTTGTATCAAATATCTCACATGTTTTGTGGTTTAGTTTCTTGACATTCAAAGAATCCCGAACCTTATTCAATACCTCGAAGAGCTACATCGACATTCCGAATATGTTACAACAGAACACACTACCCTCCTTTTAAATTGTTACGCGAAACTCAAGGACGTCGAGAAGCTTGAAAGCTTCATCAGGTCAGATAAAGGCCAGCGATTCGATCTAAATACTGTGATCTCTTTATGCCGTCAAGCTGGGTATTTTGGACAAGCTGCATTCCTAGCCCGGCAGAATTCCGAACATGATATAGTGATGGATATTTTCATGGAGGATATGCAGAAATTTCAAGACGGGATTAATTTTCTCGTGACTTTACAACCGGATACAGTAGGTTTTGAAGTATTCCTTGCCTTGCTGAGGGCCAACCTTTCTTAGTTGTATCTGACGTAACCTCTAACTTGCTCCTAAAAGATGCAACGGAATCTTCTGAAATGGGGACGAGTCTTGTTAGATGAATTGCCTTTTGAGACAACATCTCTGTTTATTGAATTCTATACCGGAGGCTACGTTCCGCGAGAGGAGGTACCCACCGAAGAGGTACCTGCTCCTCAGTCTAGCACCGGTGGCCTTCAAGGCTATGCAGCGTTTTTACAACTTCCATATCTCGTTAACCCCCTCTCGGTTGCCGCTCCCCCCAGTCCTGAAGCAGAAAACCGACAGACGCAGAAATCCATTACGTACAGAGTGCCACTGCCACGAACGGCATTTTCTCTATTTGTTGACCACCCTTTTGAATTCGTGAGGTTTTTAGAATCCTTGCTATCAACTGCGAAGGCAAAAGATACTCTCTCGGAAGTTCGCTCGACATTATTTGAGATATACCTACACCATGCAAGTCAAGACATGTCCGAGGCAGGCAATATATGGAGCGCAAAGGCAAGGTTAATGTTGGAGAGCGCCGAAACGGTGTTAGGTACATCTGATGTTCTCCTTTTATCCCATTTGTGCAATTTCCAGGAGGGAACAACGCGCGTTCGTGAAGATCAAGAGCTTTTCTTCGATATTTTCAGATCGCATACATCGGCACATGATACAGCTGGCGTCATGACGGCCCTGAAGAAATACGGCCAAAAGGAACCACAACTCTATCCAGCAGCGTTGGCTTATATCGCTTCCAGCCCAAAAATCCTTGAGGCCGCAGGGGATGAATTGCTGAAAATTTTGGAGACGATAGAGAAAGAAGGGTTGATGGCTCCCTTACAAGTTGTCCAGGTTCTCAGTAAGAACGGTGTTGCAACAGTGAGGATGGTTAGAAGGTACCTGAGCGACATGATCGAGAGAGAACGCCTAGAAATCCAACAGGTAAGAGACCGATGCTCTTAATATTTAAGTTACAGACGTATATCAACCCGGCGGTGCAGGACCAAGGCTACATCGACGGGTATCGACGTGACACGACAATGCGGAAGCAGGAAATTGCGGACTTGGAAGATAAGCCGGCGATTTTCCAGCCCACCCGCTGTACATTCTGTGGAGCAGCCCTGGAGCTTCCAGTTGTGCATTTTCTATGTAAACACTCCTTCCACCAACGGTGTCTGAATACATCTATCGAGCCCCCAGAATGTCCAACCTGCACAGCTGGGAATGCCGCAATTAGGGCGATACGACAGGGTAAGCTATACATGCATAAGTGTACTTCCAAGCATTTTTCTAGAGAGCAATACTAATTATCGCCACAGCCCAGGAAGACGCAAGTGACCAATTTGGGATTTTAAAAACGGCGTTAGAAGTGACAGAACGGGACCGTTTCGCCACAATCATCGATTTTTTTGGCAGGGGCGTTATGAAGGACCGGCCTGTCTAATTTATATGAGGGCATTGTGGTGATGGTACTGGTAGTGACGGCGGTAGTGGGAGGTGGAGGTGGTGGAGGTGGTGGAGGTGGTGGTAATACTATTTATTGTGTGGCTGAGCCTAGCCTGGGTTTCCTTCCATTGGTCCCTTTCGCCTGTGAACAGGTCCTAAAACAACCCACAACTGGCTGACACCAGAAGAGTTGCCATCGCATTGCCGGATGCTTATAAACCCCATTTAATACCATGATTTTTGCCAGCTACATATAACTTCAGTCTAAATTCTCTAGCCGGCAAAGTAGAGGTTGTATTATCTCCTCGTATTCCCAACTCCTTCACAATTAAACAGTGGTCGAGTCTATTTGGCCTATGCTTCTTCGAACCCCCGAGGCTGGTGTTATTCCAGCAGCCCTCTGTCTACTTGCTTAAAAAGTAGCTCGGTGATCCCTGCGACGACGCCTTGCAGGGCGGCCAGTTATCAATAGCATTGAATCAGGATATAATATATACATTCTGTAGTATCATCAAAACTCTACAAGGGCGCCGGGCTACATCACCGACGGCACACAGCCGCCCGAGTTCCTCACAATGACGCAATTATTCGGATCCAATTCTCCTCAACCTGCTGAGAAGAGGTCGAACGTGCCTGGACAGAGCCCGAAATCCTCACCTTCTAACTTCTCCACGTCACATTTCCCTCAGAGAATAAAGAACTTCTTCCGTATCACGAATAGCGGGCATAGCTCACCTAGCCACGAAACACAACAGTCGACAAGCCTCCACCCGTTTCGCCAAACGCGTCTCTTCCGTGGTCGTAGTCCCTCTTCAGCCAGCACCGGGGCAGCACTTGAGCCGGTAGACATATCACCAACAGCGCATGCAAATCCGTATTTTGCCCACCAAGGGCCCCCAGCAATCAGACATCATCACGAAAACAGTCGACCCCCTTCCCCTCCGGAAACACCTAAGGGAAATATCTCCAATGCGGACGCTAATGCAAAGAAAGAGGAACTTGCACGTAAACTTCGAAGAGTAGCCTCCGCTCCCAATGCCCAGGGTCTGTTCAGCGGCGTACCTGGATCGCCAAGCAGGCCAACAACTACAGAGTCTAAGAACGGACTTTTAACACCGGGGCTTCCACAAGGTTCACCTCCCACTATTGACCCTGAAGGGGGGTCTCAAGACAATTACAGTTTACCAGTAGCACCATTTAAGGATGAACAACGGTCAAACAATGCTGCCTTTCGAAGAACGTATAGCTCGAACTCTATCAAGGTTAGGAATGTTGAAGTTGGCCCACAGAGTTTCGATAAAATAAAACTTTTGGGTAAAGGTGATGTGGGAAAGGTGTACCTGGTGCGAGAGAAAAAATCCGGGAGGTTATACGCGATGAAAGGCATGTACTAGTTCCCCGTTCCCTAGAATATCCTGCTGACCCAAACCCTTGTTTAGTACTTAGCAAAAAGGAAATGATCAAGCGAAATAAGATAAAAAGAGCACTAGCAGAGCAAGAGATTCTTGCAACTAGCAATCACCCGTTCATTGTAACACTATACCATTCTTTCCAATCCGATGAGCATCTTTATCTTTGTATGGAATATTGTAGCGGTGGGGAATTTTTCAGAGGTAAATAGAACCGTCATCATCAAAAACACATATTTACAACGGAACACTGCTAACGTATCTAGCAGCTCTACAAACGAGACCAGGGAAATGTATACCAGAGGATGACGCGAGGTTTTATGCCGGGGAAGTGACGGCCGCGCTTGAATATCTACATTTAATGGGCTTTATATATCGAGACTTGAAACCGGAAAGTGGGTCTAAACGGCGTCCCTTTTGATACCGAAATTATGCTTATACCCAGATATAGATATTTTGTTACACCAGTCTGGACACATCATGCTTTCGGATTTCGACCTGTCAAAGCAGTCAGACCCCGGCGGTGCCCCAACTATGATAATATCCCGAGTCGGCACATCGTCACATTCGATGCCGACAATAGATACAAAATCCTGCATTGCTGATTTTCGAACTAACTCTTTTGTTGGTACAGAAGAATATATCGCGCCTGAAGTTATCAAAGGCTGTGGTCACACTAGTGCTGTTGACTGGTGGACTTTGGGGATCCTAATATATGAAATGCTCTACGGAACGACTCCCTTCAAGGGTAAGAATAGGAATGCAACATTTGCTAATATACTTCGAGAAGAAGTGGGATTCCCCGAATCCCCAGGCTCTCCGCAAATATCCGGGTAAGAGTAGACTCATCTCATTTTATCAGAATGCTGAGCTAAAACCAAGCCGAAGGACTTGCAAATCTCTTATAAGGAAACTCCTCGTCAAGGACGAGGTCAAAAGGTTGGGATCTAGAGCGGGGGCATCGGATGTAAAGGCCCATCCTTTTTTTCGGTCGACTCAGTGGGCATTGCTTAGGCATATGAGGCCACCCATGATACCTACCGTCGGGAAGGGGGCAGACGCTGTAAATTTTCGTCTGGTTAAGGAGAGCGAGAGTGTCGATATCAGTGCTTCTCGTGGTACGGGCACAGACCAGGAAGCGGCGACGCCTGGCGAGAAGGGCACTGACCCATTCGAAGACTTTAATTCAGGTGATACAAGGACAACCACCGATTCACATACGGGGTATTGCTTGGCTAATATTGTACTGAAATAGTCACACTGCACCATGATGGCGACCACGATCATCACCACCATGTAGACACGGGTTTTGAAAAGGATAGAGGCGGTACTAATACATGATAGCTATTCGGAGATGTGCGTACATGAAGGTTCCAGGAGGGTATATTATTCTGAAGTGTTTCGTTTATTTGTGTTGCATTCTTGATTTCCATGCCATTCCTTCTGAATTTGAATGTAGATCCTCCGAGCACAAGTCTGAACGGCCTTTTTATTAACCATATACCGTGAGCACACCCAGAGAAGGCTTTCTGAGAGTTTCTGACAGTCATTCGGGTTTATAGCTCGTGCGTTAGTCGTCTGTTGAGCGCAGGGGTTGTGGAGTTCATTTTCATTTTTTTATTTTTTTTTCATTTTTTTTCATTTTTTTTTTTTTTTTCGTTTGTTTGTTTTCAATTTACTTTTAATTTAGCTTTTATTGTTGTTATTGTGTTATTATTATTATTATTATTATTATTACCACCATTATCATTATTATTATCATTGTTAACATCGTTATAATACGTATTTATATCCATGATCTCGCCGCAGATAGATTATTGTCGAGCATGGTTGTAATTGATGTCAACTCCGCAGAGATATCTCAATTTTGAAGCGACATCCTAGCAGCCAGCAGCATATCAGGGCAAGAATTGAGATGGGACACTGGATATTCTTCTGTATTGTAGATGAACGGTAGACCCTTTTTTGAATATGGAAATAGACTGGCCTTAAGGATGACCGACAATTAGGAAACAATGGATACTTGAATTGTTGGAAATTCAAGGATAGTTGCATTCGCTAGAGCCTTGGAGAGGGTGTCCTGAGCAGCCAATGGGAGCAGAGTTATGCTCTGTGAATGAGGTTCGAGCGATCGTAAATGGTACACCAAATTCAAGGGGTGGACCTTGGCATCGGAGGAGGGCGGCGGTGTTGAAAGGGAAGGAAGGACCTGGTTCTCAAAGGCGTCTTTGATGGTTAGGCTTTCATCCCTAGCAGGGGTTACGACGACGATATGATTAATACATACTTAAAGTACTCGGTAAGCATATATGGAATTCAAGACAACTTACACTTGGATAGTGGATGTGATGGAACCGTTGAAGACCCATTCGACAGTCCAGATGATGCGATCGTTATTGTAGAAGGAGTGGTTTTGACCGGCTCTGGACGATTGGCAGGGTGCGGGAAGGACGACAAGGCCCCGATTGTTGCAGATATCTTTGATTCGGCGATCAAGAGTGGGTTTAGACCGGAAGGGACCGTGAGGATCATCGGCAGCACGATCCAAGGCTCTCTGGATAGAGTTGAGGAAATCAAAGTCGGCAGCTACTTGACTCGGGTGATGTAGGTCTGATTTGGATTTGAAGGTGCTGGGACGCTGTTGGCCTTCGCAGGAAGTGCGCAACTTGTGTCTTTTAGAACAGGCGAGGGAGCATGTTCTTGCAGCACAGACGGGACATGTGTATTTGGACTCTGCTTCGACACAGACGGAGCAAAGAGCGGTGGGATCCATCTTATTACTACCTTTCTTACTATTCTTATTATTCTTATTGTTCTTATTCTTATTCTTATTCCTATTCTTCTTATTCTTATTATATTTTTATTCTGAATATTCTTATTATTCTGACTATCATTGAAGATTTTTTGTTGTTGTTGTTGTTGTTGTTGTTGTTGTTGTTGTTGTTGTTGTTGTTGTTGTTGTTGTTTTGTTGGACATTCGGATGAAACGGCCGGTATTTGACAAGATGGGATGAGGGTGAGGAAAGAGTTTGAGGATGGAGGGGATGGCCAATCGGGATGGGAATTGGCACCAATTGCCAAGGGACGCGTCTGCATACTTTACATATAATAATGGATGCGATAAGCGGGACGTGCTAATGTACTATGTAGGACTAGGTATATACTATGCACCCTGCCTAACTGGGAATATATCCCGCCTTCCCCTTTCCTTTTCCCTTTCCCCTTACCCTTCCCCCTTCCTCTTCTTTTTTTTAATTTATATTTTTTTTTATTTGCATGTATTTTTCATGTACTATGTATTTTCTCTATATACTTTTTTTATTGAGGTAAGTTGGTTATACCTGGTATACACTAGATAATATTGGCCCCTCCATCATCCCTCCAACCTCCAACCAACCTCCATCTGCCATCTCCCATCTGCCATCTACCCCTATTCTTCCTTCCCTCCCTCCCCTTTCCCCATTCCCGTTCTCCTTTCTTGGTGCCTAAGTAAGTCCACTTACACACTATCTAAGTACTTAAGTACCTAGGTACATGTTTTATTCTTAGCAAGCAAGTAACAGGGTCTAGTCGGCGCCAGCTTCCCCCCCCCTTTCTTTCTTTCCTTCTTTCTTTCCTTCTTCCTTTCTCTCATCAGTCGACTATTTACGTCCTGATCGGTTTTGCCGTCGCCGTCACAACATCGTCGCCTTCTTTTCTTCCCATCTTTCTTTCGGTTTACTTTGTTATATTCATATTTAGTTCTTTTTCCCACTTATTTTACTGCCTTCTTTCCCTATCTTCCTTTCTGTCCACTCCTTTGTTCATTCTTTGACCCTCCAATACTACAATTGGTTTTTTGTATTTTGTTTTGTTATTTGTTATTTATTTTACACACATACTAGGTACTTACCTAAGTACCTGGGTATACATCCCTTTATAACCGGGCAAGTCGGTGTATCGAGAATCAATTTGGAATCAAATATTCGACTCCGAAAAGATCTTGCAGAGGAGGGGAAATAAGAAAGAATAAAATCCAGTAAGGAACCAAAAAAAAAAAAAAAGGAGAGAAAGAGAGAGGAGGGAGAGAACAAAGGGATAGTCGCCACCACGGCTTTGACCACAACCACAACCACAACCACCAAGATGTCTTCCCTCCATAGGAGACCTTCAACCATCTCTCGCCCGCGTTCTGGGAACCCCGCTACTACACCTAACACCGACCGACCTCCCACGCGTGAAGCAGGCGACAACCCTCTACCAATACCCAGTCGAACCTCCTCTTTGCACAGTCGGATCACCCAACCCATACCTGCTACGTTAAACATTAAAGTTACCCAGAGGACACCCAAGACTCTTACCCATGCGTACCTGGTTTGTGGGGTTGGCCGGGAGCCATCTCAATGGGTCCGGGCACCACCTCCAACTCAAGGAAAAATCACCCATATGAAGGGAGCTGTTAGTCAGTTCTGGCTCCCAGAGATTTTGGGTAGTAGCCCCCGGGTTGAACAAGAAAATGATATTGCCAAAGCATTGCATGCAGCAATGAGGGTACGGATTATCCCCCCCCTTTTTTTTCTTTCTTTTTTCTTTCTTTTTTCTTCTTATTTTGTTATTTTTCTTATCGTATACCTTATATCATATTTATCTACCTAGTCTCAATTAAATATCGGATTTACTAACCTGGAAACCTTACCAATAGGCTTGCTTTCCACAAGATGTCGAGATCTGCACCGGAAGGACACAACCACACTGTGTTCATCACACTTTTGTCCTCCAGCAAGATTCATCCCAGACCCTCTACGGAATCGCATTGCGCGTGTGGTCAAGGGCCGATGAGAAAAGGGCGGAAACTATTAGGGAAATGAGGAAGCGTGTAGAAGGTGGTGATTTCTTCGATGCTCCAGACGAGACTTATTGGATACCGTATGCCTTGAGTTTCCTGTCTAGGTATCCTCTCTTTGACTTGCTGGGCGATTATCTAAGAGGGATGTGGATCCACTGGAACAAGGCGACAAATCTATTCCACGCAGAGTAAGTGCTTTCCGCTGCAGTTAATGTTTACCCCCGGAAACAAACACTCAGACCAAGTGATAATTGTAGGGAAGTCTCTCGGATTCTTTCATTTCCAGCCCCGCGTCTCAATGACCTCGTCAGAATCGACATGAAGGATTATGCTCTATGCTACCAGTTCCCGTCTTCTCCCACCGGATTCCAAAACGTAAGTCCTGTATTGATATATCTATGATCATCTTCTATATTTATTTATATTATCCCTTTATATAGATAAGTATATCAAGATCATGCTTTGAAACATCTAACTCTTTTGCCTTGTCTACAGTTCTCAATGTGGCCTCTTTTTAGCTGTCTTTCGATTCCGAATATAGTCGGAGTAATCGAAGCAGCTCTTTCCCCAACAAGGCGAATAATTTTTGTCAGTCATTATCCCGCGATACTCACAGTCGCAGCGGAGACCATCAGGCATTGCGTTCGTGTGTATGAGTGGAGTGGGTTATATGTTCCGCTTGTCCATGCCCGTCATGCGAAGGATCTAGTTCAGGAGCCTGGCCCGTATATTCTGGGCTTCACAGCCGAGAGTCGGAGTCTCTTTTCAGCTCCAAATGACGCCTTGGTGGTAGATTTGGATAGGAATTTCGTTTTAACAAGCAGCCCACCGTCTGTGTGGACGCCCGGACAGAGGACGAAAATGATATCGAGGTTAACTCAAGCTCTAAACGGAGATGTTAGTCCCACTGGTGTTCCTACACACCTTCGGTCTGCATACGCCGGTGGCAAGCTTGTTCCTGCTGGTCAGATTATCGTCATGAGAGGCGAAGTCGAAAGTATACAAGACCCAGATTGGTGGCGCCAGGATGCTGTTATGAGCGTATTCGACCATGTTTGCGAGAAACTAGTAAGTATATTCTCTTTGTCAATCCACTACTCTCTTCCTCTTTATTATCATCCATCGTCATCATTATTATCCAGAACATTCGGCGGGCTTTATTTTAACTTTGGACTTATTATAGACACGCAATACCGGCATGAAGGCGATTTTCGGGGGCGCTGTTAAAAAGCCTCTCATGACAAAGGTCTCCGTCCGTCATTTGAATGAAATAATCCGTGAACGCAATCAATTTTCTCGGGATGCCCTCGAAGCTTGGCAGGACTTTATCAATTTGAAAAATCGTATGGATACGGAATTGACAAAAGTTACAAAACGAAATAACTTCTTAGTAGAGGAACTGGATAGTTGGAAAGCTCAGTTTGAAAAGTTCCAAGCATTTGCAGCCCAGCTTACGAAGGAAACGAACGATCTCAAGGCCAAGATAGAGGGTCACAAGCGTGAAAACCGCCGTCTATCATCTTTGATAGACCAACAGAAAGATGAGACGAATCGACTCACACTCCGACTTTCTGGGACCGAAAAGCAAAGGGACGAGGCTCTAGAAGCGTTGGTACTCCAACAGGCGGTTGCCGAGGAGTTAGAAAAAGAGAGAAAGAAAAACGGTAAAGAGCTTGCCGCCCTACATCATACTAACGCAAACCTTTTGCGTCAGCGTGATCAGGCACAAAGGGTCGTTCTACAACTTCGAAGCCTGATTGACGGTCAGACTACGCACTTGGAGCATATTGTTCGTTCTTTCGGAGACAATCTTGAGCTCGCAGATGTTACAGAAGGAGAAGAAGAGATGGAACAAGCTATCGGGACCCCGACTACCCCAGTATCAAATGAAACTCCTGCACCGCCAATTCCCTCACGAGCACAATCACGAGCACAATCACGAGCAAGCAGTTTTAGTTCTACCGCACAACAAGGGGAGGATGTTTCTCCTGAAATGGAACGAAGGTTGTTTTTCAACAGCCCTAGGGGATCTCGAAGGTACTCGGAGATGAGTCTTAATGATGTTGCAGACCGCCACATCAAAGAAAAGACTGATGCAATTGCAGACATCATCCGTAGTATCTCCGAACAATGTGCGGCAGCAGTTGAAGGCTTACAGCTTGCTCACCGTGCAGCACAGGAAGAACAAACCCTGGCAATAAACACTATACGACAGAGCGTATCTGAAGAGGAGCTCATGGGAGAAGCAGAGCTCGTTCATGGCGTTGGCGGCCATCTCCACCCCAATGATTCTTTGTCCTCTGTTCCCTCGACACCCGATCTCACGTACCGCTCATCTACATCCCTTTCTATGGCGTCGACTCCGGGGCAAGATCGCTTCTCGCTAGGAAATTCCGCGGAAGTTGATGTTCCAACTAAGATAGTCGAGGCGGATGATCTGGACGAAATCGAGGAAATTGAGAAGCACGACATCACGCATGAAGGGCTAGGTATTGAATCTCAAAACGGCGTTGAATTCACGAACCTAAAGAAACGAAAATCTGCTAGGGACATTGGGATATTTGGTGTTGAGTCGATACCAAAGACCACGGACGGCATCGTCAATCGGGCCGAGGCGAGGGTTTCCGCTTTTGGCGCGAATAATTAAGCGACCAAAATATAGCTTTCTATATTCCTTTCTATCTTTCTTTCTTTTTTTTCTGAATGACTTTCATTCTTGCTTCACCCGCATTTCTTACCACGCGGAGGTCCCTTTCTTAGTTTTCTTGCAATTTAGCCAGTGTGCCATTATTGGCCCCCTTCTATATGAATAATTCATTTTAATTCTTGGTTCTCGCCTACCACGCAAGGCCGTGCTTAGCGGACTTCCCTTTGGATGACTGAATTTATAGCCATAGCTCGTACCGTTTTTCCGGGATATATTACAGGGAGAGGGGGGCTTGTTTTCCCCTCCCTTCTCTCCTTTGCCGCCACCGCTCGGCTTCTCTTCATAATCAAGAGTTCCTATTGTAAAAGAAATAATATGTACACCTGGGTATCTCGAATTATGGACCGCGTCCGCAATCGTGCAAGAGTAATAGACGAGGGATCTAACCCCATTCCGATAAGATGGATAGCTTACGTTTCCCTTCGTCCCTAAATTCCTTTTATCAATTGAGATATCTCAAGGCATACAAGTTGGTTTCAATTCCCCCGAATTTCTTGCGTTCACGGTTCACGAGGCAAACCAACTCGGGCCTATTTCTATGCTTTGTGTCAGTATATATGACAATACACCATTTTTGTAGAATTGTTGTAATTGATATAAATCCTGAGACTGAAAAAAGTCCACACTACCCTATCGCTCTGTTTCTCTATGTGATTCACCTTGATATCGCGAAGGAACGAAACCTATAAGTACGCCAAGCTGTCCTTGAGCACGAGAGTATTTTCTATTCCAGAGTTTAATGTTGCTCCCATTTCTACATTCGAACGAATCTAGCGGGCACGATGGGAAGGTACTTCCATGATCAGAACAGGACTAGCCGGACTTGTAGGCACAATACCTTAGCCAAGCTATCAGTGGATTAAAAACGCCTCGACCGAATCGACCATCGGGGGTAAAGGCAACTTCGACTCCCCTTAGTGAAGCTTTGGGTGGCCCACTGGAGAAATGAAGTTTTAGAGGATCTTGCAGGTTTTTTGTTTTTTTGGCCGGCCGGCTGCGGGTGTCCGTGAACTTCCCGGGCTAGGGATATCTTTACCAACAGCCGTATTGACTGCTAATTCGAATAGCTCCTGTACTCCCTGCATGGTTTTGCTACTACATTCCATATACAATGCTCCCATACCACGGGCAGTATCCATTGCTTGTTCCGTTGGCACTGGGGCCAGCCCCTGCGTACGGAGTAAATCTATTGCATTGGTATCCTGACGAAGGTCAGATTTGAGCCCTGCAAGGATCAATGGTACTGTCGGACAGAAATGCATAACTTCGGGGTACCACTGCCAAATTGAAAGTTCAGACAAGTTAGAACATTATGGGATACGATTTTGGAACGAGCTTACCTTTTCCATAACATTGTCGAAACTCGTCGGACAATCAACAGCAAAGCAGACAAATAACACATCTGTTTCCGGGTACGATAGCGGACGTAATCGGTCGTAGTCTTCTTGGCCGGCGGTATCCCAAAGGGCTAGTTCGATTGGTTTGCCTGTGGGTTTATGTGTTGTATGTGCAATGTAGTTTTCAAACACTGTTGGAACATATTTCTAATTGGGACGGGCTTTTAGTATTCGGTCGGTATTCACTTTATTTGCTCGGCAATTGTACCTCAGGGAAATATCCTTGCGAGAAACTAATGAGAAGGCATGTTTTTCCGCATCCGCCGTCTCCCACAACCACAAGTTTCTTCGAGAGAACAGCTGGAAGACCAGACTGTGAGCCATCGGAACGTCCAGGGCTACTCTGATGTCGCGACATCCTTGTATTTAATTTATGAGATCGGGACTGCAGAAAGCAACGGAATTTCCGTTAAGTTTCCCGAGTTGATGAAATATATGAGACCTGAGGGCGATTGCCAATGAATGGCATTCTACAAGGCCAGCCCAATCTGAATGGTCGGGAATGATAGGGCGGATCGCAGGAGGCGCAAGTCGGTTCTGAAGCAAGTCCTTCAGGTCTCGCTACCAATGATATGACCAAAGAGAATATGCTGTATGGGAGGCTGTTGGTAGTCCTAGTGATGGCGATGATGATGGTACTGAGAGGGGGAGGAAGAGGAGGGGAGGAAGAGGTGGTGGAAGAGGTGGTGGTAAGAGTGGCAGTGGCAGTGGCAGTGGTAGATGTAATAGAGGTGATGGCGGTGGCGGTGGTGGTGGTGGTGGTGGTGGTGGTGGTGCCAGTGCTGCTAGTGATGGTGATGGTGATGGTAATGACGATGACGATGGCGGCGATGTGTGGTGTTGTTGGAGTTGTTTGGGTGCCGGGTGTTGTTGGCGGGACAACATCCCCGTTCTTGGAGTCTACGTTCTTCTCCCATCCACGACGAATAATAACCACGACCACGACCACGACCACGACCACGGCTGCAGGCGCTCGATCATGGCCAAAGATGACTACGCCACTGCTGGCGGCCCTTTACGTCTTAAGGGCTCTAGTGGTGTCGTAAAGCATAAATCAAGGAAGAAGACCAAACCTTCGAAACAATTAAAGCCTAAGGACATCTCCCAGCAAAACATCAAGAACCTCCCTGAAAATGACGACCAAGGACCAAGCACATACACAATTCAGCAGGAAATGCCCCAACAAAGAAAACACAAAACAGAGGCCGAGCGGAAGTTTGAAGAAGCACGTAAGAAAAAGGTAACACTGTCACCATTCTAAACTGATCTTATGAGAGTCAATACGCTAAACTAAATCCTCATAGCTCGACCAGCTCCTGTTGAAAGACGCCGCGAAATCACACAAGGAACGAGTTGAAGAGTTTAATAAGTACCTATCAAACCTAAGTGAGCATCACGACATGTATGAACACGAGCCTCTCTCCCCTCCGAATCCTACTGAATGCTGATCCACCGGGATGTAGGCCTAGAATTGGACCGGGTTAATGGGTGTGCACGTCCCCCTTCACCACCAAGTGGTATATACCCGCTATAAACCTAAAGGTATTCAAAAAAAAAGAGAAGACAACATGGTTTTTTTACACTCGGGCGAGGGGATTACTGCGACTTCGACATTTCAAGCCACAGCAGCTTCTGACAGAACGCCGAGAATGCTTTACATCATTTGAAAATGAGAACACCCAAAAGGATGACTCGGTCGAGGTGTTTGTGCAAAACGCTGTATTGTCAATTATACCATGTACATACAGTTGTGGGCCAATTTTGGTGGGTTTCAATAAGAACTCAGTCTTGTTCCACGCTACAGAATGCTCGATAGCCTTCGATCCCAGTACCTTCAATTTGAATGTACAACCCAGCACCCACAAATACCACAGTTCCGGGACGGATTGAGACGACTTTCTCGCCAACAATCCCGCCTCCCCTAATCTCACCAGTTCCAGCTGTGAAAATGATGATGCTCGGCCCGAGAATGCCTTGGAATTCTACTGAGCCGTTCTCTAGAGTTGTTCGTATCACAGAGAACTCTTCGATAGGAGGATTGTATAAAAGAGATTCCGATTTTGTATTCAGGTCTAGTATTCCAAAAGGATAGGGAGTCGGGTTCATAACCTGCGCAGAAACCGGAGCTGATCGATATGTGAGCATTTTAATCAAAGTTTTGACATCTTTGAATTTTGGGGTAAATCCAGCGCGGACAACATTGTCAGATGCCGCCATGCACTCGATTATGTCTACAAGTTTAAGTTAGCCTCCTAAACCTTCTTAGAAAGGAAGCAGAAGATGCATTGGGACAGACCGCCTGAAAGATACGCGTGTGGTTCGTTAGCTTGGAGGAACATTGCCTGGCCAGGAGACAGTGAAACGAAATTGAGGAAGAACGTTGAAAAAAGGCCCACGTCGGACGGGAATTGATTGTTGAGCTCGATAATGAGATCGGAGAATGACCCTCCATTTGAAAGGAGGGTACCTCCCGCAAATGTGTCAGGTTGGCTTTTGGCAGCTCTCACCAAAGACTCTGCACCTGAAGCGATTGCAACAGAATCCGAAGTCATTAGTTCTGCATATAAATCCCGAAGTCCTCGTTTTCTGTCTGCCTCATTCTCAGAAGCTAGCAAATTCTTGAAGGAATCAATTGCTGCCGACCCAAGGAGGTTTCGCAATGCTGGAACGGTTGAGAGAAAATGGTCTATTTCAGACAAAGGGCGGAAGCCACAAAGCCCCGTGAATGGCGTGATGGCGATGGCCATCTCGGGTTTGTGGTTATCATCTGCTTGCGGGATTTAGCTAGAACGTTGCCCGAACTGCGGTCTCCGGTGTTCAACATACCGGGATAGTTCTTCGGGTCGTCTGCGTGCAGCTGCTCGGCCAATCTTTTGTCCGGGTGCGCCTGGATGCTCAAGGCCTTGCCAATGCTGAGAACTTTGAATAAGAATGGAAGAGTCCCGGCTCCAAATTTGCCAACAACAGCTGGCCCTAGTAACGACTCGTTGTCGGATACGAGATCCCGTAGGCTTCTCTCAGACGCTACATCAGTCGACGGCAGGGTCGGATGTGTTCCCATCCAAAGCTAATTTTGGGCGGAGTTCGAAATAACTTAGCAGGATGTACATCGAATTGTTTGAATTGAAATGCGTAACACGTTACCTCGGCGTATGGCTTATCCTCGTTAATTGCAATCCCGATTGATGATGCCGCGGCAAATTGAGCGGCACGGGAGGTCGACCCAGGTTTTCCTACAAGAAAGAAAGGGGGGTGTATAAGTGAGATGTGAATGTGGGGGTGAGTAGTGGGATAGTGCACACCCCAGTCATAGTTGTTGACACCTGCGACATCAAATGTATTGTTAGTATCAGGACAAGCGAAGGTGTAGCTGGATGCATACCACAGCGAAGCTCATATAAGGGCACAGGAAGCACCATTTTCGATTCAATTTGAAATCCTGAGTATAGAAGTAAATTTATGTGCTCGTCGGGGTCGGATGGTACTTTATATATAAACTTAATTAGCTGAAGAACCAAACGAAGATAGGTTAACGTCCATACTTTATACTCCCCCGCTAAGTTTGTATGCACGTTTGACATGGTGTTGGATTTTCCGCCCAATTTAAGTACTAAGTACCATTATAAGTACCTTAGTACTTACTAGGTACTTGCCTATGTATACTTACCTTGTCCCCCTCGTTCCTCGCTCTAAACTTCATTATCATCATCGACAAAGCCCAAAGACCAAAGGCTAAAGATTAGAGCTAAAGCTAATGCGATGCCTCCCCTGCGCCTTATCGATGGAACACTTGTCAAACAAGGCGCCGAGGCTCACGTCTACAAGTCTACATTTCTCTATCCAAATGTTCCCTGTCTTATCAAGGTCCGTCCAACTAAACCATATCGGCATGCCACCCTTGACATGCGCCTCACAAAGCATCGTTGTATATCTGAAGCCCGGCTGCTTAACCGCTGCCGGTCGATGGGGGTTTTATGTCCGACTGTCTACTTCGTCGACGAGAAACGTGGGGAAATCATTATGGAGTGGATAGAAGGCCCCTCCGTTCGAGATTTCTTGCACAATTACATAGATGACGCATCTGACCATGGCAAAGATGAGAATAAGGCTATCGATGTGCAACTCGACGCTCTCATGGAAAATATTGGCCAGACAATTGGGAAACTGCACGATATCGATACAATACACGGGGACCTTACGACTAGCAACCTTATGTTGAAACCTCGAGAAAGTCCAGGCACTCAGGTTTTAGATACGGCCGATACATCTCTTGCAAATTCGGATGTCGTACTAATAGATTTTGGCCTTGGTCAAGTTTCGAGCAGCGACGAGGATAAAGCGGTGGATCTTTATGTACTTGAACGTGCTTTCCTTAGCACACACCCAAGGGCTACACGCCTATTCGATATTATCATTGATTCATATAAACGGAATTGTCTTGGATCATCTGTAGTCTTGAGACGACTGCAGGAAGTTCGACTAAGAGGGAGGAAAAAGAGCATGGTCGGCTAACCAGTCGTGGTCTTGGGATATCATTTATTAGAACAATCTATACTAGCGATTCGGACTCCTATGTTCGATCAATATCAACTTTTGCCATGGCGAAGTATCTATTACTAGAGTGGTCAGTATACTCGTCGTCTCAAATAAACCCCTATTCTGAAAAAGAGTAGATTGTGTATAGACAGGGGAGGTAGAATCACGGACCCTTTGTTCTCCACCACTCCCCGATCCTGGATCACAGCAGTATATTTAACCACCCACTGTGGGTCGACATTCTTGAAACCCCCGAAGGCTAAATGGTTTTCTTGGAGTAAACCTTGAAGGGCAGAAGATGGGAGTATGTTGGTGCAGTCATTGTGAGTCAATAGCTCTATCCTTTGCTCCCTCGCAAACTGGATGAGAGGTTTCGGGACTACGCAACAGTCGCGGACGTTGATTTGATCCACGGAAGGCTTAATACTCGTTCTCGGAAGTAATTTCAAAAGGCGGGCAACCCCGAATTCTGACAGACCAATCCTTTTGATCTGGCCTTCCAGCTGGAGGGTCTCTAGGGTTTGATATGTTTCTGCCCATTCATCGACTTCTTCCTGTGTCGGTTCTGTGTCGGGAGAGTGATCCTCTGCATCGAACGAAATATTAGGAAAAGATATGATGAGTAAATCTATCGAAGATACACGGAGTTCACGGAAGACGTTTTGCAGGGCTTCTCGTGTGTGATCCCTTCTTTTGGATACGAATACCCCCGGGAGGTAGAAGAGTTTAACTAAGCAGCTCACATCAGTACACCCTAAGGGAAATCTATCGGGGCCCGGGGGTTTCAGCGAACCTGTAATATCATATTCTGACCGCTCTTCACTCAAGCCGTCTGGTTCCTCGATACCCGGGGCGTAGAATGTATCTCCTTTCACCTCAATCCAAGATGATTGTTCACTAGTAGCTCGTGATGCTGCATCTTCAAAGTTTTGCCTAAGAGAATTGAGAAGCTCTTGATTTGATTTTTCAAGACTAGTTCGGCCAGTGATAATAATGTTTCCTGTGCGAAAGACAACTAGCGACGGAGGCGACATCGCGGGTGCAGAGGTTTGTCACCGGCTCTGAAACAAAGAGCTTTAAGTTTGAAATTAGAAATTTGAAGATGTGGTCTCGGGTATCCTTAGTGATAACTGGCTCTAGGCCTTAGCTTGGGCACTGAATTTGAGGAGTCCAAACGTCGACGTTAGAATAGTCTCGGATACTTAAGGATGTACATGGTATTTCATAAGTTTACGATTCGAGTGGGTCGTTGACTATGCAATTGCGCCCCCTACTGCCTTCCTGGTCTATAGCTAGGCCTAGTACCAAAAAGCAATATCGGTAGTATCAGATATTGATGTAAAAATTACATGTAACTAGACTGTTATGGTGACAACTACAGTTTCACGTGACATATACGTACGATTTCAGCTTCCTAAAATGTATGCATCACGCAGCACTGTAGAATATATAGGTATATACGCTGCAGAATATATATTTACACATGCCTAAACTCACAACTTTAGACAAATTCGCTCAAATTATTAGGCTATGATTGGTTCCGGTGTCGTAATTTATTATTATAAAGCTACGGTGGCCACCGGTGGGGGACATGATATCATGATTATGAATGTCAATCAGTCTGCAGTCTTTCTACCTATCACCGAATTGGCCATATTGGTCGGATTTCAAAAGGAAAGAATTCAAATATGACGAAAACATCAGCTGCTGTGTCGCACGCGTATCCAGGTCCTACATGAGTACTTATTTAACTCGCTGACAGCATAATACACAAATTCATATACTCGGTAAGGGGCAATTTGATAAATGGTTTGGAATATTGGCGCATCGAGCGACTTCCAAAGCTCTTCTCGGACCCCTTACGGTTTGAAGCTGGTTCAAAACATTTTAAAATCAATAGGAGATCGAGATTAATCAGGCGTCATCATCCGTCCGCTGAATGAGTTTCAACCTGGCTCCTTCATCCGAATCTAAGACGTCATTGCGGCAAGATACGATAAAGATTGCAACAGCAATTGCGTTCCATATATCCAACCCGGTATCCGTCCAGTCCAAAACGACATGCGTTTTAACATCTGTGTCGGAGCCATCACAACCCAGGCTACTCAGCGCTGCGACACAGTTATACACTGTTATGCCGTAGATTACAGCTAGCGGTCTAGCTGGAGTATCGATATTTTCGATATCATTACTTGGTGGGGCCGTTTGACGTGGGGCTTGTTGATTCTTTACCCTAAGTTCGCTGGCCATTGATTTCATTTTGCGCTCTGTCTTTTCGCTAGTAACTTTCGCATTGCCATTCTTGCTTCGGTTGTAGTTGATCGTGAGTACCGAAGATAAAGCTAAATTTTCGGCATCAGACTGGGAAAAGGAATATGGGGGAGATGAAGAGGGACGAGAACAAGAAGCGGGATTCTTAAGAAACGTACATATTTCTCCATCCTTTTCGGCCCAAGTTAAAAAATTCTTTATTTCTTGGAAAATCAGCGGCTCCACGGGTGCCGAAGGGTTGATTTCCGTCCTGTCTCGCACTTGTCCCCCGACATTGACTAGCCTCTGTAGTGCTTGTGATCCTGGATTATTCAGACATTTTAAGATCAGCACTTGGACAAGGAGACATAGTATAGAGAAGCAATGAAATTGGAAGATGATACCCCTGAATTCCATGGAAGCCGATGGCGTAAGAGCACATATAAAACTTTGTTCGCCGACTGGGGAGTACAGCGTTTCAGGAAATGTCGTAAAGTCCAGACGCCATGGAGCTGGAAGTAGGGCTTCTCTGCCGCGTCTTCTTAATCGTCGGAACAAAGCTACTTCGCTTTCCGCCCAATCGCCCTGAGCAAGTATTTCGGTAAGCTCCGCCTGTTCCTGGGTCTCGCTGTCGTCAGATAGCCCGGTAAGCTCCAAAGCATCTTGTTGAACCTCTCGGGAAAGTACACTGTCAATCTCTCGAGAATAAAACTTGGATCGGAGAGGAGTTTGGTCGTTGGTGGGGGGGGTTAAGTCAGCGAAAACGCTAGTCGTTGAGCGGCGTCGCTTCGCGCCGGAATGTTCGCTCATCGTCGCAGATAAAGGAAGAGGGGCGGGGCGGTTTGCCGTGATCTAAGTCGCTCGCCCCATAAAATGTACATATAATATTAAGAGCGCAACCATATCAGAGGGTCGGTCGATGTTATGAAAGTCAGATCAGAGAGGCGGTTGGTTTATGGACCGGTAGAGATGCTAGATGATAGGCCAGATGCTATGCATGTAAGTACGGTTTAAAGATGCAGATGAGGTGTGTGGGTCCAGAGCTTGTTTGCTTAGCTTACCGACTCCGTACTAGTGGTATACCTAAGAGGCACCTGCTTGGTAGGAGGTCAGACAGAATAGAAACTTACAGGGGGTAGCTTCATCTGCATCAATTGGTTGTTGTGATTCGCGTAAACAGCTGTAACGGTAATCAACAATCAATTTGCATCCAGTCAACATGTACGCCCGCCACCATCACCACCACAAAATACGGCTATCGATCTATCATCACTACCTCTCAATAATCACGATTAGCTACCTGTAACATATACGGATCCTCTATATCCTATCTTCGTTGGTGTACTTGATACTCTAACGGGTCGCTCACTTCGAATAAGACGCACCAACAAGAAACCATTCCTCTCCTCTGGCCCCATTCTAGCCCATCGGTGTCCTGGGTAGGAAATTACAGCACATACGAGGCGCCTGCTGAGGTACCTAATTAGTACTTACCTATCTCTTCCTTAAGTAGGTGCTTGGTACATACCACTGGGGACAGACAGACGGGAAAATAAATAGTTGTACGAAGTGCCAAAAGTCGCGGATCGAACATCATGGCGTCGTGGTTGCAGGGCCTCGAGGATGATTGGATATCAGACGGACAATTACCTGCAAAACTACAAACTAAGACACCAGTGCCCAAGAATGCCTCGGCCAAACTTCACTCGAAACCCACCCCCCCTAAATCTTTCATCCCACGGCCTTCTTCTCGAAAAACACCCATCGTCCCGAAGCACCTTGTCGAGAACTCAACTATATTACAGGATGGCAGTCCCTCTGAAAGGCGTAATATCCCTCTCGTTCAAGAGCCGAGTCCGACTATCACTCCCCAGGGTACTGTTCAGAAGCTTACCACAAACTTACGTCCTATCATTCTGGTAGATGGTGGAAACGAGGATTTATTTAGCCCTACTCGCTTGGAAAGCCTCTTTGAACCCATTTCCGACGGCTCGTGCACGTCATGTTCTTCGGAAAACCTACCTTCCCATCCTTCAGAGCAGCAGTCGGGTGGAGATGCATCTGGGATAACCCAGGGCGAAGGCCTAATGGATGAGCAGTCGTCTGAGTCCTATCAGCCCAACGATAAATCCGAAACCCATGCTGCCCCGCACTTAAGCTCGATGCTTGAGTATGAGTCTGAAGACCCTCTTGAACGATCGGCTTGGAACTCCACACCTCCGCCGTTTATTGCTTGGCGGCCCACTGAATCTTCAACAAATCAAGATACATCTCTGTTTCGGGAAGAAGGAGAAGAAGGAGAAGAAGGAGAAGAAGGAGAAGAAGGAGAGGACCGATCTTCAGTCATCAGAGATGAGGAGTACATAAACAGTATCTCCACCTCTGCATTTTCCGATCAGTCCCCGGGCCTAAATGGGCTCCTCCATTTTAACTCCAGAAGTGAATTACCGAGACACTTTTACGGAAATTATGGGAATCGCAGTTCTCGACAGCATTCCCCGGAGCAGAGCGTTTTATCACATAACAACCAGTTATATTTCACTACGCCTGATCGAAAAGTTCTCTGGCGCATAAACTCCGAGGATGCGTCTCTGGAGCTGCCAGGTACCAGCCCAAGAGAATGCCCACCGCTGAAGCTGTTTTCATCAGCCCCAAATTCTTTTACCAAAACTGCAGTACATGGACAGATGTCCCAAATTGATCACGTCAACTCGCCATATGATGAGAAGACTCATTCTGAAACTTCGGGGCACCCTGAGACTTCTTTGGCCAATCGGTCGAAGCGGCTCCTAGATGGGACACCCGCTAGCGCCAAGAGGATACCGGCTAAGGTACCGCCCAAAGAGGCACCGCGCTCTGATTCTCTGCATCCCCCATCACCCGTCAAAGAGAGTCAGCCCAAGCGACAGAAGTTGAATCTTTCTTCGAATGGGGAATTGACAGATGTTGATAGCGAATCAACTAGTGAGGAATTTGACAGCGATGCGTCGGTAGTACGGAATCCGAGCGCTCGAATAGCGCGCACGATTGCAGGATTCGAGCCGCAGGAATCGACGAGCAAGCTGTTAATCGAGCCCGAAATTGACTTTTCACGATCGCCACACCCGAATTTCCTTTCAGACCCACACTCCGCATTCACCCGTGCTGCTAGCCTTCACTCGTTGAATGTTATTTTAGCTTCCAAAGTTAAGCATATGATGCCAAGGAAGGTCGGGAGTATGGTCTTTGACGAGGAGCGGCAAGTTTGGCGACATGAAAATGACGTCATAGATTCTATGAGGCGAGATCTGTTGATGGATCTGACGGTGGGAGAGAGGTCGCCGCCGGTGCTCGAACGGGAAGATCCGTTCGAAGAAATATCTGATCTAGCCACGAGCTTAAGCTCACGGCTTGTGCTGTCGCACGATCAAAAGGGGGTTGCTGAGACGGCCCCTCCTTTATTTAATAGCTCTGGATTTTCTACGGGTCAGAGTAGAAACCCAGATTCGGGCATTGCTACAAAATCCTCAAAGCTTATAGAACCGGAACTTTCCGTTGGGGATACTTCGCCGACCCCTAGGGAAGGTGTTCGTCCGATTTCCCCTAATATTGATCCCAAGAAAGGCAACAATCAAAGGGCTTTGGGCGCAGATGGCATTCGGCATCTAGACCACGAGCAGTCGAGTGGAAAGGATAGGGTCGGAGAAACGTATCGTGGGACAGTCGATCAGGGAGCGGGGGCATCATGTTTGGATACAACAACTCCGACTGCAGTCCCCCCGACCATCAATGGGAGCTCCCTTGTGGTTCCTCAGACCCAGAACACCCCTTGTCAGTCCCTGAGGCAATATACAATATCGGTGCAGGCAAACGGCGCCCCACTTAACCGAACAATGTTAAGCATGAGAAAGCCCGAGTCATCATTTTGGAACACGCCTTTGACAGATATTACCTATCATTTTCTCGAAGCTGATAGTCGGATGCAATCGGGGTTCCCGCGAGGTTACCATTCCCGTAACAGTAGACAGCTCCGAAAGTTCCCTTCTGACAAGACTTCTTTAGCTCTAAAGAGCATGGTACGCCATCTTACTGACAACGATATGTTTGGTCCCTACTGGGACCAGAATAAAGCATTACAAATTCAGAAACAGGGACTAGAGCACCTCCAAGATCTCGCCTCATTCCATCCGAACCTCGTGGAAGTCAACCTTGAACACAACCAGCTCACACACTTGACGGGTATGCCTTCTACAGTCCGGGACCTCAAAGTTGCAGGAAACCTTCTTTCAAGCCTCACCGCATGGGCGCACCTTACGAATATACAATTTCTTGACTTATCTTCAAACCGACTTGATAATCTTTCAGGTATGGTGCAGCTATATACGTACAATCCCTGGATCAATCTCACATAATGATACGTATAGGTCTTTCGGGTTTAATCCATTTACGAGACCTCAAGGCGGACAATAATCAGATCACATCACTAGATGGGGTATTGCATCTTGATGGCCTTGTCAAGCTACGGCTTAGACTGAATCATATTCGTGGCGTAACTTTTGGAACGTCCAACTTGTAAGTCAAATAATCGAGTTGCGCCCTATTCGTGATTTGCAAACTAATAAATGCTAGAAAACATCTCAAAAGCTTAGATTTGGGAAGTAATAAAATCGACCGTATTGAATACTTGCATCGGCTGCCAGAATTGTCTTATCTGAATTTAGGTTCGTTGGCTACCTTCCTTGGACTCCACAGATTGCCTAGACTTAACGAATAAATAGACTCGAACAATTTAATTGAGTTTATTATAACCGAAGGCTTAGAGGTGCGAGGCCTGCGGACACTCGATTTATCACGAAACAGCCTCCGGTACTTTACAGCTCGACCTTTTCCAAATATAAAAACCCTCTATCTAGATTCAAACAAACTAGAGGTTGTCGATGGCATTCCAACGGCTCGGTATCTTGATAGTTTTTCATTTAGATCCCAAGCCGGTTCTAGGTAAGGCTCTTCCCCTGAGTCATTCACTGTTCAAAGCTAATAACCCAAGTACTATCAACATTCCCTTCAACTCCCTTTATGAGCTTCGAAAAGTATATGCGTCTGGCAACCCGATATCGTCTCTCCCCCTTCTTGATTACTTTGTCAATTTGCAATATTTGGAGCTTGCGTCCTGCAACCTTCGAATACTCCCCCCCAACTTTGGTCGCCTCATGACTAATATTCGTGTCGTCAATCTCAATAACAATGCATTATCTGACATTAAGCCATTGTATGGTATTTTGAGGTTGAAAAAACTCTTTCTCATGGGAAATCGCATATCAAACTTGCAAAAATTAAACAACATGTTGAGGTTCCTTCCTTTTCTATCAGAACTTGACCTAAGGTACAATGCTCATTATCGTATAATCGGTGGTAATAGTCTCTAATTTTTTATTTTATTTTACAGACACAACCCCCTTACTCTTGGATTTTATGCGATTCTATCTCAATCGGTAGACTTGACAAGGTCGGAAACCTCCGGGGAGACTATCGACCCCAGCCCCTTCCTCATGCAGCACCAAGATAAAGAGAGCGATGAAATGTTTCAAAGATCGATGACGGAGGATACGGCGGTCGCACGTCGATGCTACGATATTCTTATTGGAGAGCAGTGCCCCCAGATGGCACACCTTGATGGCTTAGTGTTTGATATCAAGCATAAACTGCGTCATGATTTGATTTGGGAGCGTATGACCAAATTAGGACTCTTGTTTGAGGCCAAATATACGGGAAATAGCGACCCGACGCTCGATAGTTGATACGGCCGAAGTGGAAGCGCAAACTAATCGACAAAGCAATGATTGACTGGCTTTTCAAGTTGCCTGTGGAAGAGCTCAATCGTAGCAAAACTGCGCCTCGGCCTTCCATTTTGTTGGCATTCCTGCTGCTTTGTTTTCTCTTGACGGATTACTCGGGATATGAAGTTCTACCGTGTGTCGAAGATCGGTAAGAATACCTCTAGGCGCGAGAGGGGAAATGGTGTTATATGATAATTTTTACAGCTTGTAAGTTCCGCGTATTTAGTCCGATCTGTAAAGTGGTGTGCACAAGCAGAAACACCTAGTTCGCTAGCTCGTGCTTACCTAATGCTTTATTGTTTTTATCTAGCATATTCTCCCAGCATATCAGCGGGCCGGTGTTTTAGGCAAGGCCCAGGCAACGGGCCCGTAATCATTTGGGTTGGGTTGGTAATTTAGCATCAGCATCTCTGTAAAGGATAGACTTGCGTCTGGACGATATCGTGTATGAGTATTGACTGCTCATCTGTTTGATTCACGGTCTTTAGCTGTTTTTGGATAGGACAGCATAACCTTCTACATGGTGCGTCTATAACTAAGTTAATGAAAACGATTCCAAAAATATGCACTCTGACAACTTACCTGTGGGAAAAAGTCGAACCCTCCAATTTTATCGATACGGTAGTCCTTTCCAAGACCCTGTTGGACGATCCACCCGATATCTCGTGCCATAGTATGGACATTGCAGCTAATATAGACGAGTCTTTTTGGGCCGAGTTTTAGAAGCTGGGAAAGAAATAATTCGTCACAACCCTTTCGTGGAGGATCGATGACCATGCTAGTGAGCTCAGGCGGAAAGTCAATATTTGCAAATATGGCCTCCGCATTTCCCGTAATGAATCGGGCGTTGTGGATCCCATTTTCCGTGGCGTTTTTCCTTGCTGATTCGATTGATTGTGACGATATATCAACTCCAATTATTCCATTAAACCCATGCCCACAGCAGATACTGAAAAGCCCAGACCCACAATACGCATCAATGAGATAGGATTCTGAATGATCCTGCCCTGCCAACTTCGGGATCACAAGCTGCTCCTGAACGAATGTGGTGAACTTCCGAGGATGTATTATTAGCGAAACGTAATTCCCTTTATCTTTTTTTGCTCGAAAACATGGTTTCCCAGAGCCCGACATACCTTTTCTAGGATTGAGTTATTGTTCTGGAAGAATGACCCAGCCGGGGAGATAAACTTAGCCCTCCCTATCCATTCTGTGACAAGAGCCTTCGAGTCCGTAATGCAGGTCTTAATGTCTCTGTAAGATCGAATGGCCTCGCGGCCATCGATGGTTTCAGGAGAAAAGGTCCTTTCAGTGGTTTCACGAAGCAATAGTGTGGCCCCACGTTTGAACGTATGAAGGTTTTCTTTGACAAAGGTTCTTTGTGATTTAAAGCCATCCCGAACCGCATCCGTGCCAATTGGGCAATCTTCAATATCAAGAACAAAGCTTCTTCCCTTTAACTGAAATCCAATATCTGGAACAGGCGCTCCTTCTTTGAATCCGCCCCGGCGTGGTCCGTCGAAATGAGGGGTTAGCTTAGTCCTGTATCCACGCAACAGCGGCGAGGGCATAACTCCTCCGATCGGGGGGATCAAGGATGGGTCTAGGTTCGAAAAATTCTGCATTGCTTTCGCAATTACTTTTTGCTTGTGCTGGAGCTGGTAGTCTCCGGAGAGCATTTGGAACTGACAGCCGGAACAACGGCCGAAATACCTACAAAATACCAAGTCGTCGTCTCGGTTCTTCGACGGTTTTATAACTTCTATCAAGTCCGTCATGGAATATGAGGGAAAGTTTTTCACCACTTTAACGACGACGGTATCGCCAGGGACAGCAAAGGGTACAACGTAAACCCTTGTGCCATCATGCGAGATTGACAGCCCGTCGCCGGTGGAACCAAGCATGGAGATTGATAATTCGACTTGCGAAAACTGTTCTGGCGCAGTGCCCGGCTCGTGGGCCTCTCCTAGCAAAAGTTTCACGTCCTGGAGAAGCACTTCCTCGTGACTACCCGTAGACCGAAACGAAGACCCGATTTCTGGGGCTATCTTCTTCCTCTTCCACCTTTTTTCCCCGGCTTTAGGCCCTAGGCCATCCCCAGGCCGCTTTGTCCCCGACATTTTTCTAGAAATGATAGCGCGAAGAGGTCGGTATGCAGAACAACTGGTGTCCCAAAGTCTGGGCAGGTAGCTGTATGATACTCGCAGAGTTCCGCCGATGTTCTTTTTCATGAAGTGGTGGTTGCAGGAGCCAAGATATCGATATTGACGTTGACGATCTGTGGTGGATATCACAGAAGGATCTGGAGTTGAGTCTTTCTCAGATTTTGGTTTTGTATTTAAACCACAACATGCAACAACCCTAAACTCAGGGCTTTAAACTATCATCATCACTCCCTTCAAAGCAACTCCTCCATCAAACTCTAGCCATAACAAATACAATGAACAACCAAACCTACTACGAATTATACAGGCGTTCAAGGTATGTCATATATACAGCTTATCGCCCCGAGAGTACAGCTTGTCTATGTATTCCTAGAGAATAATTATCTAACTCTACCAAAACGGACTTGATTAGCATTGGTGTTGCTCTTACTGACGCGCTGGATGACCTTATCTCCGATGGCCGCATCGCGCCACAGCTAGCAATGAAAATTTTGTCTAATTTTGACCGATCTGTCACTGACATACTTGCCCAACAAGTTACTGCCAAGTTGTCCTTCAAGGTACAACCATGTTCTCCCGTGGCACCACAAGCACTGCTAATGAGCACGGATAATCATCAGGGGCATCTTGACACTTATCGGTTCTGCGATGAAGTTTGGACATTTCTCATCAAAGATGTCACGTTCAAACTTGATAACTCACAGACGGTCCAAAGCGAACGGGTTAAGATCGTGTCTTGCAACTCCAAGAAGCCAGGGGAGACTTGAACTAGCTGAGAATCTATTCATTTCATCGGGGACAATTCATCAAGTAAGAACTGGAAAAGGGCATTTATTTCGCATATTATCCGTTGAAATGAACCAGTCCGTTTTTAACTCGAAATGGGTACCGAAGCATTGATCACAGGGTTCTAGGATCCGTGAGTTGCCTCATCTATGAAGAGTCCTATGCTCCTCAGCAACAGACTGGATTCTAGAATGTAAACTTTTAGAAACATTTGCTTACAAGAAGCTACCTACTTACTTAAAGGCTAGTCTTGTACATGTACCTTTAAGGGCTAGGTTTAGGTCACCTTGCTGTTGTAGCCCTAAACCAATGATATTATATCTGAAGTGAGTCTAATATAAACCCTGATATTACGTGAACACTCCGTGAATGACATGCTGAGCGCCTTTACCTTATCCAAACAACCACTCCTGAGAAAAGAAGAACAATAGCAATAAGTGGATATCCCAACACTAACACAAATGATAGTATAGACGTCCAGGTAGTAAAGAAATTCTCATGCTTGAACAAGACTATGCCATCCGATAGGCGACTATATTTCCGCGTCAAACCCACCTCTCCCGCTAGAATCGAGTAGCCTAAGAATCCTGAGATCAACATTTATACACAAACAGAATGGATCAAATGTTAGTTGAAAGGACAGTGGTACTTACGAGTACTTCTTCGTCAAAATGCACTCGCCACCATTCTCCATGTCGACATTATATAAATAAAAAAACCCGTCTGACGTAACGACCATGATTTGAGGACTGTTGCTGCTGAGCGCGACGACGCTCTTTGTGGCAGCCGGCAGCCGTACAAATGCAAAATCTCGTTGTGGTTCCCACATCTCAGTGACCGCCTGAGGCAAATAACCGCCCACAGCTCCGACAACCGATTTCCCTATTGATTGTGATGACCGCCTTATGAGGCTTGCGAAGGACGTGCTCCGACGTTTGTTGTCCGCATTAGCGTCGAAAGGAGCCCCCGGGAGGTCTGTATTCGACCCATTTGACCCGCCGGAGCTCCCACTCCTCGGCCGCAAACCAGATGCCGCATGCATTTGCGAGGCTGAAGTATCCATGGCGCTACTTGCGGTATTTGGATCCACTAACCTAAATATGTGGACGGTCTCGGTGGCGGAAGACACACAAAGCATAGTAGATGCAAGATTAAACGCCATGCTGTATATCTTGGAGGGATATGTACCTCGTCGAAATTGGAACATTTTAGTGCCTAGTGGCAGAGAAAATACCCTTATGATAGTCCCGGTATCCGAAGCAGTTGCTAGGTACATGCCATCACTACTCAGGGCAAGGGCAGATATCGGCGACTTGTGAGCTGATATCATGCCAATCGTCTTGAGTGTCGAAGAATCGTATACTATCACATCTCCTGAACCGCTTACCCCTGCCACAGCAGTAGTAGATGTCGTGCTGTTAGGCGGCGCAAAAGGCGAGGGCGATGTAGGAACCGGCCGAGGGTAAACGAGATAACATTTTTCGGACGAAGGCGATAGAGCGCATATAGCTGCAAGGAGGACGGGGGATATAATTAATAAACGCCCTTAAAATAAATCTGGCGCAAGCCAAGAATAAGATAATTTTGAAGCTTACCATTAGGATTCGGTGAGGTTTCGATAGTTGTTAGAAGCTTCATGTTGCTGATGTCGTATACGTATATTTGATCCTCCAAAACAACAATTAGACGTTTGCGGTTCAACTTGACCGCAAGCACTGCCGTAGGAAACGTCAATTCACAGATAGTAGACTCACGCTATCGCACCGTCAATATTTATCAGTAGTAGAATTCTAAAGGCTGGGACGAAACATACCCTCGTATTCGTTATCTGGAGTCTGCGCGGTGAGAGGATAACGGCAATAAGAGATGTTGAAAAGAGCATCTCTACGATTGTAATGTCGCCATCCTTTTTTTCGTAACATTTTCCAAATGGATCGCAGTTATATATCCGATAACCATTTTGCGTCCCTACCGCCAGGCAGGAGAAGTCTTGGTTGAAAGTGACAAAATTCATATGACGGTCAGGAGGCTAGACAGCGGGTCTGTGGGGTACGTGATCGATGCCGATGCTGTAGAGTATACTAGAGATCCGGTGTTTATGCTCCTACTAGGTTTGTCCCCAAAGCAACGAAGACGGTGTAATCAACGATGGTCGGTGATAGGCGCTTGCGTCGGGTTATGTAGAACAGTAGTTCGGAGTGTAATGCGGTGCATGTAGCTCCAGCTCCCAGCCTAAGATATAAACCACTGAGTCGATGAAACAGTACTAGAGCTAGCTATATTTGATAGGAGCTCGGGAGTCGGTCGGGTATTGAATTTGTTCGGTATGATGAGGATAGAACGTTGGAATTCGAACGAGGTTGGGGTCATATGCAGGCATGGCCATGAATATGGATCGTCTTAGTCTTAATTAGTCTTGGTCCAACAAACGGGTACCAGGTACGTCAGATCACGTGATAATCCGATTATATAATCATATTCAACCGCCGAATCAAATTAAAGATCGGGTTTTCTCGTTTCAATTTGCAACAATTACAACCTCACACAACACAGACACGGCTTTTTCTTATATTTCCATACATATGCATACATACACCAAATATATGTCACCGCTTGAATAAACCATCGATATCTTGACCAGAAAATTTAGCTATAATGGCCAAAGCAATGCAAACCCTAACCCCAGGCCTCTCTTCGCAGGGGGGTCGTACATCCGCAACCAGCAGTGTAGTGGTTCCTAATGCAGTCGTCGCTGTAAGCTGACCCTCTATTTAAATTTTGGGTATTCTGAGCTGTCCTGATTGTGGTTTTTGCACATTCAAGACGAACGACAGCAGTATAGTCTCAAAAAGGTTATTTGACCCAAATCCATGTTCAATCATGATGTTTCATACCCACAATATGTATACTCTATATTTGAATATGTCAGTTTATTTAACGTTGACAATAGGAGTGTTGAAAAGCTATATGTTCCTGATCGGGCCGGCCATCTCTTACGCCATTTTGTGCCGAAGTTCCAACGCAGGAGTCCATTAATAAATCGTGGATACTGGCTGCGCATGGAGCTTGTCAAACAAACCGTGGAGGAGTTTCTTAGTTCCAATACGGGTGTCACTAAACATGTAAGTGGCTTCTTGATTTCAGTCAATTTTCTATTGCATTAGTTTGAGGCATGAAACTGACTAGCTCTGTGCTGATTTCCTTAGCTTGTCAACCTTGGGTGTGGTTTGTAAGTATAGCCGACAGATCCAACGACACAGTTTCCCGTCGACTAACCACAGTCCCGACAGTGACCCCTTACCGCTTCATTATTTGCGCCAATACCCTGGCGTTGATTTTATTGATGTCGATTATCCGCAATCTATACGGCGCAAAGCTGAGATCATACAAAATACTCCAGAACTCAACGGACTTTTAATTGATCCCCAGTATTCAGTAGACTTGGACACAATCATGATTTCTTCAGCCAACTACACTGCTATCGGGACCGATCTCCGCGATCTCTGCAAATTTGACGAAATCCTTCGAGCCCGCTGCCAAGCTAACGATGAGACACTGTTTATTAGCGAAGTCGCAATAACATACATGTCAGTGGAAGATGCTGATTCTTTGATAAAATGGGCTGCGCAGTTTCCTGGTGGTAGGCGGTTGCTTAACCCACCCAAACCAATAAAATGATATCTACTTATTTTTTGCTAACTATTCGACACTTAAACCTAGCTAAATTTGCATTAATTGAACAAATACTACCTGCTAGCGAAAAACATCCGTTCGCAAAGACTATGCTTTCGCATTTCCGGAAAATACAATCGGCACTCCAAAATATCGGAAAATACCCTTCACTTACCTCCCAGGTTAAAAGGTTCCACACCTATGGCTGGAGCTCGGTGGTAGCTTGTGATTTTTACGGGGCCTGGTGTAATCTGGTATCTACTGAACAGAAGAGTTTTGTTGAGTCCGTCGAAGCTTTTGACGAATGGGAGGATTTCGTATCTTTCGGGCAGCACTATTTCTTCCTCTATGCGAGCTCTAGAATACCAGATGGTAAACATATGAGTTTGTCTACACGTGAATGGTTGGGGGGTAGTCGCATTACCACGCAAGAAATTGTGGAGCCAGACGTTAAGAGCCTGCAGAATTCTCAAGTACCTACTCTCACTGCAAGCCTTGAATACCGTAAGTACTGGCAACCTGGATTTGATCGTCGAAAATTTGGGGCCGCGGCAAAGCTTAGTGACGGCGCAGCCATCTACTACGGTGGTATGGATACCAAATCTCGGTCGTCTATGACCTATATTTTTGATGACACACATATGAAAGTCTCACGGATTGACTCGAATCCACAACCTGCTCCCCGAATGTGCCATACACTTACCAATTTTGGTAACCGCAGAGTGTTATTAGTGGGCGGTCGGGGAAATCCTAAGTCAGCATTGGCCGACTGCTGGTTATTCAATGGATCGGTCTGGGCCCGAGTCCAGGATCTTCCAAACGGTAGGTATAGACACTCGGCAACTCATATTTCTATCGAAGGTGAGGACCGCGTACTTGTGTTTGGTGGGCGAGGTAACGGCAACGAAGTTTACAATACCTGGGTTATATGGTCAGAGCCAAATGGCTGGAGTGAAGTTACATCTATTGGAACCCCTCCAACTTCTCGGTTCTCCGCGAGCTTGTCATGGTTCCCTTCGACAGCAACCGGTGTTCTGACCGGTGGGTTTTCTCGAGACGGCAATATCATCTCAGATATTTTATTTTGGTCATTTAATAGCTCGGGGTCAATAGAGCACCAACAGTGGCGCCCGCTTTCCAAATTTGAGAGTAGTCTTCTATGCCGAGCAGGGGCCCAGCTCATCCCAATTGGCAGTACAGAGGCATTGCTTGTGGGAGGGATGCTAGCTCATTGCCTATCGGCAGATTTCCCTGGTACTTTCCTACGTCTTAATATCTCGAATCAAACGATAGAGCCCTTATACACCATACTCCCGGGCAAAGAGCAAGATGTGAGGCCAGTTTTGATGGGTTGTGCCTATGTATGGTTGAACAACCGACTTCATATCTTCGGTGGGGGCATAACAGCATTCAGGTATGTGGGTTTCGACCCGAAGATCCCTCATTACTGAGCATATGCTGTCTTTAGATGTAGGCTAGGAGTCTAACGTTTTTGCTTCGGAAAGTATGGGTTCGTTTTGGAGTCTTTGTACAGGGATTTTAGAAATCGATCAGCTCAGACCAGTTGAGCTCAGCTCAAGGCCAACAAAGCCGCAGTTGCAACCTGCTCCTTCGCAGAGTATTAACTTAGCGGGTATGTACTCTGAAGTTAACTCTCCTAAGCCAATCCCAGTGGAAATATATACGCTAGCACGGAACCCCATCGAGATACAATCAGCAATCTGTCGCCGAGTTCCCCTCCTATTTGACAACCTTTCATTTGGAGAGTGTACTAGAGTTTGGAGCCCAGAATATCTCAAGGCCGCTTTCGGGGAGTCTAGAGAAGTATGATATCCCCAGGATAGGGTAGTGTGGGGCCACGTAGTACTAACTAATACGAAAAAAAGGTGATCGTGCATCGAGTGACTTCGCCAGATCAGAACCAATCACTTCACCTAAACTTCAATTCCAAGAATTTTAATTATCAACAGATGAATCTCTCGACTTTTATTGATCTGGCTTTTGCGGACGAACCGACTACATTATGCTATTTAAGATCCATATCTCAAAAACCAACAAAACACCCGTCGTTATTCCATCGCGATTTCCCAGAAATCAGCACCGATTTCCATATTCCAGATGAACTCTTATTTATCGAAGACTCATTACATTCTTCACCATTGAGGGTATCTAGCCCTGGGGTTGGAATATGGCTGCGTACGTTCCCATAATTTCGATACAGACTTATTTTCTTTCCCGACTGATATATACCAAGCTAATCCTTATATATTTACAGACTACGATGTGTGCGCCAACTTTCTCTTCCATATCAAGGGAGAAAAGAGATTGCTGTGAGCTCAGTCCTCTTTAAATTCCTCTTGAATATTAGAAAACTATCTTTACTAATTTCTTTCAAAAAAAGATTATTTCCCCCGGATGACATTGGCCTGCTGCAATTTCCGGCGGGGAAAACGACGAGTTCTATATTGAATATCTTTGAAGGAATCCCCAACGGAACACACCCCCTCGAAATTACAATGCGTCCTGGTGATACACTTTTCATTCCACCATTTTGGTTGCATGCAGTATTACCGCTTTCTCCATGCATTGCTATCAACACCTTCTTCCATTGGTTTGATGATAAATTGCATTCCGCAGGTAAAGATCTTTATGGGAATAAAGACCTTGCATGCTACGAAGAGGGTAGAGGGGTATTAAAAGACTTAGTTGGCAAATTTGACGGGCTTGATGAAAATACTCGTCGTTTTTATATTATGAGACTTGGACAAGAGTTACTTGGAATAGCTGCGGAAATAAATTGGGGACCATGATAAGCTACCCTAATCATATCGTGTTACAGGTTGAAGTGAATTCCGGGGGAGCCAAAAAAAAAAAAAAAAAAAAAAAAAAGGGGGGGGAAAGTCTAGTATGAACTGAAATAGATTGTACCACGATCTAGGACCCATAAGGATCCGCTGAGCCATACTTTAGAGTTATTGAGGGGGATAGCACGGAGTTTTGAAGTTGCGATTTTGAAACAATTAAACAAGCACGATGCCCTCGTATCATGGTTTTTTCTCCCATCTGCTGCAAATAAAGTCTTCTAACACAGAATTTCTAATAAATCGGTGAAAAGACGCAACTAAGACGTCTAATAGCTTCGGCCGAAGAGGCAATATTCCTATATGTGTGGGGGGGGGGGGGGTGATTAGCTGGCTCCAAAAAATGCAATATTTATTTGGGGTTGGATTACCTTCGCATCTTTCCCGCAGGCTAGACATTTGGTTTCACCCAACACCAAACCACTAGGTTGATTGAAAGGGCGGCACAAGCTCTTAGCGCCCATGCTAGGAGCTTTAGCATCTTCTGCCTCGCTAGTATCGGTCCGCTTGCTTCTTTCCTTAATGTCATCCTCGCAGGACTCCTCAAGACAGAATGGCATCTGAATTACTTTCTTCTGGTTCAACGCAGGCACAAACTCCTCCCAGTTTTTGATAGTTTCGATATTCGAATCGAATGATTCCTTGGCTTTCTTATAGAGGTCCGTTTGAATTGCGTCTAGGAGGCTTTGCACGGAATCGGTGAGCTTATCGAGTGAGATGGCAGCCTTCTGGCCGGTATCTCTTCGGGCACCAAGAACCTGGCCTTTCTTGGCATCCTGGGGCCCATATTCAAGTCTAAGTGGGACACCCTTTAACTCCCAATCGTTAAATTTATATCCTGGAGAATAGCTGTCTCGTAAATCGGCCTTTACTCGGATACCCGCCTCGGTTAGACGTGCGGCAATTTTCTTGATATCGTCATAAAGCATGTCCCTGTTGGATTCGGAAGTCTTTGTTGTAATACCGCATGGGACAATCACCACCTGGTGCCCAGCTACTCGCGGTGGCAAGACTAAACCCTTCTGGTCGCCGTGGATCATTACCATAACACCAATAACCCGGGTCGAAAGACCCCAAGAGTTTTGCCAAACGAAAAGCTTCTCTTTGTCTTCTCCTTCTTTGGAGAACGGATCTTCGACGGTAATTCCGAACATTTTGCTAAAGTTCTGGCCCAGGCAATGAGAAGTAGCTCCCTGGATGCCGCGACCAGTGGTCGGAATATACCCCTCACAAGTAGTCGTAAAAAGACCGCCTGCAAATCTCTCCTTATCAGTCTTTTTACCTTTGATGACTGGGACAGCAAGCAGTTCTTCGTAAACACCAGCATAGAAGTCCAGAATCTGCAGGACTTCTTCATTTGCATCCTTGAACGTCAAGTGCGCGGTATGGCCTTCCTGCCACAAAAATTCACGAGTGCGGAGGAAAGGCTGTGGGTGTTTGAACTCCCACCGAACAACGGAGTTCCACTGGTTAAGACGAAGAGGTAGATCACGGTGTGATCGTATCCATTTTGCATAGTATGGATACATGACCGTCTCTGATGTAGGGCGAATAGCGATCGGTTCATCGAGGTCGGTGCTCCCTCTTGATTTTGTAAGTGAAGATATGGAAGGACAGATGAGTAGAGCACCCAACTTACGCCTTAGTAACCCAAGCTACCTCTGGGGCAAACCCCTCAATATGATCCTTTTCTCTTTCTAGAACCTTGGATGACACAAACATCGGGAAATAGCAGTTTTCAACGCCAATTCCCTTTATTTTAGCATCAAACCATTCTAAAATCGAAGATTTTGAGGTTAGCAAGTTGATTTATGAAGAACTAGAAAGAAGACGCCTGGTCAACATCCTTAACTTACTTTGTATTTGCTCCCAGATCGTGTAAGACCATGGCTTCTAGCCGTTAGTATTTTTATCCGTGTGGTCTCTGGAGGAGGGGTGGATATCTAACCTTGAGGATATAGCAACCAGAAACGTCATAGTAGTCTAACATATCTCCTTTGGTCAGAACCTGTTGATACCAACCGGGGAAATCAAGCTCTTTCTTGACAGTAATCCCGATCAAAGCAGCCCCCTCGATTTTTTCATTTTGTAGGGGTGGGGGAACAGCTTTCTTTGTTTCGGATTTCCCGATAGTGGATGGGCCGCTGTGTTCAAAAATTGCAACAATCGTTAGCTATTGAGGATAATATGGAGAATGAGGTAGAATTTTTACCTCGTTTGGTATAATTCGGAAGTAAAATCAACTTCGTCTATCTCAGTCTCAGTCCCGAGGAGGTACTGTTGAATGTCTTTCTGGGCTAAGAAGAAGGTTTTCGCAGAATCATTCGGGTGGACACCAAGCTTGCCAGAATAATCTAACAGTGCCTTGTCGAGAACTACCTTGACAGCAGATGAATTTTCCTTGGTAATAGAAAATGGAGAAACTAAAGACCATTAGGTCAATAACTTAAGTTTCGTGTACGATATACAACGGAGCTACTGAATTGGAGGGAGTCCATACCATCAGTAGTAGGGATAGATAGGGTGCTGTTGACGACATCTTCACTCGCCAACCGTGCCTCTTTGACATTTACTGCCTTACAAACTGTGGAAGAAGGAGTTTGAGAATCCTCGAGAGCAATCAAAACGATCAGGGGAGTAGTTTCGGACTTAGGGGCCTCTACATAACAGTTTATCAGCGAGAACTTTGAGAGAATGATGATGTGACGAGAATCTAGAGAATAGATGAATCTAACTTACTGGGCTTGAAGACCATAGTTTTTACTAGTTTGAACTCGAAACCTGGTTGTGGAAGCACAGAGTCAAGCTGTGCATGCCATTCTGCTACGTTTTTGCAGGGGCCATGGGATACAACGGTGGGGTTGATGGAGAGAGCCTCCAATCTCGACTGCAGGTCTGAAGCCATAGAAGCGGGAAGCAATTGACCAGACTCGCGAATTTCGGTGGGAGTAAACGGTGCGATGGGTCCTTGCCGCTATTCGATCGCGACGGGGAAATGTAGTGGTCGTGATAGAGGGTACTATTGTGGTCGTGGTCGTGTGGGGTAAGGTGTTGGGGAGGGGCAAGGAGGGGTGGCCTTGGCATTATAAGAAAGGGAAAAAAAAAGATGGAAGACCTGTATGACCAATACATATGGGCTTGATTACATTCGTACGGAACTGTCACCAGAACCTTCTCATCACAATCACATCAATCCTCTTCGATACTTTTCAGCAGGCGGATAGATAGCTACACCGACACCTGAATTCCCTCCCTCCCTCCGTATTAGAATTGATACCAGCCAACATCAACACCAAACGGCTCGAATTAGGCTCTTTACTTTGCGAATCAGAGCCAACATTAAAGCAGATAAGACCAGATGACGACGATATTCCAACAACCAAGAAACGCGGGGACGTTATGTAAGGGAGCTTCGAAGCTTGTATACACCCGGCGATAGTTTTACTAATAGCCATATCGGTAATTGTAGTCTTGGGAGGAAGCAAAGTTAGCGGTTCAGACATCCGGGATCAGTGTGGTAACCTCCAAACATCCTTGATTCCACTCCCTCAGAAAAACACAGGCCTGAGCAACTGATTTTTCATCTTCTCCACCAATAGTTCTAGCGACACAGGCCATTGCAAATGTCGTCAAAAGCTCTTTCGGTCCTTCGGGGCTTGACAAAATGATGGTCGATGATATCGGGGTATATTGACGGTTACGCCCAGTACAAAGCTACCACTGTGCTGATAGACAATTTGAAACTTTCTTAGGACGTTACAGTTACCAATGATGGTGCCACGATTCTGAGCTTACTCGATGTAGAGCACCCTGCTGGAAAGATTTTAGTAGAGCTAGCCCAGCAACAGGACAAAGAGGTATGTCGTTCCAGAGCTAATTTGGGGTGCCTAACTTATCGAATGGCCTTAGGTTGGAGATGGTACCACATCTGTCGTCATTATCGCATCCGAGCTCCTTCGTCGTGCAAACGAGCTTGTAAAAAACAGAATCCATCCCACTACGATCATCAGTGGGTACCGCTTAGCATTGCGCGAGGCCGTCAAGTATATCTCAGAGGTGATGTCGACTAGGGTTGACAACCTGGGGCGTGAATCTCTCATCAACATCGCGAAAACATCTATGTCCTCTAAAATCATTGGATCTGATTCTAGCTTCTTCTCTGAGATGGTGGTCGATGCGATGCTTTCTGTCAAATCCACCAATCAGAGACAGGAAGCCAAGTATCCTGTCAAGGCTGTCAATATCCTTAAAGCTCACGGGAAAAGCGCACTAGAGAGCATCTTGGTCAACGGATACGCCCTTAACTGCACCGTTGCTTCACAGGCGATGGAGAAAAGGATAGTAAATGCAAGGATTGCTTGCCTCGACATGAACCTCCAGAAAACACGGATGGCGCTGGGTGTTCATATCACCATCGATGACCCAGAGCAATTAGAAGCGATAAGACAACGTGAAGCTGGAATTGTCCTCGAAAAGATCAAGAAGATACTAGATGCTGGAGCAAACGTCATTTTAACAACGAAGGGCATTGATGATTTGTGTCTGAAGACATTTGTCGAAGCGAAAGCTATTGCTGTCCGCCGATGTAAGAAAGAGGATCTTCGCAGGATTGCTAAGGCGACTGGTGCGACCCTCGTCTCGACACTCTCAAATCTTGAGGGGGACGAGGTTTTCGAAGCTTCGAGCTTAGGGTACGCTGATGAAGTGGTACAGGAGCGTATATCGGACGACGAGTGTATTCTTGTTAAAGGAACCAAGGCATTTAGCTCTGCATCTATCATCTTGCGGGGCCCGAACGATTACCAATTGGACGAAATGGAGCGCTCCGTGCATGATTCCTTATGCGCCGTCAAACGGACACTTGAAAGCGGTGCAGTCGTCCCCGGAGGAGGTGCTGTTGAGACCGCTTTAAGTATTTACTTAGAAAACTTCGCTACTACAGTGGTACGTTGGAGAAGTTCGATAAATATATGATTCAAACACTAAAAACCCTTAGGGATCACGAGAACAACTAGCTATAGCAGAATTTGCGTCCTCTCTCTTAATAATTCCGAAGACATTGGCTGTCAACGCTGCGAAAGATTCGTCGGAGCTCGTGGCCAAGCTTAGACATCGACATGCAGCAAGCCAATCCGCCGCTGAAACCGAGGCTAAAATCAAAGGATTCAAAAATTATGGACTAGACCTTACAAATGGGAAATTGGTTGATGAAATTAAGGTTGGAGTGTTGGAGCCGAGCATGAGCAAGATAAAGCAGCTTAAATCTGCTGTCGAGGCGTGCATTGCCATCATGCGAATCGATACCATGATTAAACTGGACCCTGAGCAAAGACAAGGGGGGGATGAACACGACCACTGAAGAGCGAGCCTGTACATAATTGCATCCGATGAGGTGCCAAAACCAGTGTATTGTGTGTACTAAGGTTATTACTGGTGGTCATGTAGTGGGCAAAAAGTCAGATTCAAATGGGGTTCCCGGAAATAATACCGAGATTGAAGAGGTACAAGCTGAGGAGCAGATATTTGAAGGAGAGGGGAACGTGAGACATAGATTTATATACCTAAGTACCGTAAAGACTAAAAGTTTTCCAACTTCCCTGCTAGCGCTGCTTTAACATTGCATCCAATGACTGAGCCATAAGGGTTTTATCTCCCGTCACGCACCATATCCGCGGATGGGATATGGGATATTGGAAGGTATGGAATAAGGGTGATGGCATCGCGCCTGGTGTAATGCGGCTCGTTCGGCGTGGCCCTTGATTTCCCTATTTCTGAAACTCCGTTGCCTTCCCGGAAACGAGCAATCCAACGATCAACCCGAATAGTCCTAAGACACCGCCGAATATCTCTACAACCAGGATTTTAACGAATCTACCGCGGAGGTTAGCCTATTCACTAGCATAAAACATCGATCGATTTGCAGTCGTACAATGTTGGGTCAGCGGCGTCAGCCAGTGCAGCGGTGCTTCCCGTGATCCCGACAGCCACACCACATATCAAGTTGCAAAACCCAACGGTAACTCCGCCCCAGAATAATGCATAGCCGGTATAAAAGTTCTCGGGTGTATAAAGACCTTCTGTCGGTATGTATGTGATTTTTGCGCTAAAGACAATACCTAGTGAGCGGTCTCATATTAGCTAAAGTTGTGGCTTCCTCAAGGAAGAGGTGCATACTCATAATAACGCCGTATATAGCTACAACCTCACAAAAGATGATAGAGATGAGATTTTTCGTCCGGATTCTCGGTGCTCTAACACCACCTCCTAGGATGCTTGAGCCAGTAATGAATATTCCCCTATTGCAACCAGAGGTTGTGAGTAGCACGAGACGAGATGGGTCAGTGCTCCAACGAACCATGCTGCTCCGATAACGCTCAATCCAATGCAAAGACCGATACCAGCCGACGCCCAACTATAAGGTGATGTTTCTTCGAGAAATTTCCCAACCTTGATCCTCGATTATACCGTTTAGTGAGTGATTTCTGGGATAGTAGTCAATCGAATACTAACATTAAAGTATTCTCCATCCCCGGTGAAGAGAATATCTATGCCAATACTTCAGTTAGATTTGGTCTGTTCGTTCTTTTAGCCATCTAAAACCCGGCCTTACTTACATGACCCAATAACAATTGCAGCTAATGCCGGATAGCTATAACCGTAGCCAAGTGCCATCGTATAATACTTATATCGCCTGCGCGGAAGGTTTGTATATGCCGCTAGGGAACAAATTGAAAATAGTGGAAGGGCTTACAGGGTGGTGGTGGTGGTGGTGGTGGTGGTGGTGGTGGTAAGTGCTGGGTTCTGGTTTGCAATCGGATTGATTCTTCGCGACAACTTGTAACATCAAGCTAGATGACGCGCATCCTCCGAGCCAAGCTTTTTAATTCCACAACCACAACCCCCAGCCAAGAAGGCTTCAGCAGGTATCTCCAGGCCCAACATGCTTGACCTTGTCAACCGCTCCTGTCTGATCACCGGCGGCTCCAAAGGCATAGGCCTTGCTATCGCCGCCCGATTCGCACGGGCAGGGGCAACATGTACTCTGATCGCGCGGCATGAAAGGCCATTGCGGGATGCTATCTCAGTTCTGGCCGAGAGTGGACAGCAAGATCACCGGTTTCTGGTCGGTGACGTCGGCGATAAGGGACTGTGGGAGCAGGCTATCAAAATGAATGTGTGTAACATATATCCAGAAGCGCTTATTCTACAGCTTCGCGATCGCTGATCCAAAGATTGGATACAGCCAGGAATCGATATTCTGGTCAATTCTGCTGGTCCGTGATTACACGTACACCTTTTTTGTCGGATGGGCTCTGCTGAGACGTTAATGATCAATGGTGGTGGTGGTGATGATTATGGTGGTGCATATAGGCCAATCCCAGACTTCACTTTTGCTTCGGACGCCTATCCAGGAAATCGACGATGTCATCCGTGCGAACCTCTTGGGTACGATTTACGGCACGAAATTCTATCTGAAAGAAATGACACGCGCTCGGCGAGGTGTGTTCATCCCTCCTGCAGCTTCTTGATAAGTTATCACTCTAACGACGAGCTCTTTAATATACGGCTAGGATGTATAATCAACATCTCGTCAGTTCTTGCTACCACAGGCGGAGCGGGTTCTTCTGTCTATGCGGCCAGTAAATCTGGTCTTCATGGTATTTATTTGACCACCAGCCTCTTGAATGATGGTATTATTGTGGTACTAATGATGTGATTCCCAGGCTTCGTCAAATCCATAGCAAAAGAGGCCTCGCGCTTCAATGTCCGTATCAACAACATACTACCAGGATACATTGAAACTGAGATGACCGCCGGTAAACCTTGCTATTCGTGATGATGATAACCTTCTGATTAAGAGACTAATCAATGTTGTTCCCGCATCTATGGAACTAGTGATTCGTTCGTCTACAAAGGCCGAAACGCTTCCAAACCCCCCCTTAGGGAGGTTCGGAACAGCTGCCGAAATTGCAGATGCAGCTTATTATCTTGCGACAAACGACTATGTAACTGGAACAGATCTAATAGTCGATGGTGGATATGCAATTCGATGAAACCAACATCCAATACTCTATTAATATTAGGCACTCTATAACAGGGCTTGTAGGTATAATACAATGCTTTAAATTTGTTATTTAGCTTCCTTTGATTATATTAGAAAACAACAAAATCCTGGAACCAAGCCACCTTGTAGAATATTAGTCTATTTCAATGTAGCCGTCGTCGATGATGATGATCTCTCCCTCTGCCTTCACCTTTTTACTGGGCTCCTGGTTTGAGTCGAGAGTGTCTTCTGCCTTGCGCTTCCGAGACTGTTCAACCTCGTTGCTAACATGGGGGCTATTGTTTCTGCCAAAATCTTTGCCGCTCAGAACCAGTGAATCCAATGAGGGCGGCTGGGCCTGCTTCATCGGAATATCGATTCGGTGGGGTATCACAAACGACTTCTCGGGCTCGCTTGGTGACCTATTCTTTTATTTAGGATGTGAGAGTTTATATGTCAGGAGCGAGTGCAAGCATACCGGGTTTTAATCTGGACAATCAAGTTCACCCTGCGTGGCTGGTCATCATCCGATTCATCCAAAATAGTCAAAAACGACCCATCAGTAATTCCAAGATTTTCGAAAGAAGCGTCGAGATTGTCGTCATACTCCTCGTCATATATGAGTTTATCATGTAGTATGCTTATAGAGGGGCTGTATTCAAAAACATCTTGGAGTACGACCTTGATAAACTCTTGCAGCTGAATTTTACTGGTATCGCACTCAAAATCCAGACGCGCCACACCGCAAATCTGGCACGAAGGGTTGGGAGTGCGCAACGGCTCTGTAATGAGGCCTCTATCTCCCGACATAGAGAGGAAAACCATCCTGGCATCTTTGATTTTCTGCTTGAGAACTTTGAAAGCTTGCATCACACAAATCCCTGCGGTGATCGCATTTGTCGTCGCAATAGCCGGGATGATGTTACCCGCCATTTCTAGAAAATATCATTAGCTAAGGATTTGAACCAGGAGAAAGTTTGGGTAGGCTTACGTTTGATATTAAACTTAGATTGGCAACCAATGTCGAAAACCTGAGAGCGTAAATTTGCACTAGCAGCGACAAAATCTAACTTGTCCTCGTCATCTTTGTCGAATGATAATAGTAGATCTTCACCCATGCTTTTTAACCCAAGGATACGTAGACTTAGACGATCTAAACTATCGCAGAATACCCAAAGGTTTTCCTCCGGTGTCCAAATTCTTTGGTCACTAGGACACGAGCTTAAACTACCTCGGGACAATGATGTGAATGAAAGTGGAGCAGGAGGTTTCCGGTTCTTCCACATATCCTTCATCTCCAGGAGTCGGGTAATATCTTTATTAAAGACCTTTTCGAAAACATTCTGCGCAAATTCAGGTTGTCCTAGGGTTTCTCTGATCCTTTTGAGTTCCTGCGCTTCCTGTCGGAGATTTTTAATCTCTTGAGCTACGATTTTGTTAGCAAGATGATAGCAATTCAGCGATTTTTATCAATATATTACCATTATCGGTATCTTCACTATGGTCAAACTCCGGGACTTCATCCTCAGATGCGCCAAACAACTCACTGTTCTCCATTAATGCTGCCGCTCTCTTTTAGGAGCCAAGGTGTCTTTCTTACTTAAATAGATAGCTTTTTGCCCACACAATACAATGAATTGGTTGGCTTGGTGTAGAGCGGATTGTGCATACAGGGAATGATTTTGGGATTGGCTTCGTTGTACAGTCATAGCATTCAGTTACGGCCTGTGCGGTCAGATTAGTGAAGCCGTGGTAGCAAGAGGGCGCGGGATTTGTTGCATTACCTTTGAGATGACTTGAACTTGGCCGTTGAAACCGGTAGTTCCGCTTTCGATTAAGGGAACATCCGCCGCTAAGCACATCTTGTTGACGTGCCTTCGAGCGTCTAAGTTATCTAATGCGTTAAACACTATTGTGAACGATTTGAACCATGCAACATTGAAGTTGGAATCCTTGATATTGGCATGATGGGCTGTGAGTTTGGTATTAGGGTTGAATCTAGATGCTGTCTCCTTTGCGACCTAGAGTGACAAAATTGTCAATCATGAAACCTCAACCAAGGTGTTTTTTCACACACGGGAACCTACAAGTGCCTTGGGCTTCTTGATGTGTTGCCTTCCGAACAGAAACTGTCGGTTCAGATTGCTCAAGTCGATGGTATCGAGATCTACGATATGGATTTCACCGAAGCCGGTGAGCACCAAGTTCTTGAGCAATTCGCAACCTATGCCTCCGGCGCCAACCATAAGGCACTTGGCCTACGGAGAAAGCGAATATTAGTATTTTGCCAATCCGATTTTAGCGACTATTGTATGGGTAGTGTTCCAACCTGTTTGATATTACGATGCAATCCTCCTAGGGATTTCTGGGCAAATTTGTCGCGCCCGGCGCGAGTCATCCTTGATGCGGTGAGGCGCTCTAGATGCCCAGCCTGGATGTATTACCTCGCACTTGGTTGGGCGCACGTTCGCAAACCAGCTAAGTCTGGCTGCTTGCGGTTTCAATTGTTTGAAAGGAGTTCACGAATCTGGGAAGTTTAAGAAGGAAGAGTGAGGGGGGGGGGGTTAAGATCTATATGTTAGATTGGAACGCGATTCCTTGGATGCAGGTGATTGTCAAGGTGATGATGATATAAAATGGATGGGCTGTGGTGTTCATGTTCTGGGTGAGGCGAGGCGAGCTTCAATAGGCTTTTGTTGGAGTTGTATTTTATTAGGTGTTGCTCTCTGAATCCAACTCAAAGCTGGCCAGTCTCTTCTTCTTCTTCTTCTTCTTCTTCTTCCTCTTCTCATCACCTGTACATGTAATTACGCCAACTCCTTCCTAACGACTATCCGGTTAATAAAGCGCCTACAGAGCTAACCATATACTATCAATTGCTTGCGTGTATCGAACTTTATCAGGTGGCCCTGACACCGCCCTTAGGCGTGTTTCTCAGAAACATAAGCATGAATCTTATTAAATGGGCATATGCACGAGGGATTGATATCGCTCGCCACCCTAAATATGGAATCCATGTTGCTCTTGCCCTGCTTTGTTTCGACGGGTTTCTAAGCTATGTGATCCTCCGAAAGGTACCATGTATGGATGTTCAACCATTCGATAATATTCTTGTATTTTGTTCCTTTGATTCTCTTTGCTAACGAACTGGTGCAGACACCGAAATTGACTGGGAGGCCTACATGGAGCAAATCAGCCAGTATCGAGCTGGCGAGCGAGATTATAGAAATATTAAGGGGGGTACCGGCCCTTTGGTATACCCTGCTGGGCACGTCTACATCTACAATTGGCTTTATATTTTCACTGATGGCGGGGCCCAACGGGAGCGAGTGCAGGTAGCATTTTGGGTCGCATATATGGCGACGCTCTGGCTCGCCATGGCTTGTTATCGAAAGGCTTCAGCACCCCCTTGGATAATGTGTCTGCTGGTTCTCTCTAAACGACTCCACAGCATCTATCTTCTAAGATTCTTTAACGACTGTTTTAGCACTCTGCTGGTTTTTGCATCTATCCTTCTTGTACAAAACCGACAATATACATTATCAGCCGTTTTTTATTCCCTTTCCGTCGGTGTCAAAATGTCGTCTCTGCTATACTTACCGGCCCTTGGTCTCATCTTCGTCCTCAGTACGGGCAGCCCTGGGAAAGCTCTCCGGCTTGCTACGCTGATGTTACAGATACAAGTGTTACTCGCGGTCCCTTTTGTTGCGTCAGAGAGTGGCAGTTTGTCAGGGTACCTTGGTCGAGCATTCGAGTTTAGTCGTGCGTTTTTGTGGAAGTGGACCGTTAACTGGCGGTTCGTCGGTGAAGAAGTCTTCACGTCATTTTGGTTTAAGGTCGGCCTCTTGGTTGTTCACATTGCATTGCTCTTTTTTTTCCTAAGTACAAGGTGGTTGCGACCTGTACGGGGTGGCTTGATCCAATTCACAAGGAACCTTGTGAGCGGGACTAACCGCGAGGGAGGAATAAGAACCTCTGCACAAACGGATGGGGCATACATGCTTACAACTTTGTTCACCTGTAACATGGTGGGAATGTTGTGTGCAAGATCGCTTCACTACCAGTTCTACTCATGGATGGCGTGGACAACGCCTTTTTTGCTCTGGAAAAGCGGACTAGGGGTACCATTTGTAGTTTCAGTTTGGGCAATGCAAGAGTATGCCTGGAATGTCTATCCCAGTAAGTAACGAATGTCCGGATCAGCAGTTGCGGGAGATATATGTCGCTGACTACGAGGTCTGCTCAGGTTCAAGATTGAGTTCAGCCATGGCGGTTGGATGTATGGTGTTACAGTTAATGGGTGTGTGGATTGGGACCTCCGGTGAAAAAGAGAATGCAAATGCGAAACCAAAAAGGGTCTAACTGCCCATCGAAGAGCCCTGGTGTTGTTATGTACTTAAGCAGGGAATATAGGAATATCTCGTTCTTGAGGCCTATTGTGGCGCATGATACATATCCTCTGTTCTGTGGCTTTGTTGTTGTCGGTAGATGTGGCGCATGAACTCAAGGCGCGGGGTCCCGTGACAGACGTTACCGTTTCCAGGCCAACAACACGCCTCGCCATGATTCTGCTTCATCCACCCTGACCTCACCTACCTCAACCCATTCCCCGACCTTCAAAATCCGTTGATTTGAGACTCGAGGCTTCTATAACCTCTGGTTGTCAGCAATAAAACCGTCACGATGCCTGCCTCTACTCAATCAAAACTTAATTTCACCTCAAAGAAAAATGTCCCAGGTCACAAGGTGATTACCCATGACATAATCTTTCGGGCATCTACCCCTCTAAAAGAAGAGCAGAAAGCCGAGATAAACCATGATGCTGAGAAGAAAATCGGAAAGGGCAGCGAAAAGGAAGCGGCGATTAATGATCCCGCTCAGCACCCTATCGCCCCGAATTTGGATAACGAAAGAAAACCGGAAGAGGGGGAGCGGGAGCTTTTCCAGGAAGAATTCATCGAGAAGCCTAGGTCCAACTTAGGGGTGGACAAAAGCCTCTCAGACAGGGCATATGAAGTTACCAATCGTCAAATCCAGAAGTACTATAAGGATATTGAAAACTCGAGGATTAGTACAGCAGGTATGTGAGTTATGGTATTCTAGATGAAACTCTCGATGGCTAACAGGTATGTGCCCACAGTTCATCAAGAAGGGCTAGCTGAGTTCGAGAAAATATTGCGACATTTCGATCTATCTTCTCAATACGGACCCTGTGTTGGGGTATCACGCTGCAAGCGCTGGGAGAGAGCAGAGCGCCTTGGCCTTGGACCGCCCATCGAGGTCCTTGCGGTATTGCTTAAGGCGGGCCTGGGGGAGGGCATGGAGGGCCCTCCGAAGGGCTGGGAGTCGGCTCCGGCTGGTTTGCAGGAAGACACCGGTTCCATAGCCTACATCAACCAGCTAGTTGCCACACACACAGACTAAACATTTTACGTTTATTTACTTATTGTCGACATGTTGGGCTTCTTCATGACGTCATTCCACATGAACACGGCGGCTTTGGTTCTCGAGATAAATCCTAGACGATTTTTTGAGCTCCCGTCATATTCAGCTCTTTGCCATTATGTTCTGTCTAGGTTGTCGAGTTCCTGGTTTTGGTTGGTGTTGGTTGTTCTGTAGTGCCTTTTGTTGTTCTAGTCGATAACTTATAATTAAATTAGTACGTAAGTTCAGATATATCAAGTCTGCATCTACTGATCATTTGAGGCTGCCCTTCTAGCAACCGCTTCAACTGAGCCTTTGTATGTAGTTCTGGAAGTTCAGGGGTACAGTACTTAAGTAGGCTTGATGTTTCTAGGCTAACATTTATGTGCCACACTGAGCTGGTGTATGAGTGCGCGCTGTCATCCGTATATTTGAACCATCTATCTCATTCTACAATAGGACATGTACATATTTTCGCTATCTTGAAGTTGAGCTTGCCGTTGACGGCATTTCTATTAGAGGTGTCCCGGCATACTTATTTACATGTTGAAATAACTTGGGATCGACGCACATGCGTGTATAGGTAGTGTAGAAAGAGGGAATAGTGGTGCTAAGAACAGTCATTGTAGGGCTAAGAATAACAGGCTAAAACAACACTCAAGGGGTATGGTATGAGTATGATCGGGGTAATTTCAATTGGGGGCATTTTCGTTATCGTTAGGCATCGGAAAGATACAACAGGAACAGAAAGAGAGAGGTGAAGTGGTTTTTTTTTTTTTTTTCCTTTTCAAAAGTAGCGATGCACAAATTTACCATGGTTTCTTCAGCGGCCATTGGTCCATGACACAAAGAAACCCACAACTCCCCGAAAACGCCTAGCCGAGAACAAAACATTGGTGGTAGTCATTAGATTTGGCTGGGGCCAAGTCACAAGCCCTAGATCCTCGCCGCAGTTTCCTGCCCTTCGAACTGGTCCTTCAGTGTAATACCGTGGACCCTGAGTCGGTAAATACTTGTATACTCTTTGCGTCCCCAGTTACTGAGGATCCTGAAGGACACGCTTCGCACAGAAACGCCTAACTTCTCTAGCTCAATCGGTAAAGCAAATGTTTGTATGGGGTATTGACTGTTGATGTCATATATAAAAGAGGCGACCCTGACGTATCCGTTGGCGAGGTAATGGCGAGTAGATGCATTATCAGATACCTCACCAATCGCCACTGAGGCTGCCTTCCCAGCCTGGTCGCGGAGAAATTCGTCTTCAATTTTGACCCAAACCTCAATTTCTTGTGGTGCCGATGAAACATCCCCGGATATTCCCCTAGGCACATGATCAATGGTAACATCGGTCGGATAAATTGGTTCTGCAAGTAGCAAAGATACCTGACCGCTGGCTTGAGGAAAGCTCCAACAGTCTCCGACATTAGTGGATTCGGTGAGAATGTGCGCTGGTTCGTTCGGCCCTGGACGCAGAAAGGCTGTGAGCTTGCCTAATAGCCCGGGAGTGTCGTAAGGATCATATGTAGATGATGTTAACCTCGGGTCGATGAGAGTGCCGTGAGCGAGTAATGCGTAGTCTGGCTTTTGAAGAATCGTGGCGGAATATTGGTGTAATGCCGCCTGGATGAGAGCGTCACCATATCGGCTTGAAGTACTGCTGCTCCCTTGAAAATTGCGCATATAGTTTGTAACAGCAGCTAAAGCTGCTGATGATATACTTGTAGCAGCTCTGGAGGCCGCGTTATTTGCGACGCCTTCTGCCTCAAGCACAAGTTTTCTCATCAAATCATTGTTATTCCTTTCGGCCACTCCTCGCGCCGAATCTAACTGTTCTCGAATAACCTTCATCATATCTTCACGTGTAACCACAATTCCATCTGAGATAGCTTTACGCCATTTTTCTTCCGATATATCCCCAATATAGCCCTGAAGTTTTGCGGCATTCGTTTTTAGGAAATCCTGCCAGTTATAACTATCACTGTTCGATCGTACAGCCGCGGACGATCCGCCATGGGTTTGGGCAAATCTGATCATTTCGTTCTGTATATCTTCTCTCAGGACAGTTTGTAGGTAGCGCAGGAGTTCTGGGGCTACAATAAGCTTCCCTGTCTGCGGGTCGACACGAGCAGCGAGTTGTTTAGGTAACGATTCCTCGATACGTTGGAAAGCCCTTTCGCTGAGTTCCTGAGATTTCTGGAGGATTTGAATGCCTTTGTTGATACCTTCGATTTCACCCTGTATTTCGGTGACTTGGCTGGCTACGATTTTTAAGTTTCCCTGTTGTTCTTTCGCGGCCTCATCATTTCGTTTGATAGACCTGTCGAATTGGTCAATCTGTGCGCTCATCGTTGACATGGCTGCAGAAGAAGCACGTCGATCCGTTTGGTAGTTCCGAGTGTGCTTATCTAGCTGGGATGATACAGACGAATATGTTGCCATAGCACCTCTGATCGAAACCAACTGCTGTTCCATGGTCTTGTATGACTTTTTCTCTAGCTCTTGTCCTTTCTGGAATTCAACTACCTGCTTTTCGAGGGCCATTAACCGATAGATCAATTCATCCGAGGAGCTGGGGGGGGTTGACGTTGAGTAGGACGAGCGTTGGATAAAATTGTAAGACAAAGTGGTGATTCCAAATATAAAAAACCCAAGAAGGAGATAGTAAAGCAACGGGCCGAATAGATTTCTGAAGAATATTCCAAGAATAACGGCAGTCTTCTGGATACCGCCCATGATAGAGTTAAGACCTGTTTTAGCAGGAGAAAACCAGGAAGTAGTGACTGATGCCTGCTGGGAAATAAGTAATGAAGTTTTTGGTCTGCTAGGGTCGTCGTTAGGGCTGGCAGGGCTCATGGGAAGGTTGGAAATTCCTTCGTTGTACCCGACAGTATCAGGTGGCGAGTTCTGTCGGTTGTTGAAAACGTCGTTACCTGCGGGTGGGACGTCTTCGTGTAAGGGTTGCGGGGCGGGAGAGGGCGAAACGAAAGAAGGCGAGGCGAGGCGCGGTGCGATGCCGAGGGCCTGGTTTTCTTCGTCAAACGTGACATCCCTCTCCCCATCGATAGGGACGGGTGTCATAGGTACGGTTCGCCTGGATCCCGCCGTGTATTTAGCTCGAGTCTTCGCGGACGGGCGCAGGGCTTCCTCTCTAGAGCCTTTCATTGCGGACCGAGGCTCCTTAGTACCAGCATTGGCGCTCCTGGCTCTCAGCATAGAGGCTTCCGGGACGGGATTCCTAGCGCTTTCAATAATACGGTGGATTTCGAGGCTAGTCTCATCACCTTCGTAGAAGTTATCGTCTGTAAAAATCAGTACACCACAGGCGACAATTATGAACGAGATTGGGAGTAGAACCTTGGGATACGACGCTCTGGCTACGCAGTGAGCGCTTCCGAGCCGTCATTGGAGGTTCTTCAGAAATCTGTCTAGCAGACTGCCTGGCAGATTCGGCTGCTGCAGCAGCGTCAGCAGCTCTTTGTTCGGCCAGTTTTCGTTCTTTCGCAGCAGCCTCGAGACGAGCTTTTGCAGCAGCGTCAGCTCTGTCGAGTGCATCTGTCATGTTGACCTTTGTATCTCTGGCGCTCATGGGTTTCGGTAGGGCTGATTGAGGGGAGCCGTAAGAAAAACTCGGGATCGCAGTTAGTGGTGGTAATGGATTAGATTGGATGAGGTTATTGCCGCTGAACGCGGGGCCAGCACGGTTGGACCGGCGGCCAGCCATCTTATTATTATTACTACTATAATTATTTTTGCCTTTCTTATTGAAAAAGAATAGAAGGAAAATAAACCAAAATAAATGGTCGGCGGTAAGGGCGGTGAAGGTGAAGACGAAGTTGTTGATAGTGTTAGTGATGATAATGATGATGATGATGAATGATGGTGGTGGGATGAAGACGTGGAGGAAGCAGGTCGAGGGAACGAGAAGTGTTTGTTGTTGTTGTTTGATTTGCCGGCGTGTTAGGCAACTGAGCGCTGCGTTCTTTACCCTGTTGGTCTTTAATTGACAGTCTTTCCTATTTGGGAACCGCAACTTCTCCCTTCCCAACTCGGTCTATTCCTCCGCCTCCAGTCCATTCCCTCACCAACGACCTCCAACGACCTCTAACATCAACACCATCAACACCCTCGACTTCGACTTCGACTTCGACTCCACCTCCAAGCTTCAACCCCAGCCTAATTTCCACTCCACACCAAATATGACTGTCAAGCGGAGACTACCGTCGCGATTCAATCCTCTCCTTACCGAGAACGATCCTTCCAGTGAGTCCCTGTCAGCCCTGCGCGCGCGAATCACACCCCTGCGTGTTATACCTCCCCACCCCCCAGCCATCGCCATCCTCTCTCATTGCTAACATTTTTCCTCCACAGAGGATGACCTTATCGAGCTTAGGCGCCTAGGGCAGACGAAGCTTAGCACTAATACGAAACCATCCGCGCCTGCCGGCTCTTCTCCCGTGCCCCAACAAGTGCTTTTTTCTTATGTCCACCTCCGCGCACCGCTGCCCCAGGATATCAATCCCGAGATATTCGGTGGTACTGCTACTGGTACTAAGCCAGAAGCCTATTTTCTAATGAGAAGAAGCAAGGACGGGTATGTTAGCTCAACCGGGATGTTCAAAGCCTCCTTCCCGTATGCGACAAAACAGGAAGAGGAGAGTGAGAGGCGCATTGTAAAATCGCGATTCCAAATTTCTTCAGACGAAACCGCAGGCAATGCATGGATCTCGCCAGATGATGGTACCCCTCACCGACCTACACACTAAATTCCCTAAATATTCATACTAACACGCTTGCCGATCCATAGCCCTCACCCTCGCCACTGAATACCGCTGTCGGGTCTGGATAGAAGCCTTGCTTGACGACCGCCCAGTCAACTCTGACCCCCGTAATAAAGCGATCACTCCCCCGCCCCCGTATAGACCGAACAAGAACGGTGTCGAATCTCTTAGTCCCGCTTCCGCCAAAACCAAAACAGTCGCGCGCTCAGTCTCCCCGCAGCCTAGAAAGATAGCACCGATGAGGAAGCCACGCTCCGCCAGAGCAGTCATCGCCAACAAAGAATCTTCATTGGCCCCTGATACATCGGAGCAGCCGCCCGCTTCAGCACCATCGTCAGAGGACCCCAACGCTCCAGTTTTATCCAATGATGAGGAAACGACTCCTGTTGATGATGCTGCTGCTGTTGCGGAAACGACAAGCACAATGGAAACAAGCACCGGGATCGTTAAGATAGAAGATGCCACCGAAGTCGATGCTGTTGACCCTTCAAGCTACGTATCTAGTATCGTCGTAAAGCCTGAACTGAAGGACGAGGCTAAAGTGGAAGTTGAAGCTACCGTGGAAGAAAACGGGGATGTCGTTTTGGAATCCACGCATGTTAAAGTGGAGATACAGTCCCCTTCTGACGATCTCTCGCTTCTCCCAGATAGCGCCGATGATATTGCCAAAGCCACGGAAATGGTGGCTGAGGCTATAAAAGAGTATAACTCTGAATTATCCGCTAGCTTATCCGCTAGCAAGAAGCGGAAGATTGAGGATTCATTTTCTCAGGACATTCCCAGGATTGAAACACTAGAAATCAATTCACCTAAAAAGTCAAAGCGAGTTAGGGTAATGGATGTTATTACTGAAGAGGGGTTCCAAAAACGAGCTCTTCTAGGATTGGGTGCTACAGTAGCTCTAGGGTAAGTCTCCAGCATATTCTTCCCCACTCTTGATACAAACTAACTCCGACTTGAGGGGCCTGGCCTTCTTCTCCAATTTAATGTAGTAGCATTGCCCCCATTGCCGGATCTGCAGAATTACTGGCTGGTCTGGTGTTGGGACAGTCTTGAGGGATACGATCAGCCCTTAACTAACTGTCTCTTATCCACTGTACTAGCTGAGGTTTCTTTCCCACCCTCCTATTATCTTCTTTGTTTAAAATGTTCTCCACAGCTTCTGCTTTCATTCGGCTCCCCAATGTACGATGTTTCACCAGGTACTTTGCGTCTTCGTTATCATTATCATTATCATTATCAAATTTTAATGGTGTTCTCCCCCTTTCAAGTCATCATCACACAGTCTTTTTAGCCTCTTGTCCAAACCCCGCTTGCAGCGCCAGCCTCGCCCTTCATTTCGTACCTACATATTTCATCCCTTCTTTTTCTCAAGGTCACACGGTTTCCCAAGTATCGCCTTCTCCGGTGACATCATACGCGTGTGTTCACTCGATGTTTATTGCCCCACAATTTTGTCGGTTTAGTTTAGGCGGCTTGTATTTGACTAACTAACTAGAAAACCCTGATACCAAACTTCTCTGTGCTTGAAATCGATTTGAGTTCTACTACTCTATATATAATGATCCAACAGTCCCGCAAGCCCTTCAAAACCTAACAATGGTCTCGTAGGAATCAGTAATGTCAAACTAGGTGATGGTTAACAACGCGTGCACGTAAAGCTTAGAAAGCCGCTCAAAACGGACATGCTGCCGACTATGATATCACCCTAAAGCTAAGTCCTAAACCACTAAGTACAGACATGCTTGGTACTTCGTACCTGACCTCGACTACTTAAGTAAGTACTCAATTTCGAACCCAATCTCACAACCTTATAATCACCTGCTCAAACCACCCAGATAGGCATCATGGCGTATCTGGCCCCGATACACAGAGCATCTAGCATACGTCATGCCATCAAATGTCATTTTATCCACGCAGATAAGGAATCTTTAGTAATCGCGTGAGTTTTACAAAGCCTTACCTGCCTTTCAGGCCTCCTGCGGGTGTTCCGACTTATGAATACATCCTAGGAAGTCCAATCGTATCGAGGTTTACGACCTCATCCCTGAAGGGCTTGAACAGGTCGCCCACTTTGCGGTCTACGGCCGTGTTACTGGACTCCTCTCCCTTCGTCCTCAGCAATCTACCCTTGATCACTTGTTTCTTGGAACCGATAGATACGAATACTTTACGGTGTCCTGGGACTCCCAAACTGGCACTATTCGGAATGAGAGGAAAGCACATGATGTTACAGATAGGTTCCAGCGGCCTGCCCAGGTCGGCCACCTCTATTTGGCGGACCCCGGAGGCAGACTTCTAGGCCTTTACCTTTATGAGGGTATATTCACGGCTATTCCAATCAAAAGACAATCTAAGGGTAGAGGGAGGCACGCACAACTCCCGGAAGCGGAGATTGGGAATTTAGACGATCCGTGCCCTATCCGTATGAACGAGCTCAAAGTCATCAACATGGTATTTCTTTACGGGACCAGTGTACCGGTTATTGCGGTTCTGTATACGGATTCAAAAAAACTTGTTCACCTCATCACATATGAGCTGAATGTCGCGAAACGAGCTGTAAAGGACCCAGAGTTCGCACAATGGGGTATTAAAGCCAACAACTTAGACCATGGCGCTAAGCTCCTAATTCCGGTTGATAATCCTACAGGTATGTGATTCCAACGGTCGGGCTCCATCATATCCCGCTAAACATATTCCTCATTTTAATCAGGGGGCATACTTGTAATCGGGGAGCAGGTGGTCTCGTACTTCCATCCGGAAAGGACGGTACCTATGAAAAAGCCTCTGCACGAACCGACAAGTTTTGTCACCCACGGAAAAATTGACCCAGAGAGATACCTCCTTAGCGACGAACTCGGTCACTTATATCTTCTCCTCCTCATTATCGAAAATAACAAATTAATTAATATGAGGATTGAAAACCTCGGTGAAGTATGTTTCCTTGATTAGCCCTAGCAGCTAGCTTCGAGACAACCTTGATTACGCCAAGATGATCTTACTGCAGTGAATGTGCTAAGCGCGAGATTATGACATAGGTATGTCAAGCCCGGGCAATTGTGTACCTAGATAATGGATATGTATTCCTAGGGTCACACTTCGGAGATTCTACGTTGGTCAGGATATCATCAAAGGGCCCAAGAATTGAAGTAGTACAATCACTTCCCAACTTAGCCCCAATATCCGATTTTATCGTCCTAGGAACCGAAGTTGGCGGTGTAGAAATACACCAGTACTCCGCTGGTCAGACGATGATACTCACTTGCAGCGGTGGATTTTATGACGGTGGTCTCCGGAGTGTAAGAAGTGGTGTTGGTATCCGAGATATCGGGCTACTGGGGGAAATGAGTGGTGTTCAAAATATGTGGGCTCTCAAACGGGCAATCCTAGACAATGGGTAAGCTTTTGAATGCTAGCGCAACTTCTACACGGTTTCGACTAAGATCACGAACAGTTTCGATGATACGCTCCTTTTCTCATTTGCTAATGAAAGTCGAGCCTTCGCCTTCGGGGCCGATGGGGAGGTAGAAGAGGTTGACACGTTCGAGAATTTCTTTCTAGATACTACGACACTCGAGGCCGGAAATGTGGGAAATGATAAACTAGTCCAAGTTACTCCATTCAAGGTAATTGTTGTTGAGAAGGCAACTAGCAAGTTATGGAACTGGGCTCCACCGGTTGGTGCCAAAATAGTGATGGCATCTCTCTCTGGTGCCCGACTTGTAGTTGTTTTGAACGGCCGGATCTGCTTGTTATTCGATCTGTCGAGCGAACCTATCAAGCAAATCGCAAATCGCACTTTTGAGAATGAGATCTCATGCATTCACATACCTACAAAGCAGTCAGATTTTCTCGTAGTGGGGTTTTGGATGCCTGCATCACTAGCATTACTACGAATAGCAGACCTTGAGACCATGAAGGAGGAACATCTAGCCGTATTCGAAGGATCCGTCCCAAGATCGGTCATGGTTGCGAACATGGAAGGAGACGGTCCCTCCTCGCTCTTCGTTGGAATGGCGGACGGGGAAGTCATATCCTATACAATTACCGAAGGGCCAGGCATTCTCGATGACCAGAAGCGGATACGGCTTGGAACCCAAACAGTCACGTTCGAAGCCTTACCCCGAAAAACCGGAGACGATTCATCCTGTGTTATTGCCACTGGCGAACGCCCAACAATGGTATACGGTGAAGAAGGCAGAACCGTCTATTCCGCAATCACCTTGAACCAGGCCTCATCGGTTGTTGCATTTAACGCGGAAGCGTTCCCAGACACCGTGGTCGTCGCAACAGACGAGAGTGTATTTATAGCAAAAATCGACGAGGCCCGGACTACACACACGCGGATGTCACCACTTTGCCAGTTTGCGCGAAGAGTAGCTTTCTCCAAAGAAAAGAAGGCATACGGTGTTGCTACGATTCGGAACTCTATAGATACAACCACTGGTATGGAATCGAGCAGTTGTTATATCCATGTCATCGACGAAAACTTCTACGATAAAATCGATGCTTACGAATTGTACCCGAACGAGCTTGTCGAGAGCTTATTGTGTGCCTCCCTCGCAAACCCGGATGGTACAATTTCGGAAAAGTTTGTAGTGGGAACAGCGATTGGCAATGATTCCGATGAGAGTGAACATGGAAGGCTACTCTTTCTTGAGCTTGGGGCAGATAAGATGCTTAGATTGATCACAGAACTAGAGCTCCCAGGAGCTTGCCATTCACTTGCAATAGTGAAGGGCTATATTCTAGCGGGTCTCAGCAAAAGTGTGAGCAAGACACATAATCTAATCCTCCTCCTCCTTCTAGGGAAACTTTTTAACTGTTAACTGTTAACTGTTTATGCAGATTGATCTCTATCGATTTTCGTACACGAGGGGGTCACTGGGTGCTTCAATTCAACAGATATCTTCAATTCGAGCAGCCACCCTCCCAGTGAGTTTATCCGTCTATGGTAAGAGGGTTTTCGTGGGCGATTTGGTCAAAGGCGTCATGGTGCTTGAAGTTGTCGAAGGGGGCGGAGAAGGAAACGATAAACTTGTAGAAGTCTGCCGACAGTATGGCGTCAGTTGGGTAACTGCTTTAGAAGCCCTCGATGAAGACACATGCATATCGGCAGATTCCGACGGGAACCTGGTGCTATTGCGTAGGGAATCGACTGGAGCCACGGACGAGGATACTAGGCGAATGCGTCCGCTGAGCGAAATACGACTTGGGGAAATGGTCAATTGTATTCGCAGGGTTAACGACCCTATTACACAGGGATATGTTGTCCAGCCAAAGGCATACCTGGGCACTGTTGATGGAGGGCTGTTCATGTTAGGCTTGATACATCCGGATTATTTTGACATATTGATGAAGTGTCAGGTGAACATGGCAAAGGTTATCAAGGGAATCGGTGACTTGGATTTCAATAGGTAAGCAACCGCCGAGAGATTTGTTTTCTGGCTACTTGTACGCACATGACATCTAACATATGATTTCAAAACGATACAGGTACCGAGCATACAATACCAAAGGCATACAACCAGAGGAGCCGTTTAGGTTTGTTGATGGTGAACTTGTTGAGAAGTTCTTAGATCTCGACGAAGATGCAATGAGGATGGTTATTGATGGAGCAAACGATGACGATAATTCACAGATCGAATGCACAGTTGGTGAGATGAAGAACATCGTGGAAACCTTGAAGCGACTCCACTGAGGTGCGATATCTTGTAGATAGGTAGGTACTTACTTAAGTACTTAAGAAGTACCATGTATCGATAATAAGATATTAAAATATTGTGACTGGATATCATGGATATTGTTCCTCTTGTACTTGTATATATACCTACTTCTTAGTAAGTACTTACTTAGTACCAAGTACCTTCAGTAGGTGCTTAAGTACTTGCTTGCTGACTAAGTACTTCGGTACCCGCCAAGGCCGGGCGAGTTGGGCAACCCAATCTGGAACCCTCCGCCTAGTTAACTCACCTCGACTCCATCCACTATGGCCATACCAGCCCCTTGTAACGAGATATCTACAAATCGTACCCTAGTCTCCTCATGCTCGAGACCATCGCTACCATTGTTGTTCGCCCCTCATTGCGGCAATCACGGAATCCATACTCTCCTGTGTTTTTAAGGCGGCATCGCCTCCTTGTCTCACAGCAAATCAACCCTTCGTGATCCTGGAATGCCCGAGTAGTTCTCACTATGGACCTAGAAGCCCGACGACGAAAAGATTGTAAGCCACATACCTCTCTCTCGGCTCTCAGGCTCGCTGGGTGTCTAACACATGTTCCCATATAGGGCGCTATGGCTGCGTAATGGATGCTGGTTCATCGGTAACCCATGACGAGGGACTTCAACCATGGCCAAACAAACCACAACTAACTTACTCTTCGCACGCAGGGCACCCGGATATACATCTACAGATGGCTCGATCATATGTCACAACGGGAGAAGGCGACCCCCGAAGAATTAGACAGCTTTCCGCTGATTTCGACAAAGAAAAAATGGATTAAAAAGATTCGACCTGGTACCACATTTGCCACATTGCCCTTTCGTAGCCGCTTGGCAATCTAACTTCTCTTTTCAAGGTGTATCGGCTTTCGCGGACAGGATCGAAAGTGTAGGTCCAGACCATCTCGAGGAACTTTTCGCACACGCCCGAACGATCATTCCTCCCGACCAGATACCCGACACCCCGTTATTCCTATTAGCAACTGCTGGTGTTAGACTACTGCCCGTGTGGGAACGAAAGGCCCTACTCACAGAGATATGCAACTATGCGGTTCAGAACACCAACTTCCTACTCCCGGATTGCAAACTTCACATTCAAGCCATAACAGGGGAAACTGAAGGCCTTTACGGCTGGATCGCTGCAAATTACTTAATCGGCTCTTTTGATGCGACTCAAAAACACGATCATGGGAAGAACCACCACACTTACGGGTTTCTCGACATGGGAGGTGCTAGCGCTCAAATCGCATTCGTACCAAATGCGACAGAAACTAAGAAACACGCCGATGATCTCAAGTTACTCCGGATGCGAAAGCTCAGTGGGCAGTCGGTAGAATATAAGGTGTTCGTTACAACCTGGTTAGGGTTTGGGGTACATCAAGCAAGGTCTCGATATCTCGAAAAGCTAGTAGAAGCGTCCGGCGGCGAAAACGTTCTAGAGCTCCCAGACCCGTGCCTTCACCGGGGGCTGACAGCGACGATAGATGGCAAGGAAGTGGGATCTAGCAGCGCTGGGTCGGGCAACCAGCCGGCCTCCGAAAAGAAACCATATCTCTTTGGTACCGGAAAATTCGATGAGTGCCAACTTCAGGTCCACCCACTTTTATCTGACGGCAAAATACCCTGTAACAATGCTGCGTGCTTATTGGATGGCCATCACTTTCCTCAGGCAGACTTCGACATCAACCATTTCCTTGGAGTATCGGAATACTGGCACACCACTCACGAGGTTTTTGAAATGGGACACGAGACTAAAGCATATGACCTCGCAACTTACTCTAAGAGAGTCAGAGAGTATTGTTCGGAGCCTTGGGATGCTATCAGGGACAAATTACATCAACACGAGTGGGGGAAGAAAATCGACGCTGAAAAGGCGATATCAATTTGTTTCCGAGCTAGCTGGGTGATGAGTGTCCTCCATGACGGGATCGGGGTCCCAAGAATTGGTCTGGACACAAGCGGGTCAGGACATAACGCTACAGAGCAATTGATCGGAGGCGCTAAAGACAAAGGATTCCTCGATCCCTTTCAGGCCGTGGACGACATACATGATGTGGAGGTGTCCTGGACGCTCGGGAAAATGGTGCTATATGCGACATCTGTAATTCCTCCAAAAGGGAATTCAGGATACGCTTTACCAGTCGGATTCGGAAGCAATACCCTTAAAGGCGAGGTGATACCTGCCGACTTCGAATATGCAGGAAGTGGTACCAACCCTGCAAAGACACCATCTAAACCCCACATACCAACGACACCACCTACCTCACCTGCGATTGGTGGCTCCGTATCGGGTATCCCCGTCCCCACAACGGGTAGCGAGCCGGGACCGGGACCAGAAGATGATTCAGACCATTGGCATGGGGCGCTATGGAACAACAGCAATTCAAATCGTAGGATTCCCGGGATAATTCTGTTCCTCTTGATCTTCTCATTTGCTTCATATCTATTATTGGGTCGGGATAGACGCCACCGACTGGCGCGGAAAATGAACCTACATAGATTGTTTGGTGGGAAAGGAAGAAAGAGCGCTATGGGTGGCAGTGGTATCTTGTATGAAAGAATCGGAGAAGACATAGAATTGGGCGAGTCTGCGACGCCATCATTCTTCGAACTTGCTGACTACGAAGACGATGATGTGGGAAACGGGATTAACAATGACAGTGGGAGTAGAAGCGGTACGATGAGGCGGGGAGTCTCCACCAGCAATGTCAAAGGTTTGGGGTTAAACTTAGGCCCATATGGGTCTCGAATGGGTAGCCGAATATCAAGCCGCGAGCATCTAGCTGCGGTGTCGAGGAGTCGGGACGTAAGTCCTTCTCGAGGGAATGCAGGGAGGAGAGTGAAAAGTCCAATGCCTCGGTCAGACCCTTTTTTGTAATGGCGCCTTCGATTTCCTGTACCCACGCGTCCCAATTTCCTTGCGTCCCTTGCGTCCCTTGCCTTCACTTCCATTTCTTTTGGCGTTCTGGCGTTGAATAGATAAGTCAGTACCTATTTAGTCCATATCGGTCGATAATACCCATATATAGATCATGTACACGTGCCAAGATCCTAGTACTAAAAGCGAGCTAAATGCCTGTGACGAAATCTAACATCTCCAAGCTGCACAAGCAAGAACGCCCATGCTCTACCGCTGCTGCTGCAAGCCTTAGGCCATAAAACTGTTTCCACTGCCTCCGACGAAACAGCCTCCAGCGGGCCCGCCATCATGTTCGGGTGTATTTGCGCAGGGCGACAAGGTTTGGGCACCTACCCGATAATCCCGAGCTAGTTGTGAGCACGCATCACCATCTCTAATCCCCCCCCCCAAACGGTACCTACAAAAAATAAAATGAAGAAGGGGAAGAAAGATGGGGAAAAAGGAGGACGGGGACGAGGATTGAGAGAAGAAGCAGAGAGAAAGCTAGAAAAATAGAAAAGAGAAAGGCTGACTGAAATCATTTATTCCCTCCTATCAGTGCAGACAAACCTCCAGGCCGTTTCTCAAACCGAATTTCTCTTTGTGCTTCCCTCAGCACAGACCATCAACCACATTGTCGTCTTTCTCCTTCCAGACACCCAGCTACCGCCTGGTTATGCGGCTACCGTCTATTTCCAATGGCCCGGTAAACCATTTCAACTCCTCGGCGGATTGTCGATGGAGAAGCAATCCGCAATATTCCGGCTGAAAAGTGGCCCTCAAACTATACCTAGCGGAACGGCAACAGCAGCAGGTACTAGTACCTCGGACGCTATGGCCGATGAGAACGGGTTTTATCCTACCGGAGCAGAAAACATAACAGCTCAACTCGGTATATCGATAGAACCGATAGGGCAGGCCCAGCAAAAGCTCATGATGCTTCCTGTTCACCTATCCGGGCTATCTGCTTCGGCGACCCTTACATCATATGGAGCTACAATCGTCCCTAGGGATGGTACTTCGGACTCGAATGCCCTAGCGAGCAGAGACAGCGCCGCGACTTTAACACTAGCAAGAAGAATAATGAAAAATGCGTTTAATTATCTGGGATCCTTTAGTTCTGGCCCACCGGGATCTGAGGTGGTCCCCATGAGAGAGTTTCAATCGTGGTGGAATAAATTCGAACGGAGGCTTACCGTCGATTCTAGTTTCTTGGAGAAGGAGGAAGAGGCATAGGAGTGCCTTTTAGTCTTTTTACAGTGCCTTTTACTCCCTTTCCTACCTATGGTAGGTGCACATCCGTGCGATACGAGCTGCCTACTTAATAGTATGTATGTATATTTATTTTGTATAATTGTCTGTGAAAGCGGTGGAAGTCCTTGTTTACGGGCTGGTGCGGCTTTGAAAGAAAGCAAGAAAGACTATCAATTGAAAAAAAAAAAAAAAACACCCAAAAAACAGAGATATCGGAAAGGGGAGAGAAGGGAGAAGAAACAAGGCCGAGAGTGCTAGAACCCGAGATAAAGAAATTATGCATAAGAAACCATGTCATCCCGGATATTAAGGTAAAGGGAACTTGAAAAATGCTATGCAGAATGGTAGTAGGGAGCCGTAGCTCCGACAGAGTTCTTGTGGCCTATGAGATATATTCCACCCAGAAGAGGTGCTCTAGAATGGTTATCAAGCTGTCTGGATTTTGTAATCGCCTTTAACCACATCGCTATAACTAGGTGGTGGTTGAGAGGGCCCAGCAGAGGATCCCTCGCCATGGTCCATGCCATTAGCAACTGGAAGGTTATCTTGGGATTGTATTGCCGGCTTATGGGTATCGGCAACTGTGGTTTCGGCTACGGGACGAGGTGGCGATGATACTGAAGCGGCAGCGGTTGTAGTTGTGGTGGCGGTGGCAGTGGTTCCATAGGTTTGAGGCCTTGTCTGGGATCTTGGACTCTGTGGGCGGTGACCCTGTTGGTGATGATGATGGCAGCCTTGCTGCTGCGGTGCGTACGAAGGTTGAGTATGTGCAGCGACAGATGGGTAGGTTGCGGTATAGTAGTATACTCGCTGGTTACCTCCTTCGATCGGCTCGTAACTGTAGCTATACGGATCAGGGTATTTCGCGATTATGTACCAGGCATGAAGAAGGCCTGGAAGGTATCCAAGGCATAGCAGAGCGATGTTTATGATGCTATCGGCGGAGCAGACTCCGCGCTTGACCCAAACTATGTTGTAGAGACGCTTGGTTAGCCTGGAAGGGATGCGGAGGAGAAAGATGTCAGCGGATAGGCAAGTACTCACCAGCGATGGGAGGAAACAAGACAGCGAGAACCGCGAGAAAACAGTCGGAAGAGCACATTTTCGACCTCTAATATGCTATGAAGATGTCCTGGCGAAGAAATAATTTGCTCTACCGCTCTACTATTGTCGAGTTTTTAGGGACCGGCTGTCGGTGGAAGGCAGTGAAATTGAGGTTGAGTGTGGGCGAGAAGGCCCGCCTCAAGATGACGACGCTGGCCCGCTTACATAAGTCTCAACCATCATGCATCACCCTGTCCTCGAGCGTGACACTCAACATGGCCTCGCGGGAGGGCAATTTATTCTTATTTTTATTTTTATTTTTATTTTTATTTTTATTTTTATTTTTATTTTATTTTATTTTTATTTTTGTTTACTTTTATTCGTCTATATATTAATATTTTACCGGGATGATAGATGTGAATACTTTATACAGTAGGTATATAATTTGATTTGATGGATTCATATATCCCTTGCTAGAGTTAAAGGTTTGACAAGATTGCTTTTGGCAGTGTTAATTCTAAAGGAGAGGAGGTATCAGGGTAAAGGAAGAGGCGGATTGGGAATATAAAAGGTGTCAAAGGAAAAGCTAGAAAGGAGAGACCAAGGAACGATACGATGTTTATATATAACAAACGTTGGGGGGGGGGGGAGGGATTATATGGAAGTATATGACGAAACGAAAAACTAGATGACTCCGCGCTATATCCCTACAAAAAACACATTGATTTTCAGTATCGATATCTCCTAGAGACACTCTACTTGAGAAAATCACGGAAGGTCAACCTGGAGGACCGGCGGAGTCGTTACTATGTTCTGATGAAAGAGGCTCGAAGCGATATTAAACCCGAAATGAAAATGAAATGAAAAGAGAAACCAACAAAAAAAAAAAAAAAAAAAACATGCTATATAAAACGCAAGGGGGAATGTAATGGACGAAGGAAACGGATAACAAAAGCTGCAGAATAAAGTGTCAGCGACAAGATCAATTTTTGTAAAAGCAAATCGTAGGGTGAGCCCGCTGAAGATTGTATTCGAACCAGAAGCCAGACCGAAAGAACCAACAAGCGCAAATCATCCAACCACAATCATAACTCTACGATTCATGAGATTATTTAATCGTTAACGCTGTTAAAATGGAAAGAGGATAGAAAGAGTTGAAGCAATTGTCATCAGAAAAATTCAAAAGGGGGTGAGAAGGGAGGGAGCGGAAAAAAAAGAAGGGGGGAAGGGAAAAGCTAAAATTAGACATCGGGGAGCACCCCCCTCGGTTTGAGGAGTGCAATACGATCATGTTGCTTAAAGTGCGATGAGCAAAAAGCATAAGTGGAGAGTCGGGTATTCGGTGAAACGGTTTTGTACGGCTTGTTAGGAGATGGTAGTGGCCGCGAGGGCACTACTGACTTTTTCAATGTCAGATTGTCCGGCAGCCGTATCCGATCCAGAAGCGAAGTCCGGAGGAAGAACAGCCTTCTTCTTCTTCTTCTTGGGGCTATTACCAGTAAAATTCAGTCAGCGAGTGAGTTAACTACCTTTTTAATAAGTAGTCAAGGCCAGATCAAGCAATCCAACTTACACTTCTCGAACGCAGTCTACACACCGAGGATGGCTACAGCTTGCACACGCTTTAGTGATATTAGCGCTCGCACTGCACTCTGAGCACGTCCATTTGAGAGGCTTCTTTCGTTTGATTTCTTCAACAGGTGTTGGCTTCCGGTTCCTACATCCCACGTTTATATTAGCCGCCACCGACCAGCCAAAAAGGAGGTATAATGACTATAAGCGGAAGAGCATACGGTTCTCTATGGCACTTCTTGCAACGATTGTGGGTACACTTCGGACATGTTTTCTGGCCAGCAAAGTCGGATTCGCACTTGTGACATTTCCAATGCACACGTTGACGGATCTTGCGATATACCAATGGCTGGCCTCCCGTTTTGCTTGGCATTGTGAGTCCTTCATAAGGGTCGAACTCCTTTGGCTGTGTCTTTGTCTTCTTCTTGTCCGTTTTGGAACTGTTGAGATCGATTTAGTTGGAAACCTGTCATAGTCTTGGGATAGCGGAGGGAACATACGGTGGTGAACGCGGGCACTCTACACATCTCTTATGGGCACAACTCGGACAAGTCTTCTCGCTCCCAAAGGCAGTTTGACAGACATGGCAATAACGTCTAACACGCATACGGATCGGCTTTTCGACCCTTTCACCAGCGGGAGGCCGTGCGGCGTAAGGCCAATCTTCCGGAATCTCAATACCATGCTTTTCAGCCAGTTGCCGGGCACCGAGCGACAGCGCGGGTTTTGTTTTCGGGGACTCAACCGTAGATGTAGTAGCTTCCGGTATTGTTTTCGACGGTTCTTCCAGCTTGATAGTGGGCTCTACGTTTGGTTTGATCGATGATTGAGGAACAGTATCGGTTGTTTTCGTGGCTGGTGTCTTCTCTGCAACCGGAGCAGAGGTAGAAGGACCGGGTGCACTAGCAGACCTAAGACAGAGGAAGTATCAATGTCAGTTTTCACAACGCTTCGATTTTCCCTTGCATGTCGCAAGTTTTTTTTTCTTTTTTTCCTTTTTCTTTCTACATTTTGGTTAGACGTACGAGGATTCGGTGGCCGGTGTGGTTTCAGTCGGCTCGTGTTTCTTTCCTTTGGAGGGTTTTACAAATTTCGAGACAAAGCGCTGAATGCTGCGCCTTTTCGATTTATCCTTCTCGACGGGAGGGCCGCCAGTGGGAGGTTGTGAAGTCGACATGTTTGATGGATTCCGAAGGTCTAGTGTCGGTCGGTCACGAGAATACGGCGGGGGGTATTTAGTTGTCGGGAATTTGAAACCTTCGGTACGGTATTAATGGAGATCTAGGTTGTTGTGTATCAGAGTAATTGTATCTGTCGAAATGTTCAAAATATCGATCGCATCCAGGTTAGGGAGAACCAAGCAGTTGGGAACCAGCAAGGGCAGATCTGATGAATGGACACGACAACCCAGGTCCTTGGATCCGGTAGGTCGAAAGCAATTTGAAACCAAGAGGACAAAAATATATTTTAAAGTAAATAAAATAAATAAAATGAAATGAAAAAAATAAAAAGAAGCAGGAGAGGGTTATTCCTATCTATCGGCCTGTCCGTCCGTACATCTGAGGGGATGGATGGATGTGGGTATGGATGTGTGAATGTCTGTCTGTCTGTCTGCCTGTTGTCCGTCCCAGACGGTCGGGTCGTTGGGTGGTTAGCTTTATTTCTTTTGATGGGAGAAGCAAAGGGGGGTTGGTTGGTTGGATGGTGTGTGAGAGTTTTTTTGGAACCGACGGAAAGGGCAAAGAGAGATGACAAAGACAGGGGAATTGTAAAGGTTAGTGTTAGATATTGCGATGATGGTGGTGATGGTGATGATGGTGATGATGGTCTAGTATGATACAATACATGTACAAGATACCTCACAGGACAGTTTTATGGAGAAGAGGTTGGAAAGATAGTACGTATTTAGAGGGGGGAAAGGGAGAAGGGGAGGGAAGGGAAAGGGAAGGGAAGGTTCCTTAGTAGTTAAAGGAAACTACCCCAACTGACCTCTTTTTTTGAAAAAAAAAACTAAAAAAATACAAAAAGAGAACTAGCGACAGTGGTAAACCACAGTTTCGGGACCGGAATCAAAGTCAAGATGGTTGTTGACGTTAACTTTGACTTTTGACTTTTGACATTGAAGATGGGAAAGTCTTAGTTTTTTTCCTTAGTGCGTATTGGTATTGAAGGGAAGGGAAGGAAGGAAGGAAGAAGGAAGGAAGAGAGGAAGACCCTCACAACCATCAACCATCAACAACCATCAACAACCATCAACCATCAACCATCAACCATCAACCATCAAACCTCAAACCTCAAACCTCAAACCTCAAACCTCAACCTTGACTTTGACTTTGACTTTGACTTTGACTTTGACTTTGACCTCAATTTTGATCACCAAGTACTTAAGTCAGCTATTGAGAAGTAAGTAAGTACCAACCGACTTCCCAGTTACATAACTATTTCTACTTGCTTGCTTCCTCTTCCTCCTCCTCTTCTGACATATAAGAGGGGACAAGCACTCTCGGAACCTCTCTCGCTCTTCTTAATAACTCTGCTCTCAACTTGTCCCAATCAATCCAAATTCCAACAGAGACAAGTGCAGGTCAGGACAGGACAAGGCAAGGCAAGGCAAGACACCCCCAGCCAAAGCAAGATCCCAAGACCCAGGAAGCCAGAGCCAGCGGAAGGTGGAGAACACCAACGCTGCAGCAAAACGAGACAAGAGCAAGAAACCATGCAGCAAACCGCCTCCCGGCGAATGCAAAAGAACACACCACATACTACATTCATACAGAACCTCGCACCAATGTACACAGTACATCCATGTATGGATGTCTGTATGTATGTATGTATCGGTACTGTGGAGCGGAAAGGGGAGGAAGGCCTCCATCGAATAGCCGCTTTGGCCGACAAAGGGCAGGGGTTCGATTGATCAATGGCCACGCGGATTGGGGGGGCCAAACGAAGTGGCCCACAAACCTGGGTCTGCATTTTGCTTCCTTACATTACATTACATGACAATTACACGCCCACGCCATGAGGATGATTGACTTATAGTTAATCCTCGTGTGTCCCTTCCACACTGACAATCATGCATTGCATGGCGGCCAAGGGCTCTCCGACGGTAAATCATGTCACCTCCACCCGACCCCAACCTTGTCAATACGACCTCCTGCTTTCGAATCGAATCTGATGGTTCCATATTAATCCCGTCATTCATACTTCGGCAACTATCTACTAATATTGTACATACTTACTGTGCTACATGAACACAGATACACATGCTTAAGTTAGTAGAAACTACTCTGTACGTTTCCTCGGTAGGTACGAACCCCCCCCCAAAAAAAAAAAAAAAACTACAGGGATCATACCTCCTACGATCCCACCGGCCGATGTGCACATCTCCGCCTCTGCGCTGTCAACTTTTTATCCCGCCAAACAGGCTCCCGGGCAGGCCCGTTTTCCAGCTGGGAGAATTCAAGGGCAAACTTGGAACCACCCCACCTGTTTGATTTGCTTTCGACAAATGGATCAAGAACCCGACTTCCCCAGCGGCGCTACTGCCGACCCTTGTCGCCTGCTTTTTGACGAGACAACTTGCCTTCCTTGAATCCAATCCACCTCCGCATGTGCTTTTTCCCATCCTTTCATCTTGTACCAGTACATACTTCCCTCGTCCGAGCATGACCTGACTGGAAAGAGTCAATTATCCCCCCATATAAATTTCCAGAGCTCAATGTACCATGTACACTCCATGAATCAACGAGGGAAGGGGGAAAAAGAAAAGAAAAAAGAGAGAAAAGAGAGAAAAGGAAAGATAGAAGGAAAGAAAAGCATTGTGGAAAGGTTAACGTTTCGGTACTCTGATGTAAACCACCATTTTCTCCCACGCGCGTTTATAACGTTTAACCCTCTCGCTGTTGTGACTTATTTAACCGCAGGAGCCATCCAAAACCCATTGCTACTACAACGACTGCTGCACTTCCAACATACCCTCTTGCATAAACTACCAAAATAACGGGAACAAGTTACGGGCGGAAATGCGGAGTGCTACCTCGGGAAAACGAGCTACCTTACATATGCCGTGCTTGCGTTCCAGCGAAACGCCATATGGATTCCACATGTGTAAAAGTATGCGAGACAGGTACTTAGGTACTTGAGTACTACTTATGGATTCATAAAACAAAGTTTGTACCAACCAAAATACAAATATTCGCCTGAAGCCTTCTTCGGTACCTATGCATCTACCAGCGCATCCCTAATCGCTATCACACCGTCCTCATCCTGAACTTCCATAACCTTGCCGACTTCGGCGGTGTTTCGCATGAGCTCCTTGGCACCAGCATACAACATTCGTAGTTCATTGTTTGAATTCTCGGGCATATAATACAGAAGCACATACGGTGTGGAAAACCGCCCGGATTTCTGGGCAGGTGGTTATCAGCCAAGCAAGGAAGACTAGACAGATGGAAAGAGGAAACCACCTACCAATGTCACCGGATGGCTCAGAACTACATATCTTGGCGTATTCTCTGGTAAGGCATCTGCGATATCTTCCAAGGTCGTATACACCTCCTCGTCAGCCTCTCTGATTTCCAGTGACTTCCTATCGATTAAATCTAAAGGCAATACCCGATTAGCCAAACAAAAAAGAAAAACATTCCCCGCATTCCGTAGCATTGGCGAGCGGGAGGGACGGGGAGGTAAAAGCTACGTACAGATGCGAGCCTGGGGTGTGGTTGCTCGAGATGTCGAAAGTCTAAACTTCCGTAGTTGTTTCTTCGTTTCCTCACTGAAAACGTAAAGTCGGGATTCGGACGCCTGGGGACGTAGAGAGAGAGAGGGGACGGGTGGGGTGGTTAGACTATGCTATGCAGAGAAACAGGAGAAGAAAATCTGGAATTGGAATCAGGTGCTTAAACTTCAGCCAACAGAAAAAAAAGATATACCATAAGTAGTTCCGAGAAGTCTATAGATAGACGCTATATTATATCAACAGCAAAGAGGAGATGGAAGTGAACATGGACTGGCGGGAGATGATGTCGAGACCGATATGAAACCTTGAAGTAGCTCGGAGAGCGGCAGCAGATAATAGTGACAGTGCAGAGCTGACCAACTGACTGATTAGGTACTGACTTAATCTTAATACCTAACCGAAGGAGGATAAGCTCACGGAACTGTGGCTTATACATACCAGCCCCGACATCCACCGCCACACCTGTACAGTATGTAAGTACTTACCTTCAAGGAAGAAGTAAGTAAGTACTTAAGTACTTAAGCATTTAAGTATATAAGGAAGTACTAGTACCGGGGAGAAAATTATCGATCGATCAGACCGAAGCTGGTTAAACGAATCACGAACACATGCGACCCTCTCATATATACATTCCAGCCAGGTATATATAAATCCCATTCACCCGATGCTAAGTTTCTCCATACGTGCACGAATCCCGCAATATCTGCACTCGAGCTCTTCCGGATCTGCCCTTCTGTTCTCGAAGCCGGTTTTATATCGTCTCCCTAGCCGAAATATGTCTCCATCCGCTCCCGTCCGGATGATTCAGACGGCTGCCTGTCTGGTTATTGGAGATGAAGTCCTCAATGGAAAGGTGCTCCCATTGTCGCTCCATCCTTGCATGATCAGTGCGGTGCCGGAAATGGCCATGGACATGAAATGAGCATCGGACTGACAAGGGTGTCTCTTTTATGTTTTTTACGCATATTCTCAGATCGTAGACACAAACAGTCCCTTCTTCGCGAAATACTGCTTCTCTCTCGGGCTCGATCTCAAACGGGTGGAGGTGATACCGGACGATGAGGCGGATATTATCGAGGCTGTCAGGCGAATGTCCGACAAGTACGATTTCGTGGTAACCAGTGGGGGAATTGGTCCAACGTATGTCACGACACAGGCCCCTAAACTTAAGCTTACAGGTCCGATCGGATATGTAGGTCCACACACATATATATCTACTAAGTATATATATAAATATGTGTGTGTGTATGTGTGTGTGTGTATGGTGCTAATCTTACAATAATATATATTCGTCAGTCACGATGATGTGACCTATCCAAGCATTGCAAAGGCGTATGTGAAAGCCGCCTATCCCTTGCGCTACATGCATTATATATATATGCACACGTCTAACATAAGGGGATGTACATATAGGTTCAACGTCCCATTGGAAATACACGATGAAACCCGCCAGAGGATGAGAAAACTTTGGAAATCCAAAAGAAACGAGGCAACATTCGACTGGGACACCCCGTCCAATAGATTGACGGCAAAATTACGGATGGCAACGTTGCCAACGGGTGCAGGATGTCGAGCATATTTCCCTTCTGACGAGTTATGGGTGCCTATTGCGATTGTGAATGATAACGTTCACATCCTTCCCGGGATCCCATTGCTTTTCCAACAGATGTTGACGGGACTGGAGAAAGAGCTGGTTCCACGGATTGAGGCATCCAGCCGGAATATATTTCGATTGATGATCAGTACCCCGCAGCCGGAGTCACAGATGGCGGATTATCTCACATCGCTACAGGAAAAGGTCCAGGAGCGTGGGGTAAAGGTGGGGAGTTATCCACGGTGGGGGAAGCCGAGGAATACGGTGACGTTAGTGGGGAGAGATCGAGAGTATATAGAGGGCTTAGTGGAAGAGGTTTCAAAGCAGTTGGAGGGGGTGAGGGTTAGCGTGGAGGGTGAAGACGACAGCGAGAGTGACGAGGCGGTAGAAGGTGTATAGATTGTTTTATATATACGATCGATCGATGAGAAAACATCAATAGAAACAAAACAAACCCCCCTCCTAGTATTGGATATTAGGTGATGATATTTCATAATTACTTACTTAAGTACTTTGTGTATGTGAGTAAGTAAGTAAGTAAGTATATTATAGATGCAGCCTTCTGAAAACGTTTCAGATGCACGCCATTTGGAGAAGATTGCATTGCATCTACCGGAAAAACACACTAAGCTGGATTTTATGAATTTATTTTATGAATTTATTTTATATTTTATGAATTTATTTTATTTTATTTTATTTTATTTTTCTATTTTATTTTTAGACGGGCCCAATGCAATGGAGTTTATCTCCATCTGGCAGCGCTCGAGGCGTGCGGACGGGTGGTATACTTACCAGTTGGAGTCGGGTTTGGTTTCCCGGACTGCTCCAGGCTCCGCTTTCGAGGCCGTCTTTCCTTTTCCTCTTTTCCTCTTTTCCTCTTTATAATTTATAAAAATTATTTTTAATATCCTGAAAGTCTAAAGAATCAAATCAAATCTAGATCCTGGCGGTGGTTAGTTGCAAAATAGTAAATAATATGCAAGAGCGTCCGTCGCGAGACGTTTAGCAGCAGAAGTAGTGTCCGAGACCAGACGAACAATGCAAGAAGATCAATAAGATCAATCGACTGGCCCTTCCTGTTAAGCTCCGCTAAGCAGTTCCAGTCGGTTTACTGTCCGCGTCGTGTCGGGAAGCCCGCTCGGTTTGGTCGTTTAGTTCAAAGTCGCCTGGGTCTGGCCAACAGCAAGCCGGAGAAGTCTCCACCGCCTCTTTATCTTTCTCTTTTTTGCCATTCTCTGTTTTGTTTCTTCCCGCGTACAAGTGTATGTGAATGAACGGATGAGAGAGTGAGTGAATGATGAGTGAATGAATGAGTGAAATGGACGAGTGAATGAGTGAAATGGATGAGTGAATGGATGGATGGATGGATGAATATGAGTAAAGTAGATGGAGTGCTTGATAGAGAAGATGGAGTAGAGGTTGAGTTCAGTTAAGTAAGAAGAAGAAGAAGAAGAAGAAGAAGAATATCAACCAACCCAACCCAGCCCAGCCCTTCTTTTTTTATCCCGCTCCAACATCGATCTCGTGAACTTTCCTTCTTCTTATTCTTCTTGTTCTTCTTCTTCTCCTCTTTATCTTTATCTTTCTTTTTTCTTCTTATTCTTATTCTTATTCTTATTCTTATTCTTATTCTTATCTTCCTCTCCTTCCTCTTCCTGCTCCTCTTCCTGCTCTTCTTCCTTTCCATCCCTTCCAAATCCTCCTCCTCACCACCACCACCATCGCCTCTCCCATTTCCCCTTACGCCTCTTTTTTTTTACTCAAGTACTTATAGTATAAGCATACTTATAAGTATAAGTATAAGTATAAGTATCAGTAGAAGTATATATATATATCTCAACTTCCAGCCGAGATTCCAAAAAAAAATCAAACGAAACCAAATCAAATTAATTCCCCAAAGGAAATATCATCACAAACAGGCATCTGCCAATACGCGAAATTGTCCAAGTACGTCCCCCTTAACCTCTCCTTTCAACTTTCAACCTCGAATCTTTCGACTCTTCCACAACCCCCCCCTCCTCCTCCCCTTCTTCTCCCCTCTCTTCCTCCGTTTTCTCTTCTCTCCTTCGGCAGTTTATTCCTGGGACCCCGTTATATACGTGTGTATCATCTATACACTTTTTAAAAAAAGTATCTACACATTTCTCTTTCTCCTGTCTCGTCCCCTTATCTATCTGCGTATGTTGCATATGTCTTGAAAGGAACGGAACGGATTCCAAAAGACACCACCCAGCTCGGATATCTCCCTTTGAGAGCCTCGCCATCCTTCTTTCCTCTCCCATCCCTTCCCTTCCCTTCCCTTCCCCGCCCCACCCCTTGACCTGATCTAACCTAACCGTCCCATTTACTTTACTTTATTTTACTTTATTTTTTATTGATTTGTTTCGTTTATTTATCTTCTCTTCCATCTTCCATCTTCTGTTCTCCGTTCTCCGTCCTTTGTTCTTTATTCTTTGTTGCTTCACAGCCAGCTTATTCGCCGACCTTCGGAAACAGGCACGCGGGAAACTCGTCGATAATTTTATCATCCTTACCTATAATCACTCGCCCTCATGTCTAAGGTAAGAACAGACTCGATCATCGCAATCCTTATCTCTCTCTCTCTCCCCTTTCCTTCGAATTCGCGCGCCACTGCCGAAAAAAAAAAAGCCGCCCAAGAGAATAGAACCAGGTCGCTATTTTATTATTATTATTATCATGCATCATCATTGTTTTCTTCTCCCTCTTCATCGCGGGATTAGTCGCATTGAAAAAAAAAAGTTTCTACGACGGAACTGGGACGGATCGCTTGACAACTAAAAGAACCGGCTTGTTATCCCGAGCGATCTGAAGACGAATATATATATCTCATCTATCCTTTCGCGCTGGGGGTTTCAATCTCGACTATCTCTCTCCTAGCGCTTTGGCGATCGAAAAAAAATTCACCTACATATCACAGCTGACACCGGTTGTTTTTCATCCCGTATAGGCACAGTTCCTTCGGGAATACAAACTCGTCGTCGTCGGCGGTGGTGGTGTCGGTAAATCTTGCCTGACCATCCAACTGATCCAATCGCATTTCGTCGACGAATATGATCCGACTATTGAAGGTATTTTTTTCCCCCCCTTGATACCACGCCTATTCACCACTTCACTACCAAGCAACCCGTGACCAACATTTCCTTTCCGTAGATTCCTATCGAAAACAATGCGTTATCGACGATGAAGTCGCTCTCCTCGATGTTTTAGATACAGCCGGTCAGGAGGAGTACTCCGCCATGAGAGAACAATATATGAGGACAGGAGAGGGTTTCCTTTTGGTCTACTCCATCACCTCCAGAACCTCTTTTGAAGAAATTATCCAGTTCCAGCAGCAAATCCTAAGGGTCAAGGATAAGGACTATTTCCCATTAGTCGTTGTTGGAAACAAGTGCGATTTGGAAACCGAAAGGCAGGTATCCACACAAGGCAAGTCACAATACTCTATTCTATTTATTTATTCTATTCTATTCTATTTTATTTTTCTATCATTACTAACAAAACAAAATTATCGGGAAATCAACAGAGGGTCGAAGTTTGGCTGATTCCTTCGGCTGCCCATTTAAGGAGACATCCGCCAAGGCTCGTATCAATGTTGACGAATCTTTCTATGAATTGGTTCGCGAGATCAGAAGATACAACAAGAACCCTGATGACCATAAAGGCAAGGACGGAAGCCGCGATAACGGGAATGACGACCCGAACGGCCCGAGCCCGGCCTGCAAGTGTGTTATGCTTTGAAGATATGTCAATCTGTACGGATGCAATTCTAACGATTTAATACTTCACCTCTTCTTCTTTCTTGTTTCTTCTCATTCTTCGATTTTACCATACATACCTTTTTATATCTTAATCCTTCAGTTATCCGTCGCGTCAGCGCAGCATTGTGTGTAGAACAAACTCCTGTTCGGTTTCCCTTTTCCCTCTTCGCGCCTAAGAATGTATATCGCCATATCACTTTGCGGTCCATGTGAATGTCCCTCTTCTTCGTTTCATTTTTTCTCACGGTGTTGCTACCAGCTCTTCCATCGAGGTTTTTTTTTCTCTCTCTCTCTCTCTCTCTCTATTCGAAGCTCTTCTTCTTATTTCCCCCTTCCTCGCATTTGGCTCTGCCCTTTCTGGCTATTTACTGTGTTTATTCTCCTGTCCTTACTTGTTTAAAAAAATTCTCTTTCAACCTTAACATCATCATCTCTACTGTCATTCACCGCATTTTTCTAGCGTGGCATTTCCCCTTTCGTTTCGCGCATTGGGGTCCGCGAGTTCGGTAAAATGTGACTTCGGAATTGATCGAGTTCCTACACTATTTGACAGCCATTTATTGCAGCGGTGCACACTTGTTGATAGAGTGGAACGTAAAATAGTAGAGGCTAAAAGGTATAGCAATGCATTGCTCATTTCATCGTAAAACTTAGAGAGGGAGAGAGAAAGGAAAAAAAAAAAGGCGAAGATTTCAAGACACCAGCTAGCTATCGCTTTCCACAAATTGCCTTTACGTGTTGACGAAGCTATTTTTCACCTTGGATAAAGCACGAATTTAGATACCAGAGGTTTGGCTCGTTTATCACCAGTCCTTCTTGATCTCAATGACCCAATCGAATTCCAGGTGGATCTTTTTGTCATCGTCAGTAAATCGAGATTTGGCAGTGTAGGTGCCACGGCCTGTCGGACAAATGAACCAGTTAGAATCCCGAAAATTGACCTGCCATCAGGCAGGGAAAGTTGGTATATTGAGGGAAAACCTACCAAGGAGTCCGTCTGGCGCAACCTCAATTGGGACTTTTGATAATTCCAGAAATTATTAGCTTCCTCTAATGTCCATCAAGGGGGGGCAGGCAAGTTATCCATACGAGTTTTTGAATAGAAGGGCGTCTTTTCGTTGTTTGGGCCATACGATCCCAACATCTCCTCCGTCTTGTCAACCTGGATGCCCTTTCGTTTAACGACCTGGACATATTTCAACCCGCTGATAACATCATGTTGGACCCTGAATTGAATGTAAATCCTATATTCGGCCTTTTCCTTTACGACGAAAGGGGTGGATTTAAGAGCGGAGAGTTCGGTTTTGGTGAAATCGACCTCGATGTCGGGACGACCTTCAACCTTCAGGGACAGCTTTTCGATGACGACCTACATGATTGTGACGCATATATATCAGTATCCGATACATGTGGCTAGCAAGGTTTGCATATTGTGCGCGTGCGCATCTCATTTATATACGTACGGTTCGGGGATCATTTGGGTCCCCAATAGCAGCCCCTAGACCCAACGAGGCCTTCCATTTGTTGAGGGATTCATCCTCGGCATCTTTATGTAGGTTGAAGGTTGTCAGTGCCTGCAAGAAGCGCATTTGGAGGTATATCCGACTAGCTGTATGTTTTGCACTCCTAACGAACAAGTACATACAGTGCAGGGAACTTTCAACATACCGAGGTTCTTGTATTCATCGATCGTCTTCTTCTCTCCAACCTTGTACCTACAAACGTAATGGGGACATGGTTAGCAGCTGGGGGTTGAGCTAGGACGGGGTATCGAATCCGCAGCAAGCTCTAGAACTACAGTTAATGCTACACGGTGGGCGTACAGCTGACTGGGGTACAATGTAGCCAATGCAGAAACTAGGAAAGAGTATACAAGATACTCGGTTCCAAGGCAGAACCGCATGAGGATAAGGGAATTGATTTGGGAAGGGGAGGGGGGGATGTAAGGTAGTGGAGCTGGTAAAGGGAACAGCTGTAAGTGTCAAGCTTACCCCTCAGTCTCGCCAGCGGCAAGCTCGTCTTTGTCAGCCATGTTTGCCTGGTAATATAATATAATCTAGATCTGGATCTAGGATATGTCAGTGGTAGTTCGAATTATCGACGGAGCGTCTTTGTTTCCCCTGAGAGTTATAGCTGGGCCGGTGCAATTGAATTGAATGGAAATGGGTGAAATGGAGGTGGCCAGGTCGTGGAGTGTTGGGAGCTAACTTAAGTAACGTTGGCCAGGTCAGGTCGTGTACGTGTTATGCACCAGGATATATATAAGTCAGTCAGTCAGTCAGTCCAGTACAGGACAGTACCTGCTTAAACTTAAGTAAGTACGTACCTACTTAAGTACTCTTAGCCAAAGTAAAGTAAAGTATGTATGTAAGTATGTAAACCCGCACAAATACGGTCAAGCTTGGCTGGCTCCTTGAGCTGAGGGGCAAAGTGGGTCCGCTGCTGGCTGGACCAGCCAGAAACACCAGGCCAATTACTCAAGTAAGTACTTACAAGCATATGTGTCCCAGCCCTGGGCTAGATGCGCTCGCGAACCCCCATCTCGTCACGGCCATTGCACTGCTACATGCTACGGACGGTGTGTCAAGATATCGAAAAAGAAGAACGAAAGAAGGGGCACTTGTTGGCAGGAGGGCGTTTAAAACGTTTCAGAACAATTGGTATCAGAGGTGCAAGTGACTACTTCGGACTTCTATTTTTATTTTGATATACACTATACAGATGGCCTGATAATGACCGCCCGGCCAACCCATTAGTTCTCCATCTAATCTCATACGGTGGTTTTGGCCTTCCACTCGTCGAGCAGTCCCTGTTTATACTCCTCCCTGTAGCCGGATGGATTGTTCTTTACCCATCTCCACAAATCTTCACAGGCCTCCTCCAGTGTCTTTTTGGTATACCAGTTCAACTCTTTCCGGGCGAGATCCGGTTTTGCTGTGAGGTCCAAGACGTCACCACCCCGCCGTGGGGCTAATTCGTATGGAAGTTCCCGACCAACTGCTTTGCTAAATGCGCGTAAAATATCGAATACTGTTGAACCTCGTCCGGACCCCAGGTTCCACGCCTTGCAGCACTTGAAAGAAGGATCGTATAACTTTTCGAGGGCGGCAATATGACCTTGCGCTAAATCCACCACGTGTATGTAATCCCTGATGGCCGTCCCGTCGTGTGAATCGTAATCTAGAATAACACTATCAGCGGTTATTTGTCGTAAGGTGTCCTCTCGATGTCAAGGACCAAAGTTGTGATTGACTGCAATCGAACTCCGTACCTGTTCCGTACACCTGGATCTTGGGTCTTTTCCCGACTGCGACTTGACCAAGGAGGGGTAGCAGGTTGTACGGTACTCCCTGTGGATCCTCCCCCAATATCCCACTAGGATGGGCACCGCATGGGTTGAAGTAACGTAATAAGGCTGCAGCCGAACCCGGGTTCGCCTTGACATGGTCTTCAATAATCATTTCGTTGAACCATTTCGTTCTGCCGTATGGATTCGTTGGGCCGAGCGGACATGTTTCCGGGATTGGGATCATATCAGGATACTTTGTAGCGTCGCCGTAGACAGTCGCCGACGAAGAAAATACGATCTTGTTGACATTATACTTCTTCATCACCGACAACAATTGCGCAGTTCCGCCTACATTGATCCGGTAGTATTCCGCTGGTATTTCCGTAGATTCTCCCACGGACTGCGTGTAAAAGATTTTCAAATCAATAAGCCAGACGTGCAACAAAAATAGGGTAGGTATGAGGGCGTCTGAATAGAGAGCTCACCTTCAATGCCGCAAAATGGATGACCGAGGATATCTCCGGGTGGGATTTGAAGACCATTTCCAAGGCTTCAGCATCTGTGACGTCGACCTTGTGGAAGGCGGGGCGAATCCCGCATATTAGTTCGATGCGATTGATAGTCTCTTCTGAAGAGTTATAAAGATTGTCGACGATAACGACATTGTACCCCGCGACGAGAAGTTCCAAGGATGTGAAGGACCCGATGTAGCCGGTACCACTGCGCCTGGTCAGCATCTCATCTCATCTCATCATGCAGCTGGACTCGCACAGCATAGCGAGAGCCATACGACTTATTCCGGCTTTAAATTCCTATTTCCTAATGTCGCATTCAACGTACGTACCCGGTGATTAAAACGGTTTCTTTGGGCGCCGCCATGTATGTATAGTGGATGGAGGAATTATTTGAGTTTTTCGATTTAGTCGATCAAAGTACAGACCGAAGCTATACAAGGCGTGTGCTCTTTTCCGAGAGGGCTTAAAATCAAGCGGGTACCGTCTAGCTGGCCTATCGAAAGAATCGGTTAAATGACAAAAAAAAAAAAAAAACTGCGGCGCATGTATATACTTTAAAAGTATACCGTGTCAGTATAAGTACGGAAGTACAAGGTACGTAGTAGGTACGCCTGATACAATGCGATGAGCTTGAGGGGATATTATATAGTATTATTTTGGCTGCATTCGATTATCTGCACTTCCACCCAGCTAGGATTCGGGTCCACCAGGGTTTAATTAAGATTCATTGTGTACAGGAAGGCTCGTAATTCTGAAGTATCTTTTTTTAGCCAGAAGTAACACTACGGGACTCAGCCCTTCGACTTTGCCGCGCATTCTAGATTTCGCGTCTGAATGTTACCATGACATGGGCAGGTGGCTTTGAAATTGTGGATTAAAATGAAACTTTAGTTCAATAGTATAGCGGGATAGTGATAATAACCCTCATGGCTTATCCAAAGCCTGCCCATTCGACGCAAAACGTCCTTACACCGTGGCTCTCTGGTCTGTCAGCCTCTATGTCTCTTTGTTCAAGACCTGCCATCATCCAGGCTTTCTTGACGCCAGTGCCCAACCGACCTCCGCCGACAAGGTCCAACATCGAGAGTTCCTCGTCCCATTGCAAAGATTTCACGAGAAAATGGGAGTGGAATCTCAATGGGTCTCCGGGGTATGCGACGAACTGACAGCCAAATCGCAGCCCAGGGGACATAAAATACCCGAGGCTTTGCAGATACTTATACACCTGGTAGCGGGCATCTGGCGGGCTAGGGATATTCTCGGCTTCCCTGGGGAGTCTAAGAGAATGCAGGCCTATGGCCGAAGATGCCATGGGGATTACGTATTGACGCTGACTGCCGTCGTCTGCAGAGGTTCGCTGGGCTGTTGAAGCCAACTCCTCGCGACCACCCTCGCCTCCAACACCGTCGACAATCGCGTCTAACGTGCTTTCAAAAAGTGGTGTTTCTTTTGACTTGTCAATGGAAGACTCAGAAGCTCTTGCGGGTTTTGTTTTCCATTTCCCGGACGCCTTCGCATTCTCGATAGCGGCCTCCTTTCGTTTTATCGACTCCTCTCGATTTGCCAGCATCAACTTATCTTGCTCTTGTATTTTTAGAGAGAGAATATCAGCTTTGTCGGTTTCGCTAAGTGCTTTGACAGCATCGCGATGGGCGAGCGAGTCCTCGACGATGGTTGCGACCCCTTTGAGAGACCTATTAGAGCCGGCAATCCAATCCAAGATGATGTTTTTTTTTCCCCACTGTAACTCACGTTGGTCAACCAGGAGCCTTGCTTCTTCTCGCATGAGCTCTAGTGGTAAGCCAAGGAATATATTTTGTTGCTGTGCTTGAGGTAGTGTTCCAAAGAGCGTCCCGCACATGTGCCATGATATTCTTAAATACGCGATATCTGTTACAAGATAGCAAACAAGAGAGGGTAGGAAGTTAGCATCACACGGAAGACGATGCACAGGGGAACGGCATGCTGGCGCGGAAAAGGAGATATACGCTCGGGATCCAGAAAACAATCGTACGTGAGAATGTTATTAATTACCGTTTACATCGTAGACTAGATACCGTCCTGCAACATGATTGATACAGATACATGGCTTCGATGCATCATCCCCCATGTCTAGACTAGAACTGGTTGTTAGAACTGGCTTCAACTAAACCAAGAAGAAAAAAATTCGGGCGTGTATAGAATCTTGCAATGGGATCATTCGATACCGATGTCTCGTCAGGGCACTGGAATGTTCAATCATGTATTCCAAGCCATCAGGGGATTGACAGATTGATAGATTGAGATAAGGTGATATAATCATTTCCCAAGGTGAGGGAGGAATAGCAGCGGGTGAACTGGATGGAAGGACTCACTCAGCGATTGGCAGGCCGTATCTTGATTCTTACTGGTGTTAAAATCAAATAAAATCAAATAAAATCAAATAAAATAAAAAAAGAGTCGAAGGTGTTTTAACTAAGTATCTGTAGGAAAGAACCGATTTTCGATAGCAATGAGGGAAAAGTGCAAAGAATGATGGGGGAGGAAGGCTAAGGTGACGAATATATAAGGAGCAGTCCAGCAACTTAAAGGGAAGGAAAGGGACGGGAAAAAAAAAAAAAAAAAGAGCAGGGGTTCTGCGGTCAACAATTTTGCAGCACACATGAAGATTCATGAGTTAACTTTAGTAACCTGACAAGATTGCACAGTAATCCAACTAGAACCAACTTGAAATTAAAATTTAAATCTATAAACCTAGACTAAACCCTATGCTACTTAGTATGGTTTGTTACACGATGCTCCGATCACAAAGCTTTGGACTTTTGGTTTGGATAGATGTATTATTTGAACTAAAAAATCAATTCCCCGCTACTTGTAGGTATTTGTATACTACGGAAAAGTCCTTTCCCTTGCAGTCGTCGTGGGCCTCAGCATCTTCGTAGAGTTTCCGAGCAGGCTCTGCGAGGATGAGCTTTGCGCCAGCGAGGTCCGCAGCAGCGATAGCCAACTTGAGATCCTTCGCCATCAAGCTGACTCCAAATCCACCTTGATAACCGCGGCTCGAAGGCGCACCCTCGATAACATCTGGAACCGGATTATTCACTTCACTCGGCCAGCATTTGCCAGTCGAGCAGTTGATTAAACTAGCTAGCTTTTTCGCATCCAATCCAAGCCTTATTCCGAAGTTCATTGCCTCTGCTGTGGCCAAATTGTTCATGGCTAGCAGGTAGTTATTTGCCAGCTTGCCGACGATGCCGGTTCCGGGGTCACCCATATGAATAACTCGCTTGCCCATTTTTTCCAGTATGGACTGTACCTTCCCCAAAGCCAAGTCCGAAGCTCCAAGCATGAATGTTAAAGTTGCAGCTGTGGCGCCAACAACCCCCCCGGATACTGGAGCATCCACGAAGTCATGTCCGAGAGCTCGAATTGATGAACCGACCTCCAACGATGTCTTCACGTCGATGGTCGAGCAATCTATGAAAAGCTGGGGATTGGATTTATCTAGCCCCCCCGCAATGAATTCTCCGTACACAGCCTGTACATGCTTAGGCTGAGGAAGCATAGTGATAATTGTATCCTTGTGAATCAATGTGCATTAGCAACTGTTTCAGCACCTTGGAGGTGATGCGACGAGGGATATGGCGCGGGTTCTGCATAAGCTTCTTCACGAAAGAGCTGCTTCAGAGGATTGGCTATTGTATAACTTGTGAAATCATGGAGAAATCCCGAGATCGGGATCTGACTTAGATTCATACATATAGAAAAGGAAAATATATGTTCATCATTTGGAGCGTTTTTCGGAGAACTGTGGGGTGGATCTAGTCCTATTTATATTCAGGGAATGGGTATATCGTTCAACTTACAGAGGCACGAGAAACATCTTGGAGGCTGCTTGCAATGGTTACGCTAGCCCCGGGCCCAGCACTCTTTGTCTCTTCCACAAACTGATCAGTCGCGGACTTATTGATATCGTATATTGTAATAGAGTCTGTTGTGGGTATCTTGGCTCGGAGATTCCTTGCCATTGGATAACCTTTTCTCATATATGGCGATTGGTCAGTGGCCAGCCAGTCAAGAAATTTTCAAGGCTGCAGGATCGAACGTGTATACCCATCTGGCCGAGGCCAACAAAGCCCCAACTTGCCCGAGTAACGGGGGAACTTGAAAAATTACGGACGGAAGTCCATGATTGTCGACTGCGAACTGATTTCCAGACGCCTGGAAAGCGGGGGAGGGCGTGACGGAGAGCGGACATTCTGAGAGTTCGTTTAAGAGGCTATGATGACCGCGAACGACTGTCCCATCGATTGGGGTGTAGAGGGAACGGAATATGTGGGGAAGTCCGACATCCGTCCGGCGGGGAGGTCGGCATCGGCCACATGGCTACTTACTACGGTGCCAGAGAGTGGGCTTTTTCCGAGGATGTTATTTATTACATTGAGTGATCCGTGGATGGGGAAAAGGTTGTGCAGAAGAACATTCTTCGGCTAGAAGCGCTTTGTGGGTTCTACATACTTGCCCTCTTGGCACGTTTCCAGTTCTGGAATAGAACTGCCCTTTCCCTGCGTCTGGTCTCGAGGCTAGATCGAGTTATACATATGTATACTACCAGCTACGACATACACGCATGGGCGGAGTCACCTAGGCTGTTCTCAAATGCAAACTCAATATCGAACATGCTACAGAGGCTCTCTACTTGTGCACGTTGTTCCGGAAGCGTGCAGCCCTGAGCTGTCTATGAGTTCAGCGCTTCCAAATTCAGGATACAGTAAATGCATGTGTATATAAAACAATCATCTTCCAGGACGAATGTGTGATTTGCCCCCTTTCCTTTCGTCTAGCTCTGGTATATTTGTATGTGTAGTACACCATTTGAAATATTCTGCCTTTGAGAATACATTGTTAAGCGGGGTGGACATTTGCTTGTGTACATTCGCGAACATTTGCCACGCTTCGTCGTCCTGTGGATATAGTTAGCTATAAGACGAGGAAGGCGAGGATAGTAAGCTTAAGGGACTGAAGATTAGGCGCTTACATCTTGATCTACCCACTCAATTTCCCGCCAAGGTTCATCTTCTTCCAACCGGATATCCTTTGCCAGTTGTTCTGCTGCAGTCAATGTCCGGTTGTCCCCAGAAGCTGTTTTCACTGACAAGTTAACAGCCCTGGCTTCCGCTGATTTGGAGCTTTGTGGATTGTTCATCTCTCTCATGGCCTTCTGGTTTGCACGTTCTTGCTCCGTCATGATATCTATGTGGTGGAACTGTGGCCGTAGTTGAAGTGACCCCGTCAGCCGTGTGAAATGAAGCTTATCTAGAAGAAATTTTCGTCAGAATCAAGTTTAATAGCTTTGAAAGGATGGATATATAAGTATACCTCCTTCGAATAAAGCAACAAAGTAATTAGCATCAGCACCTTGCATTTTAGCTCCTAGCGTTTGTCGATTCAATATCCTGTTCTTTCGTTTTGCTTCCTCGAAATCCAAGAGAGCCTCTGGGGTCGGTATAGCGCTGTCGTCCTCCATACCTTCATCTTCTGCTGTTCTCCGTCTTTTTCGCCTGTCCGAGGAATTGTCGCCACGATCCCCAACATCGGCGCTGCCTCCTGCTCGCAGAGATCTCTGGATGCGAGATTTGTGTAGTACGTCGCCGTATAGAACACCTTTCCGCTCATCGTAGTTTCGTTCAACGTTTATTGGGATATCGAGCTCAAGTGCCCCCGTATTGACTTTCATCCTGGCCTCAGCTGGTGCAAACCCTTCCTGGAAGGTGTAAGGCTGCGATCTATTTCGCACTGGATATTGGAACAAGTACATCATATCATTGAAAGTAGTGTTGAGGACAATGTCATATGATTGGACAATGGGATCATCGTCGATGTCGCTGTACACGGCTTCATCTTCGTCTGATTCATCCCCGGCATTATGATGCACTTCTAGGGGTTGTACTCCTGAATCTTTTGATAATTGGGATTGCTGCGCCCGCCGAGTAATGTCTGATTCCGATTCCGGTTCCGATTCCGAGTGGTCCTCAATGAAGAGCGACGATGATTTGTAGGCGGATGGTTGTGGCGCTGTTGGGACGGCCGTGGGCAATCTTACGTCGTGGTCCTCAGGCTCCTGTTTCAGGATCGTGGAAGCATCCGCTCCAATAGTAGAAGTAACAGTTTCTGCAGCGCCAGCAGTTCTTCGAGGCTGCGGCTTCGGTTTCGCCTTTGGTTTTGGGGGCATTTTGTAAGAACGGTAGGATGGATATCGATATATCGATTCGGAGCGATTTGAGAATGTCAACTTCTTCAGGCCCACCTCGGTAGCCAACACAAAAAAATTATAAATTCCACCAGCCACTTCACGCGCATTTGGATCTTACTAATTATATAACTGGGCCCAATTTGCAAACCCGCTACATGCTACAAGCTCTTAGTAGGTACCTGGGCACTTAGTTCCATTGTCGAGATCGAGTGGGTAAGAGATAAGTACTTCATAAAAATCTAAAATAATTAATCATCAAGGCACGAGATTGTATCAGATATAAATATCATTTCCCTATATATTATATATAAGAACTTAGGTAGATATATGATCCATAGTATAATGGATATATATGATTATGACACTGTTCCGAGTTCCAAGCTTGCGCAATGGTTTGTACTAGTCTAGCTTATGGCCACATGGGTACCCGAGTGTTTATACCAGTATACTTATATCTCAAACAGCCCGGTCCGTTACTAAAGATTATTGGTAGATTCGTTACGTCCTGGTAGAAAAAGTAACCGGAGGTGCGACAGACGCCTTTCTTAGACTCCAAAATCAGTCTGCATCCAGCCGTAATATCTCCCGGTTTTGTTATTCCGCATTCTTCGTCAAATTCACTGCATAGATCATCTCCCCAGCGCCCGAGATAGTAATATATACTGCCTACACATTTCCCTTTACTCGCGGGGAGTGTCCAGCATGATACGCAACAATCGTGTTGGCTCATATCACCTTCGGTGTAAATCGTAGGTTCATCATCGCTATACCCAGGCCCGCCGACAAGCCAGAATGTCCCAAAATCGTCCGGTGGTACTCTATTCGAAGCCCCGCATGCTGCATAAACGGTAGGGGTAGGGAGGGTTTCCGTTACCGTCTTCTCAAAGAAGGTGACAAGCGTTGTGATAGTGGTTGACCTTGTTATGGATGTAGTGTTCCTTACGAAGCCAACTATCTTGGTGATGGTCTTCACATTTTTTACGGTAACGGTCTTTGTCCTCGTTGAAGTTGTGTAGGACTTCGAAACAGTTTTTGTTCCCTTCTTCTTCGTAGTTGTTTTCCAAAGATCAGTTGTTCCAGTCTTTGTGAGCAACGTCTTGGTGCATACTACGGCGCTCGGGTACTTTTTTGCGGCACCAGCAGTTGGTTCGGGTTCGGCGTTACGCCTCGTGATCGTTTGTCCGGCTTTATTCGCGGGGTCCTGATTCACACCGTATATTCCTGAAGGTCCCGGTATCACCACGGTCTGAGGGCGGATGGTTCTGGTAAATACGGGCAGAGTTGCAATAAATGAGGAAATGGTTTTTGTGCGTATGACAATCTCCGTTCCGCGCTCTCCCGTCGTAACAAGGATCCCCTTGGTGACAGTACTAACAGTAACCGTCTTTGTCTTCCAAGCCGGTTTCGTATCCACCACGGTTACAATTTTTGCGGGGGCTGTTACTGTCTTCCAGCGCGTTATAGTGTATCGTGCTGTCGCGCAGACAGTTTTTGTAGTCCTGTGGACTTTGACGGGAACCCCGCATGAGCGGGTGGTGCATTTTTCGAGAGTAATTACGGTGCGCGCAGCACAAAGTGAAACGAAAGTAATAAAGGCCGTCACAAGGATACTAAAGCGAAAGATATGCATGGCTCTTGCTTGTTGCGCCAGTGCGATATGATGAGCGAATGTTGATAATCTCGGTAGGGTCAAACAGAGCACGGAACGAGATATATCATGTGGACAGGCCCGAGCTTTTAATGGCAGCAAATATGTGTGGAACTCGAGCAGGAGCTCGAGACCCTTTCTCTCTCAAATTTATCGAGGCCTGTAAAATGTAGATAATATAAAGCATGCATCTCTGAGGTTACAATGAGGCTTGAATCCCATGACTATTCTGGTAATACCAAGGAATCATTTGTTGGGCTCGAAAACCAATTCACAATTGCACATAATTTATTCTAAGTGGCCGGCATAGATACTTACTTACTTACTTACACATGGAATCACTGGCTTCACCAGTACACCGTCTCATAAGCTCATGCGACAATTTTCTTGGATGATAACATTCCGGCTTGGCGTCGTGCAGCGGGTCACATTCGCTTCAGCCGCACCAATGATATCGTTCACTTGCCGAATTGCACCCTTCATTACATAAGTGCTTGATAAAATGAATTGTCAACTGATAATAGATGTTTCTTATATGTAAAATCTATCTTAGGACGACCCTAAATTTCCGAATATAAGAATTTGGGTTGTTTTATGTGTTGACGGTGTGGTATTTTTCATCTGCGTATTTCAAAGGCAAAGCCGTCTAGTCTGGTCTTATATTATGCATAACGCGATGTCGCATATGTTGCTATCCTAGTATAAATGCTGTGTACCTGAATGGCCTAGATGCACTGGGCTTTATAAAACCCATGTCTATCGGCACTGGCTCAAGTGCTAAGCTTAGATGTGTGCGCTGTGTGTGTGGCCATGGCCCATGATTTTCTGATTACTTGTTCGCTAACCGCGTGGCGGAGCTAGCAGGTATGTAGCTAGCGAGACGTTGTAAAAACATACATGTGTAACAAGGCGAAACCCTGTGGACGGATAACTATAATGTATAATGTAAAAGCTAAAAGGCCCCACCTGGCGATAGCAAGTCTCCTGTTCATGAGGGGTTTAAAATGTGATATCTACCATGGCCGTGCAGCTCCATTATAAGCCATGTTTGTTTCAAGCTGTATATACATGCATGTAGCAGCTTACATTGCAGAAATATCGAAATTTAAAGCGGGCCATTTTCTGCAAGCGCAGGGCTCAGGGCCCGTACGTATGCCTGGAGTTAGTTTGTATCATAGTCAGAGTTCAAAGAGTTCAACATCAGGGTTGACATATAGCTGCAGACGCTATGTTCGCTTCCGGATGCATGCAATTCCATTGTAGGTTCATAACGAAGGCTTGTCGAACCGCTCTCGCGGGAAATATCCATATTGATTCTGGCGGATCCGCAGAGAGTTTGTATATATATATAACTATCGATCAATTGACAAGATCAATATCGACTGCGAGTGCGACCTTTAAGTCTTTTGATTTACATGTCACATGACATGGGTGGCTTGTATGCATATACCTAGTATTACAACATTCTTTAGCTTTAGCCGGTGCTTTCTCATCTGGTATTTTCGTTTACTCAACAGCTCAAGGAATCGAGAATGCCAAATTGCAAAGTGGAGCGCTAGTTAGCTAGTTGCAGGCAGATATCCGCCTGCAAATGCGTTATATACAAGGCTTGGGCCGAACCGCCTACCCGTTGTGGATACTGCTAGTGCTCTAGTATCGTATCCCAACTTACGGGCATGCGCACACCATAAAGAAACTTGATTCACCGAAGGCCTTAAGGTTCTGGTTAGGCGAGGTACCTGGTGGGGGCTATAGGATCGATTGTGGGGGTACCCGGATTTTCAATGATAGCGTTTGGGCTTATTTGATGCGAGATGATTTTCTCAATTCTGCATCTAGCATCCTTTTCTCCCTCAGGTTAACCAATTAGATGCCATACAGCATATTGCGTTGGAACTGAATTGATAACTGGCAGGTTCTCGTGAATTCGAAGATGATGCTTATATGCATATGTGATGTACTGATGAACAATGGTGCTGTGTTAGAATTAATTGCGCAGAGGGAAGAATTTCTTAAAAGTCAATGAGCTTTAGACTAGGATCCTCATGCTCAATATCTAGCATCTACACATGGGTGTTTGAGTCAGGACTGGACCTCGAGAACATGGTCGGACCACTGCACTGATGCATGATCATCATCTTCTCCTCGTATCACTACGTAACCCTTTCAAAATACCTTCGAGTGCAGTGGGCATACCGCAGCATTATTGACGTGCTACATATCCCGTAGCCCGAGCGAAGAGCCCGTGAAGTGACAGGCTTTTGAATTCAAAGTTATCTGGATTGACCCTAACCCAATCGTCGAGATGCAGTGGCGTGTATGCCCATCATATCATTTCTCCGGGCCTTTGTGAGTCCGGCGCCGCAACAGACAGATTTTATGTGGCAGCTCAGCCCCAGCTTGAACTAAGACCTGAAGTATAAATATCTAAGACTAAGACCTGTTACCCAGCTCTTCTAAATCCATCGATTGCAACCTGACGACGCGACAATATATATATATATATATACCAGGAATATAGTATATGCATAGCAAAATCAATCTTTTTGTCTTATTATTAAATAAATCATTCATCGTAAAATTTTAACTCAATTTATACAAGATGCGTCTCGGTTCTCATGACTATGTCCAGACCCTTAAGGGTCAGACATTGACTTTCCCAGATATTGATGGCCTGTTCAAAGATTGGCCCGTCGGATTTAACCCCCACTACGAGATCCTTAGACAAGTTCAGAATGCCGAACTCCTCAAGTAAGCTATAATATGCTTCCCGGATTTGTGTTCGAATGGTGAAGTCGGATCTAACTTATGCTTGGTTTGGGCGCAGGTTACTTGGGCCAGGTCAAAGATATGAAGCCCTCGTGGCCGTGGATTGTGCTTTCCACGCCGCGTCTTGGTGGCCTACTGCAACCTTTGATTCTCTTCGAGTCGTTTCAGCTCTTGTGGCATTTGTGGGTATTTGAGCTATTTGATCTGGAGGCCTTGCGCTAATTAGTTACTTTTATAGCTCTACGTCTGGGATAACGAAATAGATAGCCCTGAGTTTAGTGACCTCAGTTCGAATTTGGATGCTGGTGAACAGTTCCGGGAAAGAACCATCGCCCACATCAAAACCTACCTCGGGGACAACCTTCCCGAGTCTGGTATCCGGTCTGAAAAAGTCGAGACGGCCATCGCAAGTTTCAATCCAGTTGGAGAGACAGCTGGATTTCGGCTTCCCAAGAACCAGAGGCAGCTATTCATGGAAGAAAATATTCGGTTCGTTGTCGCGACTGGCTACGAGCAGCGAGTCGAGTTGAGAGGCAAGGCCCCAACGATCGAGGAGTACATGCATATTCGCATGGGAACTAGCGGCGTTGCAACCTTATCGGTGCTCACAGAGTAAGTGGTGCAGAGATCTCGCCCTGTATTATCCCGTAGCTTAAGTATTTCAATCTTGAGTGCAAACGAGTACAGTTTACTAATTTAAATCTTTGGTGACTTCCCAGATATATGATGCAAATCGACCTGGGGGACGAAATTAGAAACGACCCGGACATCCAAGCTATACACGACCAGAGCAACTGCATTGTATCCCTTGTGAACGATATATTCTCACTTAGAAAGGAACTTATGTTCCCATTCTACTGCAATGCCGTCGCAGTTTTATATCACAAGCACCGGAACCTCCAAATGGCGGTGAACAAGACCTATCAGATGATAATTTCAAGCGTTTATAGTCTCGACGATGCTGGTACAAGATTGCTTGCACGGTATCCAGACCGGCGCAGTGACCTGGAAGCCTTTATCTACGCCGCTAAAACGATGTGTACCGGGAATATTACCTGGAGCAGGATGACCCAGCGGTACAAGCTTGGTGTGGATAAATTCGACGGTACTACCAGTATCACTTTGTGACTGTAGTGTAACTATCCTGTCTATTTATTTCATCTTGTATTCTACCAATAGATCTAGATCGTACAAGCTTATATATTTTTTTGTATCGCATGGCAGCTTCTATATCTCAATTTACAGGGTCAGTAGGTACCTAATTAGAATTATAAGATCAGTTTGTAACATCAATCGCGTGACTTTGTTGGATTATATGTGTTGGACTGCCAAGCCTTTGGGCTCCATAAATTTTTTTGTTCTATTGACCTTGAAAGGTCTTTCGTAGACTGCGTTCTGCGACCACACCAAAAACTTTCGAATTTAATACTCAGCAGCGCTTTGGAGGCCAAATTGTCAACAACAGCTCGGTCGCACGCTATCCTAATACCTTCTTCAATGGCTGAGCCCGATATCCTCGTTAATTTTGACCTTGCGCCGGCAGCCAATGCCTTCGGCGCATCATCATCGATCAACGGTATCCGTGGGGGTCGGTGGAAGGACAGGTTCAGGGCAAAAAAGCGACTACAAAATAAACGCGGCAAACCGAGCTTCCTAGACGCCGAGGGGAACCAGAAGTCCACGAATGCACAGTCGCGTCCCCACCCGAAGTCCGATGTCCCAGCTGGACCCAATCGTGACAATGGCTCTGGAAACCGATTAAAAGCTGGGAATGAGCTCCCTGGCGCTCCAAGGTCGAACCATGACCAACCCATTATTTCATCAATCTTTAGCTCAAACCCAGTATCAGTTGTGAATGTGGAGAAGACGGGGACTGAAAATGCTGGACCTGCTATTCCAACTAATGCCCCGTTGAAAGATGGGTCAGTCTTTTCGACAATGGGGCTTGCGCCAGCTCTTGCATCTCATTTGGTAAACAATATGAACATATCTGCGCCGACATCGATCCAGCAAATTGCCGTCCCTCAACTCATTTCCTCTGATTCAGATGCTTTCATTCAAGCAGAAACCGGTTCCGGAAAGACCCTCACCTACCTGCTACCTCTAGTCCATCGGATATACACCGCTACTCTTAGTGGTGATAAACTTCATCGAGACTCTGGCTGCTTCGCAATAATCCTCGCACCGACTAGAGAATTGGGCCGACAGATATACACTGTGTTAATGCAACTCTTATCCCACCCATCACTTCATTGGCTGGTGCCAATTCTGATTCTTGGAGGGGAGAAGAAAAAGTCAGAAAAGGCGAGGATCCGAAAAGGCGGTAACATTCTTGTGGCGACACCGGGACGTTTGGCGGACCACCTCTCGAACACAACCTCACTCGATGTGGGCTTCGTGAGATGGCTCGTTCTCGACGAAGGGGATAGGCTTATGGAACTAGGGTTTGAGGAAACCCTTCAGCAGATCCTTACGGCTCTAAACGAGAGAGCACAGAAGAGGTCGAATAAGGCGCCTTTGGCGGATCTGGGCCTTCCAGATCGTAGGATAACGGTTCTCTGCTCCGCAACGATGAAGGCCAGTGTACAAAAGCTAGGCGATATGTCGTTGAAGGATGCATTGTATCTCAAAAGCAACCAGAAGTCAGATGCGGCTAGTGATGGCCCCAAGTCCTTCCAAGCACCAGCACAGCTAAAGCAGGCTTACATCGTATCCCCTGCTAAATTGCGGTTGGTTACACTAGCTAGCATACTCAGGAGAGCCTTTATTCGAAAGAAGGAACATATGAAGGTTATTGTGTTCTTTTCCTGTGCTGACTCAGTCGATTTTCATTACCAAGCATTCCGTAAAATTGACGACAAGGAACAGCAAGACACAGAATCAGAAACATCCTCAGACGAGGAAAAGGAGGTGGAAACAGAGACGTTGGAGGACAATAAGAAGAAGCCTCAGCGTCCGAGTCTTGCGGCGAAGTCAATGGCGCCACTGATCGATCCAACTGTATCGTTGTTTAAACTCCACGGGAGCTTGGCTCAACATATCAGAACAAATACTCTCAACGACTTTTTTCATGAAAAAGACGGGGCAGTATTATTCTGTACTGATGTGGCTTCTCGAGGCCTGGACCTCCCAAATGTTGACTTAGTAGTTCAATATGATCCACCATACAGCCACGAGGACTATATACACCGAATCGGAAGAACAGCTAGAGCTGGTCGGGATGGAAGAGCGTTGCTTTTCCTATTACCAGGGTGCGAGGAAGGCTACCCGGGTCAAGTTCTAAAGGAACAACATCTTACAAGAAGGCTAGCGGACGAGGTTCTGAAGAAAGGGTTCGGGGCTGCCCCTCTACCTAAGGCTGCAAAGGTTGTGGACCCTTTGTGGAAGAAAGATTTCATGCCAAAAAATTCTGGAGCAAAATGGGAGCAGGAAGCTATTGAGTTTCACCTGGACATCGAGAGGCGGGTCCTAGCTTCTGACGAATTCTCAAATGTTGCTAAAAGGGCCTTCCAGAGCCATATACGAGCGTATGCCACACATGTAGCAGCTGAACGAGAAATATTCGACATCAAGCAGTTGCATTTAGGCCATATCGCAAAGAGTTTTGGCCTGCGCGAACGCCCCGGTGATATCAGGTTGCCTGCCCGTGGGAAGACTGGGACTGTTCCGAGTGCAACGGGTAAGCGCAAACTAGACAGCACTGATACCAACGGTGACAGTACGCGAGATGCACAAGACGAAGAGGAGTTACAGAGGGCTGCTCAAATGATGCGAAAAAAGATGAGGGAGCACATGAACATCGCTTCGGAATTCAATATTGGTTGAATATGTGACTGGGGATCAAAATATCTCCCATAATGAGATTCGACCATCTTTTGAACCCGCGGCTAGCATGTGCGCTTGCCTGTTCCTATTTTCTCTTTGTTGGCTCACTGTTATAATTGTATTATTAAGTTGTACGGCTCCTTTACTCTCGTTAAAGATTTTGGCGAATGTGACTGCATAACATCCTTCTCTGTGCCATTTCAAAACGGCCACCTCTTTCATGTTTCTAGCAGTATATACTCGAATACGAGAATCCCACCCCGCCGTAGCAAACAGTCTCCCATCGGACCTCAGGCTCAGGCTCTGTTGCCCAGCATGGTGAGTGTTGATGATGTGAGAGGGGGGATCCTCAGGGTCTGAGTTTTTGTAGCCAGTATCTGAATGTATTTCATGTTTTGCTATTATCGCGTCCGCAGAAGAAGTAAAGAAGGTCGAGGGTGGATGATAGTCGAGTGATAAGACGGGTTGGGAGTGGGGTTTGGACGAATAGGCGGTGTGCCAGATATTGGATTCCGGGTCCAGGGTGAATACAACGGCATGTCCACTTTCATAACCAGCTAATAGAATCAATTTGGAGTTTATGTTGGATAACCGGAGAGCCATCGGCATGCCTTTTGCGAAGTGTTAGAGATATTAAACATGCGGGTATATTTATTTTGGAGGCATGTATTTAGGGTGGCGGTGCAATGTACCCACCGGTTTTGAAGTCCAGATGTTGCCCCACAGCTGCATGGACTCTAGTTTGAGACGGGAGATGGTATATATCGATCTATGCAATGGCGGTGCCTTACTTGAGTATATGGATGGATGGATGCAACTTAGGCTAATAGCTTTTCGCGTCGCTTCACAAACGCAAATGTATTAAATGGAATGGCTGAAACCGGGACTTACAGCATTTGGGTCCTTGGAACTGGGAACTGCAAGCAATATCTGACTGCTGCTTGCACTGTTAAGGCTAGGACACATCGCAAACGAGCAGAAATTGAGGGCGTTCACATCGAGGGCGTGGAGCAGCCATGGTGGGCGATGATGTTCAGACGAGGATGTCGCAGGTAATCGGGTATCGAGGCTTGGTTCGTCTTCGGAGCGGACCTGCCAGACGTATATTTTATTATCCCTCCCATGGCTATAGGATCCTTGAAATGCATTAGAAACAAATTTGGCGGGTAAGTTGCAAGCATTCATCGGTTGAAACCTACGTGATGATGTTGGAGTCGTCCCAATCCGCGACGCCGAGTACTGCACTATCGTGAGCCCTCCAAACAGCTACAGGGCGCCTGACTGGAATATCCCAGAGCACGACCCAACCTTCGGCATCGGCAGAGACGAGACGAGAGTTGGAGCGATAGAAGTGCAGGGAGTGGACGGGTGAGGGGTGGCCCCGGATGACATAGACCGGGGCGTCCATTGGTATCGATACTTAATTCATAAGTATAAATGTGCTCATGCAATGATCGATCGATATCAGGGACCCGGGACGGAAACAGAAATAGAAAGCAGGTGTTAGTTAATTATAATTTGAGGTGTTCGAGCGTTCGTTCGTTCGTTTCTTCGTTCGCGTTCGTGCGTGCTTTGGAGCCGTCGGCGTTTTGTTTCAGCTCAGCCCAGTCGATGTCGGAAACGTTTCACGTCACAGCTGCGAATCCAATTCACTTAGCTTCTTCTTATTCTTCTTATTCTTCTTATTTTTTTTTTATATACTTTCTAGGGACTTCAAGACCAGGTCGTTACTTTTTTTTACATACCTAAGTAGGTACCATCTGGTGGTGGGAGGTGGAAGTGGAGTGGAGTGGAGGATATATGTAAGTGAGTAAGAAGGAAGTAAGAAGGAAGTGAGTTAAGTACTGTGTATAAGGCCCTCCTCTTCTTTTGTCTCCGCTTCTTTTATCTCTTCCTCTTTTTTGTCTCCTCTTCCTCTTCCTCTTCCTCTTCTTTTATCCCTTCCTCTTCTTCTTCTATTTCGATTTCTATATCTCGAGTCTACATCTTCTTCTAGCTTCCTTATATAAAAGTACCTTATATCAATTCAGTAAGACTAGTGGAATATACCGACTGGGCGCAACGGCACTCGGCTACAATTGCCCGCCCCTCACCCTCACCACCATCGTCATCTCGAACTGCGCCCTAATTGCTTGGTTCCGTTGCTTCCTTTCCCTCTTCAGCTTCCCTCCGAAATCCGACGCCAATTCTTTATTATCCTTATTAAGTCCCGACTAACCCCCCCCCGGGTCCAGCGTCCGGTGTCCAGCGTCCACTTGAATCTTGAATTCATCCCGGTTCAAATGCTCGCTCATTCATTGCACTCTCCCGTATTCAATACATTTTAATCTATCATTCCTGCCAAATATAACTTAACAGACCAGATCAAACCGGAACGACTTCTCTATCTCACTAGAAATTCGATCACCGGCTACGGAATCTCCCATACATCTTATCCGTATCTAAAAGCCGTCAGGTTTCCTTATACCTAGGGAACCCTTCGTCCCTCTAGCGGGGATGGCTGCCGCTGACGGCAGCACGAGGCCGAAACGCGTGAGAACAGGTACGAATTTCTCACCTGCTTTTTTCTGGCTCTCTTTTTTTAAAAAAAAAATTTATTAAAATTTTTTATTGTTTATTATTATCATGATCATTATATTTCTCTCAATTTGCAGTATTTTAAACTCGCAGAATGTATTCAAACGCGGTTCTCAATTGAGAGCTTACAAGTGTATTGCTGGTTTGAAGTTCAGGGTCGCTAATTAGTCTTTTGGTGTTTCGTTCTCATCTAGGTTGGTGAGTGATCTCGGAACATCATCAAATTCCATATTTTGTTACTGCGACTTCCCGGAAAACCAACTGAAGGGGGGGAAAGAAAAAAAGAAAGAAAGAGAGAGAGAG